AACTTTCTCCGTCGCTCTCAAACTCCTTCCAAAAACTTCTTTTTATATTATATATCCAGAATCCTATAGTGGCACGTCCTCGAATTGCCATTAAAGGATTCAGCATTCCCGATTGTCTATTGTTCAAGGAAAAATCTGTTCACAACTCTAGCAGTGGTCTTATTACTCATGAGAACGGGTATTGTCAAAAGTTGAAAAGGCTTGATGTCTCAAATAATTTCTTTTCTTTTGAGTTGCCGAGGGAGATTGGAAATCTGTCACAGTTGGTGTTCTTTTGGGATTGGACAAGTAAGGAGCAAGTTTATGAAACACCAAGGTCAAGTCGTCAATGATATAAAAATATTTTCATACTCATATATGACCCGTAGCTAATTAAACTTGAGGACAAGTTCTTTTAAAGAAGGGGAGCCTGATGTAGTACATAAATGAACCGGTATGAACAGTGCTGTGTTTCTAGTTTCTATTTTCATTGTTTTTATTTCCTAAGGGTCCGTTTGATTAGACAGAAATTTATGATGGAAAGTGAAATTGAAAGAAAGTGAAGTGAAAGAAAGGAAAATCAAGTTTCTTGCATGCATTTGGTTAGCAAGAAAAAATTTCAAGAAAGTTAGGGAAAATATTATTTTATTAGTTTGGATAGCATGAAAGGGAAAAGAAAATTATTTACTTACCAAAACTACCCTCATGATTTAAAATATTAAAAAATAAATTAATTTTGTGTTGGATGAATCATCTTTATACCCCATTATTTATATTAATTTTTAGCAATTAAATAGTAAAATAATGGATTAATAATAATAATTATTATTATTTATATTCATATTTAAATTAGACAAAGTAAGGAGGACTACATTTTAGTTGTCATATTCTTTTTATTTTCTGTTTTCAATAATAATTATTTATATTTATACGTAGAATATAATTCACTTATCATAACATATTCATGTTTTATCATAAAATAATGGATTATTAATTATTATTATTATTATTTATATTCATATTTAAATTAGAAAAACTAAGGACGACTACATTTTAGTTGCCAGATTTTTTTATTTTGTGTTTTCAATAATAATTATTTATATTTATATGTAGAATATAGTTCATTTATGATAACATACTCATATTTTATTGAATTATTAAATATATCTTTTTTTAAGCCCTCTCGAAGAAACATTAAATGGCAACTCTAGAATAAAAATTGTCATGCAAAAGTAACATATTTTATAATTCATGCATAATAATTTTATGGTTTATGCATAATTTATCAGTCCCCTTTCATATTTTTTATGAATATGAACCACTTCTATGCAAATTTTTCTGTGCAAAAATTACACAGTATAAAACATTATTCAGTCAAAGTTGTGTAGATAGTAAAAAATAAATATTATATTGATTTCCATTCATGTAAAATTGTTATGTCATATAAATAATATAATGACTCAAATTAATCTCTTCTCATATTTCTATTAAGATATTGATAAAAATTAAAAGTTATATTATTTAATATTCCACCTTCAACTCTTAATTTATTTCCAAAAATTTTAGGTAACAATGTATTGGATATAATCAAATTATGTGTCCCAATATATAATAATTGTTGGAATATTTTCTAAGTCTGAATTTAATAACCACTATATTTGTTATGTGAAAAAAAATGGAGAAACAACTAGGCATAATAGGAATTTTGGAAATAAAATGACAGTTTTGTGCGAGAAAGTTAACTTTCTTGTGTTTTTTGCAGGGAAATATTTTGGGAAAATTTATCGATGCGGGAATCTCACTTTCCCAAAAAATTTCCCTTTCCAAGTAACCAAACTCCTAAAAATTAAATTTCTTTTCCATTTCTTTTCCTTTCTACCTACTCCACGCTAACCAAACGAACCCTAATAATTTAGTTTCTGTTTTCGAAAAGTTTTTCCATTGTTTTAATTCCTAATAGTTTAGTATCTAAGAAAGTTTTCGTTCTTTTAATTTCTTATATAGTTTAGGGTTTGCTTAGGCCTATAAATACATGCTATTATAATAGTTTAGGGATCAATTATTACTTCTATCAATAACAATCGAGAGTTTCTCTCAACCTCTTCTCGTGAATTCGAGTGTTTAAAGAATACATTCATTGATCCGCTGCATCATATTCCCATTCCTATTGACCTTTGAAAGTGTTTAGGAGACGATGGGTATATCACTATTGTTAAATAAGACTGTAGTAACTAAGAAAATACCCTATGAACGGAGAAAGGATATTTTAGTACCTGTACATAAAAATAAGGGAGGTATTCAAAGTTGTACAAATTATCAAAAAATTAAATTAATAAGTCAAACTACAAACTTCGAGAGGGATTGATTGAGTAGCAACTAAGACTTGAAACAAAAAGTAGACTAATGAAAGAAGACTAATGAAAGATGTCAAGAGAATAAGAAAAGACTTAGATAAGATCCCCAAATTTATAATATGATGGGACATTAGAAAAGAAATAGTAACAAACAAATAAACAGACAGGATAAAGTACATATATGATGGATTGGTGTGGGAAAAAATCAAATGGAAACAATTACAATTCAACTATAGCCCAACCCAACATCAAGGATCAACAATATGTTAACATTTTGCCTATGGATGAACTGAAAAACTCATTCAAGATAAAGTTCCACGATATATGTTATTTATTGATATTTGTGTTTTAATTGATGAAACTGAAGTAGGGATAAGTACTAAAATAAAGATCAGAAGATAAATTAAAGAAACAAAAATGATTCAAAATAAGTAGGACTAGAAATAAATATATATAGAATGTAATTTAGTAGAATGAAAAACAAGAGTACATAAGCAATAAAATTTGAGAACTATGAGATATCAACAGGCAAATAGCTTTGTTCCTAGGTTCAATTATTCACAGTGAATGAGATATTGACAATTATTTAGATCATGTTCCTCATATAATTTTAGTGTAGGATGGGAATAATGGAGGAATTTTTCTACCATACAATGTAATGTATACCTCTACAGTTAAATGGTAAATTTTATAAAACGTTAATTTTTTTAATTATTTATAACCTTCCAACCACAATTATTTTAGAATATTATAAAATGTGTTTTAACATGAGTCGAGAAAACAAAGAAATACATGATTGAATGTGTTTTGACTAGAGTCAGGACCTTATAGCAGAATGAAAAAACAGATTTCATGTATCCAACCATAAATAGTTGGGATAAGGTTTTTTGAGTTAAGTTGTTGACCATAGTCTGATCACCATGCAAGTCAGAAATTACTCTTGACAAACAAGAAATTTTACCAGATTTCTTGTGAAGGTTGTACCCTTCAAGCACATTGAATGATATAGTGATGCAGATCACTTAAATTATGGGAATTAATTCTGCTTAATTTTTTTTTTTTTTTTTTTTTTTTTTTGATAAGTAATTCTGATTTAAATTAACGAGGCAAAGAAAGTAAAAGCAGAAGAATTGAGATCAAATACACAACAGGAATGCACTTATGCACTGTTAGCCATGCAAAGTGCGTAACCTCTTCAAAATTACATGAAAACAGCGGCAACCATTAAAAGATCACATCTTCTTAGTTCAATGTAGTATCCTACAAAAAAGGAACATGATCTCAGCCCTCAATTTGATTTCTTGCTTAGCTAAAATCAATTCCCTGAGAGAGAGAAAGAGAAGCCAAAAGGCCTAAAATTCATACTAACCCTATATACAACAATACTAGTATATATGGTACTACTCCACGAACTGTCCCAGTACTATTAGCTGTCCCAGTACTATTAGCGCTCACTAGAACAGTACTTCAAGCACAAAATATATTTATATATATATATAATATATGTGTGTGTGTGTACCTATATCAAATCATTCTAAGCACGGGTAAAGATCATCATCATCCTTGCCTTAATCCCATATAAATGGAGTCAGCCAATTGAATTCTCTTTTTCCATTCTTTTCTATTACACGCCGTCTCTTCTTTTCTAAGCACAGGTAAAGGTATTCGGGTCAATTTATTAAAAATTAAACACAATCTTGTTGGGAAGGGTGTATTAGAAGAACCATGATTGTCAACTAATTCTTTTTTTGCCTCTCCTCCATTCCTCTTCATCCTCTTCATATATTTTCTTTACATTATTTAAGCACAATCGTCCTTACCATAGAATCGTCTTTCATAGCTGTTACGACAAACCCAAGAACTAATCAAGAAACAGGACAGAAAAATACACACACAACACACAAAGAACACAAAGATTTAGCGTGGTTCGGCAAAGCCTACATCCATGGTGAAGATCCGGCAAAAGTTTTCACTATGCGAAAATCAGCTGATTATAAGTTTCAGCCTCAAACCCTAGCTCTCGCTCTCTCTCTCTCTTTTCTGTGATTTTCAGTATCTTTCAATAATCCACTCCAAACCCTATATGCCCTTATATATCGATTATCGGGCTACAAGAGAGTACTAAATGGGTCCACGACCCGCAAGCAAAAGCAGGTCAACTGGTCTCAATGCGACCTGCCACCAAATTCGGGCCACAACATCACAATAGCATATGTCCAGAAGCAGAGATATGTGAAGACGAGGCCTAAAGTCGGTGGATCACTTATCCACTGCCATTTTACAGTGATATGTGGATCAGTTGGACACCACTTTCTTCAGTTATCAAAGTGCTCCCCTCCCGGCACTCCAACATCTGCAGCAACAGATGTCAAACTAAAAACATTTGGAGGATGGTCCCAACTGTTCATTAGAGCAATTTGGAAGGAGAGCAATAATACAATTTGGACAAAAGCGCATGTTTCTAGGTTACAACTTTTCAAGTCACTTATCATACGCATCTTGGAATATAGAAGTAATAAATTGTGAGGTGCCAAGTTCTGATTATTATAGGACCTTTTACCAAATTAGTTATTACAGTTATTTAGTCCCAATCAAAAACTTTACTTTCAATCATAAAAATGTGTCAAGATTTTGATTTGTTAGCAGAGCAACAGGGGGGACACCAACCTTGGGCAATTTGTGCACGCCGTTTCTCTTTTGTTGAATCTTGATAGGCCTGCACATAAGGCACAGAACGGTGGTTTCAGCACAAGGCATAAACTCATTAAAGCAAAACCTATCTCTCATTCAAATTCGTGATAAATTAAAAGCAATTAGTTCCACAACAATCATTTTTTTAAATCTAAATCTAACCCTATTCTTGAGATATGGAATGTAGATTACAAGAGTCCTGCCCGTGCAATTACTATAGAAAGCAATGCAACCAAGTCCAAGAAGGAACCGTAACAACTAAAAACAATTAAAAAACTAAAAGAAAATGCCAAAAAAAAACAAAATTGAAAAGAGGGAGTGTATTTAAGTGCAGATTTTCTGTGTCAAGTACAAGGGGCAACTCAGGTGAGATAGTTTGATGAATGAAAAGGAGAAATAGATAATCAAGCTTCTTACATGCAAGAGTTCAATTCTTATTGTAAAAGCAATGACCATATGCAGTTAGGTAAGCATGCTACATGATGCAATAAAAAATAAAAATAAAAAATTGCTTTGTTGCATATTTGACGAAGCTGAAGCTTCAGATTTAACAACCCATATAAACATATATCCACTAAAAAGGAAACTGAATCTACTCATGAGGATAATGTATATAAAACTATAATAAAGCTGAATGTGAACTAAAGAAAATAAGTAATTCATCCGCCACGCCTTAAAGCTTTTCCTTGTGACAGTAAAGTATCCATCAACTGCACAACAATTCTAGCATCATGTGCTATAGTATACCCGACTTTAGACCATTAAATTGTGGTTGATTACTATTCATTGATTATTTCAGAATTTCACTAAATTCGCAGAGCTATTTCTCCAGCATGAGCGCAATTTAATTTTTTATTTCAAGGATAAATTACACTCACACCCCATGGGGTTTTCCTTTGTTACACACGGTTGGCGATAACATTGTACTCCACTGAGGTTCCACGCATGTTTACCCCCCCCCCCCCTCCCCTTCCGAGGAGCTTTAAATAGTCATTAGAACAATCAGAAAAAATTGATGTGATGGCCTTTTAAGAATCATAAAATTACAATGATAACATAATTAAATTGTTATACAATTCTCGGGCAACGACGAGAATTCAACCGCAGCAGATGATATATATGATAGAGACGAATAAAAATGTTCTTCCTCAAAAGTTGCCCCCAACTGGCAAATTTGAAGGGTTCACCGAAGTATTCAACCACAACAGGAGAAATATAATTCTCAGGCAACAGTGACAACTCCAAGCATGAGGTTCTAGAAACACGTAGTAAATTTGGCAAAGCCATATTCAGAGACAAGTGCAAAGAAGAAAATTGAGAACAATAAGTAAAAGTTGAGCTGAATTAGTAATCGAAGCCATTTTAAATGAAATAAAGTAAAACCAAACTTTGTGTATAGAAAAACGTTCAAAGATAACTACTACAAAGCTAAAAAGATGGAGAATTCAATTGGAAAAACGTTCTTTATTTATCATTTGGGAGGTTGATGGATGAAAAATAACCACTAATTTCTTCATTGAAGATTTCTCTTATAGATAACTTCTCTGTTTTCAAAGCCTTGAATTGTTAAATGATGATTTCACCACAATGTGCCTTGCACGATTTGCCAAGTTCTATCCCCATAAATACTACCATATTGCCGGCAATGAGACCCATATTGTCACCGCCCAAATCCATATTAATAAGGTCGTGGTCGATTCACTTGAACGGATGCTTCAAAAGGACACAGCCATCATTGTAATTGTCCTTGACACCAAAACCATAGACAATAGAGAATAATCGAGGGAAAATTTTGCAATCACATAATGCACCGAAGATTTTTTAGTTATTTCACTTGTAAGATTTTTTGGTTAAAAATGCATTATAAAATAAGGGACAAATATGCATTTCATATATTTTTCTGTTTTTTTCGTGAGCTAACTTCAGTAGGTGTGAGTATAATTTACCCCTTTTAAACTTCAATAAACTAATTTACTTTTGGATCCATTCAAGCATCACTGGATATTAAAGAATCACAACCTCCCCTCTGTGAGGAGGAAAGAAGAAACTTTATTTTATATTTCAAAAAAGCCTAAGTTTTTAGATTTTTCCCCAGGCTAGATCTAAATGGGAAAAGAGCCAATGTAAGAAACTAATACACAAATTCTTTGCACAGAATAAGAAAACAAACAAACTCTTACTCTTACGCATGTGATCCTTCAATAATAATTGATGGCACAAACATTTTTTTTTTTTTGATAAGTAAAAATTTTATAAAAAAACGCTCAGAAGGGGAGCGGAACCCAAGCAAATACAAAAGACCACAAAGGCCTCAAGCCTTCAAAGAGGCTAAAAAATCAACTACTTCCTCCAAAGAACAATGATCTCTTCCTCCAAAGAACAATAATTGAGGCTTTGTCGATTTCGGTGCTTAAATTCTCGATTGAGGGCACAAACATGGTAAAGAAACAAGCAAAGATTAGAAACAGTTATGCTAAAAGCAAGCATTCAAACCTCATGTGGATCAAAATAAGTCCGAACTAGGAGATGCTCAAGTCGTAAATATCTTTCAGGTTGCTCCTGCTTCATGATGCCCATTGCCTGTGTCTGCCTCAAAATTGCACGAGCAGTATCCAACTCCCGAAGTTCAATCATTTCTAAAACAATCTACAAAACAAAAAGAGAACAAATACAGACATAAATACATTTCTAAGTGCAAATGCAACATACAGCAATACACGTCATCTATTTACTTCATACACACTAAACAAAGAGAACCGTGCATTATCATTTGAGATTAGGCAATCATCATTTATGTTCATATAAATTGTGATTTCTTTTTTTACTCAACGCTGCTAAGAATTTTTCTACATATTTTTAAGGCCTGTGCCTAATTCTTGCTTCGTCTTCTTAAAAAACATTGGAATGGAGTAATCAGAATTAAAAAACATCTATCTTTTCTATTTATTAGTTTATTTTGTTACGTGAGGATTGCATTTGGGCTTGTTTGGTTTCAGAAACTTGTTTGATTGCAGTTTTCTGGAAATTATTTTTTAAAATCTCAATTAAAGAACTTGTTTTAGAAAACTATCTTTTATATTTCCTATTTTTTGAGTTGTTCTTAATATTTGTTTTCAAAAAACTGAACCAAAAAGTTCTTGTCACACCTGTGATGACTAACTGACTTTTTGATGCTTTAATTATCATCCTTATTGACCTTTCTCCATATGGATATGTCACTGTAGCAATGCCCTCCTCAGCAAAATCAATGTTTGTTCTGACGCACATCCCATTCTAATTGCCAAACCATCCTAGGAGCCTAAATTCAAGATTCTCGACACAAACAGTTTCTTTACTAGCACCAAGAAAAGGCATACTAAACAAAACTTTGTTGTACTTTTTACCATTGAGTAACATACATATATCAATAACATGGAAATCATATTATCGTTTTAGTGAAATAATAATATTAAGACGAATAAGCTTATAAATCATACAGTTCCAAAACAAAAAACAAAATGAATATTATTAAGTAACAAGAGGAGAAGGCCTTTTTCAGACAACCACGTATCAAATACCTGCTCATACAAATCCTCTAGTTTCTTCCTTGGAAGCTTAAGTTGTGCTACTTGAGGCAGTATGGCATCCCACCTTCCACTATTAATATCAGCAACAAATGTTTCAAGGCTGTCTACTGTATTGAGTGAAACTTGGCACTCACTCTGTAATGTCTGGAAAGTTTGTTGCAAAGAATTTTCTTTGCAAAACTGAAGAACGATCTTAATCACGCTGAAAAATGAATTAAACTACATTAGATTTCTTGTTATCACAAACAAAATCTGTTACAAAGGGGGAAAGGTAGCTTTAAGAAAAATAATTCATGCTATTTGAGACAAAATTATAAATAATTAACTAATAATATGGTTGACCATGTGAAACAAAGACCAATAATCATACTAGTGAAAAAATAAATTGAAGTTATCAGTGCTAGTGGAAAAGAAAAAGTATAACAACCTGGGATGAGATAGTAAGGAAATATATAATGGCATTTTTCAACTGAATTATGAAACAAGGAAAAGGAACACGGCTGACTTCAAATAGTTGGGACAATGCATTGTTGAGTTCAACGATTTTTTTGTAAACAAGAAATAAATTTGGGGGGAGGGAGGGGGGAATTAAAACAAAAAAGGAAAAAGAGCCCTAGTAAAATTTAAGTACCATGATGCCATGGAATCAGTGCTATCCAGTTTACTTTTCAAAAGCTATGCAACCAAACAAGCTATGAGAAGACAGTGACTATCAAATTCTTTTCTTTCCATATATCTCACCACTAATTCAGTTCAGAAAAAAGCTTTGTTGAGTTATGTAGGAAACAACATTAAATTTGTTAAAATCCAGATGTACGATTAGGTTAGAACCTGAGAAAACAAAAGCTTCTAATACAAGGAGTTGGCATGGTTAGATTTTTTTTTTTTTGTGTGTGTGTGTGTGTGTGTGTGTGTGTGTGTGGGTGTGAACCAAACAGCAGAAAAATATTAAATTCATGTTCTTTCTTTTCGTTTCCCTTTTTCCCCAGCTTGCTGCATAACCATATTCGCATAGGAAGCAAAATATAAGAACATATGTTTTTTGATAAGTAAAAACATACAAAATACAGGAAGATATGTAATCGATGCAATTGCGTTATTCTGGGAGATAAAACACTAATATATATATATATATAAAAAGTGAATAAAAGTGGTGGAAGATATCTTACTCTCTAGCTTCGATTTCTAGGGTAGACATCGTCCGCAACGCTCCTGAATACTACGAAGCAAACTTAGAATGCTAATCTCCGATTGAACGAGCAATGCTAATGCTTCCCTTCCTGTTACGATTCACTCACTCCGTATGCCAATTCAGAGATAGATAACGGTACGGTTGAATGAATAAATGGGAGTTTAGGGTTTTTCTTTTCGCGCAGCGGTTTAATTGTAAATCAGGCTTATTAACAAAACTAAATAAAGGGAGCTTACATATTGGCGCTCCATTATAATCCAAACCGCGCTCCACTTTTTCTCAATCCTAAATTGAAATTATATTACGACTCTCACCCCACACCAAGTTTATGTTTTACTCCATCCGTGTTTAAAAATTAAAGTTTTTAAGGGAACAATGTCTTATAAAATTACCTGTATCAATTTGTCATATGTGTAGTTCTCAAATTTAAAATTTTTTAAAAATATAAAAGACAATGACGTCTAAAAATGAAATAATAAATTATTAATATGAGACAAATATAGTATAATTTTAATTTTTTTTTTTTTTTTTTTACAGAAAATTTCATAATTGTCGTGTTAGATTCATGAGGCCAAAAGCTAGTTTCTTGAACTTCTCCCACTCGGAAAAAAAATAATTAAAAAAAAAAAAAAAAAACTTCTCCCACCTTCCCATCACATCCTCTCTCTTCCCTTCTTTCACTCCAAAAATGAAATATCTCACTAATGATACTTCTCTCTCCAAAAATTAAAAGTGATACTGTGTTTGAGTCAGATGAGGTTGTTGAACTTGTTAAGACGACTACTATTTGAAGAAATCTAAAAAATTTATGAGTATTGAAGAAATCTCAAAAAATGTTTGAATCAATCAATGTTCACTATAATGGTAATATGTTGATTTGCAAATATTTTTTCTTTTTAATGAAACTATAAATATTTATTTTAGAATGAATTTTACTCATTGGGATATCATGATGAGAATAACAGACTTCGTGTATGAGGAAGATGTGTTATCCTTAAATAAAAATAGAAAAGTTTGGGATTCTGATTAAGATAATAAAGGTATCTGATTAGAAGAAGCATACTTGAATTAGAAGCAAACTCTATATCACATATAATTATATAAACTTTGTTGTATAGAAAAGCTTATTAATAGAAACTTTAAAATTTTACTCAAATAGAAACTTTGACGTATAGAAAAGATTATTTACTTTTAGAATGAGACAAAATAGAATTTACGAAATAGAAAATAAAAAAAAAAAAAGTTGGAAAAAAATTCAGTGTTTTGTTGTTAATGCTACAATTTTTGACCTGAGAAGATAACATGGGAGAAAACATTGATAAAGTATAATTATAAGAAAGTGAAAAAAAGAGTTTTACATAAAAAATTAATTAAAAGAAAAAACAAACGTTATATACTCTCTACGTTGCAAGGGGAGACTTATTCCACATCGAATCCGGATAGGAAGTAACATGTGTATAAGTAAATGGGTATGCTCCATTACCTAACAACTCGAGGTTTTTTTAGTAAATGGGTAATCGTTCACCCGTTAGAATCGGTATCAGAGTCAAACCCGGTCCTCGTCATTTTTATCAAACAAACAAACATAAATTTGACAATTTTCTTGCAAACACGTGTTATCTTGATTTTTATAAACTCTGTCAGATACTCCCAAAATAAACTTCCATACTGGCATCTTTTGTGAACTACTCTGACTCGAGTCAAGTTGAGCTTAATTCGTATTTATTTATTTGCTAAACATGCAGAGCTCAAACAAATAATTGGACTCAATTATTAAATGAGCCGAACTCAAACGTGACTTTTGTCTGCTCATTTGTTCGTAAACACGTTCGTGAATAAAACCCGTTTTGAGTTTGTGAACACATCTATATCCATGTGTGAATGTCTATATATGTAGACCTGTATAATTTTCATATTTTTTTGTTATAATAGGTAATTTAACAATTTATAAACCCAAACTCAATAATCTAAACCGGCCCGTTTGTTAATATAGGGGGTATTGTCTTTTGGTAATATAAAACTAGTCAAATTTATTTATTTAAAAAATAAAAATAAATAAAAACTAGCCCAACGCAATGTGATGTCAAATTATGTCTATTAAATTCTCATTACACACCTAAACAAAGACACAATCAAACCACAAACCACTCCCCCTCTAATAATCCCTTATCCAGCACCAAAACCCATACACCAGCCTCCCCCTTTTGTAGCAGAAAACTAAGTTTTTCCCAAAATAACTCCCCAGCTATATCACGTAACCTTATAACCACACAATCAACCATGCCAAAAAAAATACTGCCCTACATCACCACTGTCGCAAGCAAGATACACACCAACAACCCACCCCCAGTACAACAAATACAGCAGGAAATTACACCAGACAACCTCAGTTTTTAGCCCAAGCTATGAAAAGATACTCATACCAGCTTTTATATCATCTGCAACTATTATCCCAAGAGCAAACACAAATGAAGACAGAGTTGATTCCTTACTTTCCGAGCTAGAAAGCTCTCACCAACTTGGCTCTCAAGGAATTCAGTCATTAAGAGTGTTGAAGAAAGCTGCAAGGAAGAAGGAGAGTCCCTGCACTGAAACTGATTTGATGTCTCACAGACATCCTGGAGGTCATTTCTCACCTCCTTTTAAATGATTAGTCTCTTAACTTGGAACATTAGGGGGTTAAACCAACCCCTTAAAAGACTAATCTCTGACAATAAAATTGACATGGTCTCAATTGTGGAGACCAAAGTGTCTCCAACAAACATTGCTTCCATTCACAATTATGTGGCTCCATCATGGAACATGGTACATAATTACGAATTCTCTGACTTAGGAAGAATTTGGGTGTTATGGAACCCAATATCACGAACCTCTTTGTCATCAACACAACCTCACGAGCTATCCACTGCTCAATTTCAATCTTAGGGCACAATGTTAATTTATTTGCCTCATTTGTTTATGTTGCCAACAATGCAACTGATAGGCAATTTTTGTGGGATTCTGTAATTTACCATGCTAACATATTCTCACACTTTCCATGGTTACTTATGGGTGATTTCAATGTTTTTCTTAACATTGGGGAAACACATGGAGGATCAATGAGGTAGAGTAGTGCCATGACAGAATTCAGTGAATGTCTGTAAGAAGCTGAATTGTAATAACTCAAATTCTGTGGGATTTTGTATTCTTGGAGCAACAAAAGCACAGGGAATGCCTGCATTGCTAAGAAACTGGATTGAACTTTGGTTAACCTAGGGTGGACAGGAAATTTCCCCTTATCAGAATGTACTTTCCTACCTCCTAACATTTCAGATCACAGCCCAATTCTTGTAACATTAGACCTCAACACTCCAATAAGATGTGTTCCATTCAGATTCTTTAACACGTAGTCCTCTCACCCCAAATTCCACTCCTCAGTTCATGAAGCTTGGTCTACATTTATCAGATGAACAACCATGTTCCAGGTGGTCCAGAAGTTAAAACTGCTGAATAAGGTGCTAAGAACAAATTACAAGAAGGATTCTTCAGATGTTGATGCCAAACTGTAAGCTGTAAAGTTGGAACTTGATACCTGCCAAATTGATCTGGATAATACCACTGGGGATCACAAGCTCAGGCAGCTAGAGAGAGCACTTACTACTAAATATTTAAGATTGGCTAATGTTCAGAAGGACCACTTGAGACAAAAGTTAAGGATGACATGGTTAAGATTGGGGGACTGCAACTCCAATTTATTCCATAAATCTGTTTGCTCAAGAACAAACAAGAATAAAATACTTTCGCTTTCCACTAATTCAGGTAATATTCTACATGACAATGAAGCTATCAAGCTAGAGGTGGTGACTCACTTCAAGAACCTGCTTGGAATAACACCTTTATGCACTCACCATAGTAGTGACCTTACATCATTCATCACAATGCAGTTGCCTTCAGATCTCCATCATTACCTTGATGAACCCCCATCGCACTTTGAAATACAAAGTTGTATGCTGAAGCTTAACACAAATAAAACACCAGGCCCAGATGGTTACAATGCATTATTCTTCCATAAAGCTTGGGATGCAATAGGAAGATCAGTAATCCTTGCCATATCAGAGTTATTTAGAAATAGGAAGCTTTTGGTTGAAGCAAATCATACCTACATTTGCCTAGTCCCAAAATGCAAAAATCCATCTTCCCTTCATGATTATAGGCCAATTCCCTATGTTAATACCATTTACAAGTGCATTGCTAAATTACTGGCACAAAAGTTGCAAAGAACATTACCACAGATCATTGATCCATCACAAGCTGCCTTTATCCATGGGAGAAAAATCACAGACCCAATCTTAGTCACTCGTGAGCTTCTAAAGGGCTATCATAAATATTCCAGGCCAGCTAGATGTGCCATCAAGATTGACTTAAAGAAAGCCTTTGATTCCATGAAATGGGTTTCATCCTCATTTCCCTCAAATTGCACAACTGGCCTCAAAAGTTCATCTCCCTTATACAAGCATGCATGACATCCTCTATTTTCACTGTTGCACTCAATGGAGAGTTCTAAGGGTTCTTCAAAGGGAGAAGAGGGCTGAGACAAGGGGACCCCCTCTCACCATTCCTCTTTGTCATAGCTATGGATGCACTCTCATCTATTATCAAGAATTATGTGGGCAGAGTTCACAGTTTCAAGTTTCACTGGAGATGCAATGATAAAAAAAATCACCTACCTCTCTTATGCAGATGATTTGTTCTTGTTTTACCATGGAGACATCTCCTCAGTCTCGGTACTTAAATGTGCAGTTGATCATTTTAGCTCTATGTCTGGACTTGAGATTAATCTCAACAAAAGTTCAGTCTTATTTTCAGGAGTTGAATAACACACACAACAGGCCATCATTTCACTACTTGGCATTGATGCAGCTGAGCTCCCAGTGAAATATATTGGTGTGCCACTCATTACTACTTGCTTGAAAGTCTCACATTGCAGCCAACTCATCAACAACATTATACACAGAATTACACACTGGTCATCAAGGTCCATTTCTTATGCTGGCAGGCTATAGTTGATCAAATCAGTGTTAGTTTCAACCCAAATATACTGGAGTAACATCTCCATACTTCCAAAAGTGGTGATTGATGAGCTAAATATAATTTTCAGGTCATTCATTTGGTCTAGGGCTGAGATGAAATCTACTTGCTCCAAAATAGCCTAGCACAAGGTGTGCAGACCTAAGGAAGGTGGCGGGCTAGGCATCCCTGACTTGGAGCAAATAAAGTAGGGATTATGAGGTTCATTTGGGACCTACAGTGTGGTGATATGGATAGAATTTGGACCAATTGGTGTCATATACACCTCATCAAATCTATAAACTTTTGGACACTAAAATTTCCACACTCTTGCACTTGGAGTTGGAGGAAAATATTGCAGCTAAGGCACCCAACAAGATTATTAATTAAGCATAAGGTTGGGAATTGAGCTAATACCTCATTTTGGTGGGATAATTAGGCTCCTAGAGGTCCATTTTGCACCAGATTTTCCACATATATACTAACTGCTGCAACCTCCATGTCCTGCTATCAATGACAAGAAGATCTGGATTGCATCAACCACTGGACACTACTGTTTCAGACAAACTGCAGCCCTCTCAGCAGGTCAATTTTGCAAGGTTCCATGGTATAACCTGGTATGGAAATCCCAATTATACTACGCATGAAATTTAATTTGTGGCTAGCAGTTCGGTGTATATTGCCTACTCTTGACAGCAAATCCATGACCAAGCACCAAAATGTGTGTACACTTTGCTCTAATTCTCCGGAATCACATGACTACCTCTTATTTAGCTGCCCCTTCATTTCACTAATATGGAGCTATATTAAGGACAAATGCCACTTCTCAACTGCAATTACAAACTAGAGCAACTTGGTTATGCTCACCAGCCACATGTGGATGTCCAACTCACCACAAAACATGGTTAGGAAAATTTGCCCATCCTCTGTGGTTTACCACACTTGGGAAGAACGAAATAACAGAATTTTCAAGAAAAAGAATTGTTCACGGAGAGTGGTCCACACCAAGATTAACTCCTCTATCACTTCAATTCTCTGACTTGGTTTCCTTAGAGATTCAGCTGCTTTGAGGAGAATTATACTTGAATGGAATCTTCCTTCATCATGCTGTAAACCCCCTCCTCGTCTGCCGGATTAACAAGCTGCGAAGTTGCATTGCTTAATTTGGATATCGGATTATGGTTTTGATGAGCTCAACTAATGGTTATTGTTCCTCATCTATGTTATTTGGCTGGGTTTGTGCCCTATGTTTTCCTTTTGGGCATTTTTGGCGTAGTGGGCTTTTACTTAAAGTCATGTATTGGGCTAAGGCCCCAACTTTGTACATATTTATCTCTATACATATCAGTTGCTTTATTCTCCTGAAAAAAAAAAAAAAAAAAATTCTGTCCATTTTTAGATACCGAAATATGGTTTTGATGAGCTCAACTAACGATTATTAACAATTATTATTCCTCATGTGTGTTATTTGGCTGGGTTTGTGCTCTATGTTTGCTTTTTGGGCATTTTTGGCGAGTGGACTTTTACTTAAAGTCATGTATTGGGCTAAGGCCCAACTTTGTACATATTTACCTTTATATGTGTCATTGCTTTATTCTTCGAAAAAAAGAAAAAAGAAAAAAAAAATTCTGTCCATTAATTAATTTCCAAGCCCGCTTCCTTCAACCCTACAACTTATTCTCTCCTCTCTCCTTTCCGAAACCCAAACCCCTCAAGCGACCGACGATTACAGCAGCGGACCAGCCGTACCTGCTCAGGTCAGTGCGTCTGTCCCTCTCTTATTTTCCTTTCGTCTGGTTTCACTTCTCTAGTATCCTCTCCATATTGGCATGCCCATCGAAATCAGAAGTGGGAGTGCTTTTCTACTGTGCCAAACTTTGGAGATGAAACACTGAATATCGACATGGAAGCGAATATCAGTGAGTGTATATATACACAGATTCGTATAATTTTTTTCAGTGGAATATGGAGTACAATCTAACCTTATCATCAATTCAGGCGTCTACAAATCCACACGTCTAAGTTAAAATAAAAAATTCAAAAATCAAAAGAAGACGTTAGAGAGATGGCTAAAGGAGGAGGAAAGAGATACAACAAAAATCCCACCAGAAGGACCAACCATTATAATAAACATGCCGCCGCCCCCGCAGATGACATCGTCGACGACCAAATTGATGCATGTAAGTAATTAAACAAAAATCTCTATTCTTTCTCCATTTAAAAAATCTCTGTTTAGTGTTTGCTTGCTTTGCTATGGTAAGAAATTTGATTGAGCAACATTAAAGAGTTTGTAAGCCCCTTTCCCACCATTATTTATTTATTACTCCCTATTATTATTATTTTTGTGTTATTAGTTTTTGATAACTCCTCTGATCAAAGCACATCCTTAGCTGCATTATTCTAAATTTTAGTTTATTTTATTTATCTAACACTTTCATGGCGAGCGGACAGGGTAAGCTCCTCAATAACTACCAATGAATTGAGAAGCCATTCAAACCATTGGTGTTAATAAAAATGTGTTTTCTTATTGCATGCAGTTCACAAACAGCGAGATGTTGTTCCATTAGATATCAATGACGATATACTGGAATCAGACCAAGATAATGAGCGGCCTGTTTTTGATTTTGAGGTTATAATCTCTCCACTTCTTCTATTGCAACAGTTGCTTCATAGTCATCTGTGCTGTCATCCGAACTCTCTCTCTATATTTTCCCCTACTAGAAATGATAACCATTATACTTATTTGAATGTATGGCACTTTTTTGTTTATTTATATACTAATGGTTAGAGTTGTTTCTTATCTAAATGTTTTGCACAGGATACTACTGACGACGATGATGACGACGAAGACGACATTGAGGATGACACCCAACTCACTGGCCTTGCTGCAAAAAGTAAAAATGATCACTCAAAACTTTAGATATTTTGTTGATTGATCTCTTTTCATCCTTCATCCACTGTTTGCCTTCATTGTTCAGATACGGTGACTTATTATTGAAATAGGGGTAAATTACACTGGCTTCCCTTGAGGTTTAGTAAAAAAAAAATAGTGATTGTCAGCAAATTTTCAACTCTCAAATTCCAATTTTACCCTTGAAAGACATGTAGAGACATTATTATCCTAACCAAATCAGGTGAAATTAATTAGGTACCCATTTTGAACTAAATGAACAATTATCCCTTCTTCCTTGTTATTTCATAAAGCTATAAGCCTATAATGTGTATATAAACATATATTTTCAGTCTTTAAAGGGAGAAGAAAAAGAACCAGTGGTGAAAATGACTTAGCAGTGCACTATGGGAAATTAGGATTGAGCAGGCAAAACTAAAGGTTTTGCACAAGAGAAAATGGTGGGTCTCAAGCTGCGAATTAGTGGATTATTCGTTGATTCCTGGTGAAGTATATGGCTTGAATCCATCATTTGAGTGTTATTAGACCAGCTCTTGAGAGGCAGATTCTTCTTCACCCGTAATGATACACCGCTTTACCCATTTATATATGCAAGGCACGGAACTGTTCAGGGCTCACTTGGGGCATTTGTCCCCACTGATTTTTTTTTTTTTGAATTATATACTTATAAATTTAACAACATTATTTTCTGGGTCAGTCCCTGTATGTATATGTATATATATTCAGAGAGAGATGCCCATTCAGAAATCAAGCATTATTTATGTAAAATGGAATATATATATATATATATAGAGAGAGAGAGAGAGAGAGAGAGAGAGATTGCCTTCTTCGTTTCCATTGCCTTCTTAATTCCTTGTTTGGTCTTTGCAACTGGTCTTTGTATTATGTTTTGTCCAATTGGATATAAAACGATAACCCATCAACCAAGATGAATTAAATTGAAGGGAAAATTAGACTCAACTATTTTTTTTCCCTGTCTAGGGTTCTTAGAAAGGAGAGGTTAGTGTAATTTGGCAAACAAGACGGTTTTTTTTTATTTTATTTTTTATTGAAGTGAGAATAGCTAGAATTCACAGTCATCATTGTTCAAGTGAGTTTATGCAATTATCTTAACATTCAACTGTTATTACGCACTCTATTTTACAAGTTATTTTTTTATTTTTTATTTTTGATAAGTAAAATGTATTAAAAGGTGTTCAAAAGGGGAACGTGTCCCAAGCTATATAAAAAGCTGAACCTATGATCTCAAGGAACCCAAAAAGTCCACAAGATCCTCAATCGAGGAGAAATCTCTCCCCCAACCCCAACAAAAATAGAGCACAAATAATAGAAAATTTCAACACCCCAATGGAGGATTCCTTCCCATCGAAAGATCTTCTATTCCGCTCTTTCCAAATGTTTCACCAAACACAAAAAGGGGTTACCCTCCAAAAGACTCTCGACTGAGCCCCCACCCATTGGCCCCTCCAAATATCCAGCAAGGCCCGAGATGTCTGAGGCATGACCCAATGAATACCAAATAGATCAAAAATGAGACTCCAACAATCATGAGCCACAGGACAATGCAGCAGTAAGTGATCCACTGACTCCCCATTCAATTTACAAAGATAACAGCGATTAACAATAATATGTCTTTGCTTCCTCAAGTTATCCAAAGTCAAAATCTTACTCCAAGCTGCAGTCCACACAAAAAAGGCCACCCTAAGAGGCGCCTTGGACAACCACACCATCTTCCATAGGAAGGAAACGCCATGAAAACCAGAGAGGCATACAAAAAAAGACCGGACCTGGAATATCCCCTGAGAAGAAGGCACCCAAATCAGGGAGTCAACACCAGTGCCCCTCCACCTCCTGTCTATACAAGAGAGCCAACAAGCCAGTAACATCATCCAACTCCTAATTTTGAAAAGATCGGCGGAATCGCACATCCCAAAATAACCTTCCGCTATCAAGACGATAGCAGTTAGCAACCATAGCATGTTTGTCAACAGCAATCCTAAACAGCCTTGGAAACAAAAGAGCCAGAGGCCTATCCTCGCACCAGGGATTCTCCCAAAACCGGACAAACCTTCCATCCCGAACTCTAAATCTAACATGTTTGGAAAAACTCGTCCCATCCTTTTCCAATGGCCCTCCACACCCCTTCTCCACTAGCAGACCTGACTGGCCTAGCTGACCAGCCCCCTCTCTCCTCCCCAAAACGATAAGAAATAACCCTTCTCCAAAATCTATGCCTTTCACTTCCGAATCTCCAGAGCCACTTACCAAGGAGAGCATTGTTAAAAGGAGCCAATCTCCTAATCCCAAGCCCGCCCAACTGAAATGGCCTGCAAACCTGCTCCCATCTGACAAGATGATACTTAGACTCCTCTCCACGACCCCCCCAAAGGAAGTTACGTTGAAGCATCTCAAGACGTCCAACAACCGAGGCTGGAACCCGAAGGAGCGAGAGGAAATATGTTGGGAGGCTTGACAATATACTTTTCACTAACGTAACTTTACCACCCTTGGAGAGAGATTGCTTTTTTCAACCAACTAATCTTTTCTCGACCCTCTCAATCACCGGGTCCCAACTTCCCACCCTCCTGGCCGAGTCCCCCAGCGGCAAACCCAAATACGAGATAGGGAAACGTTGCGTCCCACACCCTAAAACAGCAGCCAGAGTGTCCACCTCTTGAACCTCCCCCACAGGGACAAGCACACTCTTGCCCACGTTGACTTTCAAACCAAACACAGCCTGAAAGCAAACCAAGACATATCTCAGATACCTCAACTGGGACACTTCTGCCTCACAAAAAACAATAGTGTCATCTGCAAAGAGCAAGTGAGATATCTCCATCTGCTGAACGAAGTCGGGGCCAATCTTAAAGCCCCTGATGAAGCCCAAATCCACCGCCCTTTTCATCAACCTACTGAGAGCCTCCATAACAATAATAAAAAGGAATGGGGAGAGAGGGTCCCCCTGCCTCAAACTGCGAGAACTGCCGAAAAACCTTGCAGGAGACCCATTCACCAACATCGAAAAACTGACAATGGAAACACATGAAACAATCCATTTCCTCCATTTCTCACCAAAACCCATCCTCTCCAATAGATAGAACAGGAAATTCCAGCAGACATGATCATAGGCTTTCTCGATATCTAGCTCACGAAGAACACCAGGAACCCCACTACAGAATCTAGAATCCACACATTCACTGGCAATAAGAGCGGAATCCAGGATCTGTCTACCCCCAGTGAAAGCATTCTGAGACTCAGAGATAACTCCATCCAAAACCTCCCTCAATCGAAATGCAAGGACTTTTGCGATGAGCTTGTAAATACACCCAATCAGACTGATTGGTCGAAAATCCTTAATGTCAGAAGCACCACCCTTCTTAGGAATAAGGGCAATAAAAGATGCGTTCAGAGATTTCTCAAACCTCCCCGTGGAATGAAACTCATGAAAAGTGCCCATAACCTCGTATCGAACTACCTCCCAGCTCTCCAACAGAAATCTCATAGTAAAGCCGTCCGGGCTTGGAGCCTTATCACCAGTACAGCTCTTAAGAGCCTTCAGCACCTCTTCCTCCGAAAAAGGATTTTCCAACCCATCTCTTTCCATGGCAGAAATAGAATCAAAGTAAAGGTCATCCAAACGTGGCCTCCATCGAAGAGGCTCAGAATAAAGCTTTTGGTAAAAAGAGACAATACCGCTACGCACCTCCTCCTCCATAGCCAAAATCGCATCATCCGCACGCAACCGCCCAATGTGATTATTCCTCCTATGAGCATTAACGGTTCTGTGAAAAAACTTGGTATTCCAGTCTCCCTCTTTGAGCCATAAGGCCCGAGAATTCTGTCGCCAGGAGATTTCCTCCAAAATTGCAATCTCCACACATTCTGCCTGCCAAGCTGCTCTCCTACTGCGTTGAGATTCAGAAAGAACACCCTCCCCTTCAAGTCTATCAATCTCGGCAATATCAGCCAAAGCCCTATTTTTTCTCCACTCCAAGCTCCCAAAAACCTCCTTATTCCACCTTTTGAGATTATTTTTTAAAGTACGAAGCTTTCCTGCAAGAATAAAACTCGATGTACCCACCATTACAGCTCTTATAAGAATGGTTGTGAATCACTTTACAAGTTTAGTCAGATATTATAGATCTTTGTTATTACATAATTTGTTTTTGTGCACTTATTTTTCTTAACACGTGAATTTTGGAGAAAAGGGAGCGCAACCTTTGTCATGAAAATGGTTCTTTTTATGGGAGCATGTCCAGCAATCACTGCCACTTATTGTGATACGATGCTTCAGCAAGAGCTTTAGGCATTGGTTTGTTGGATGAATTTGAGCACAAAGAAATCAATTTTTTTGGTAAATATAATGGAAATCTGTTGTTGTTCTTGAATATATGGAAGCGAGTTAGCAAATTCATACATAGATAGCTAATTATTTGCAGTACTTAGTTATTTGTTTACAAAGTACGAAAGGAAAATGGCTTCCATTTGAGGAAGAAGTTGTAGTTACTGTAAAAAAATATCAAAATCATCAGGGATTTGCATAACCATGTAGAATTTATTGACTATAAGTTTCAAGTTAATTTGTAATTGTATGATCATGTATTTATGTATTATTATGGTATATGCACTATGATATATTTTTTGGGATTATGAATTCATTCATCAATATATTGATATATAAGAGCAATTTTGTTTTTGTTACCGGTGGTTTTACAACTTACAATTTCTTCTACTTGAAGTCAACTCTTTTCATAAGTTCTATCTCAACTAACTTTTTTATTGCAAATGATCACTAGTTGCAAGGCAGGAAAAATTTCTGCGGGCTAAGATCGGTGGGGTTGAGGATGAAATGCATGATGAAGCTGAAGATGAGGAAGAAAAAAAGGCTGTATGGGGTAGAAGAAAGAACATATATTACAGTGCCGATAATGTTGATTTCGAGGTAAGAATTTATGTTTTAAAGGCATAGGCTTTAATTTTACTTCCTTTTATCCATTTAAAACTGAGAAGAAAAAAATATTGGTAACACATTAATGTGTTAATCATTATCAAACTGTGAATTGGTTACTTTTCACTTAACTTTGATTTTTTTTGATCTTTTTGCTTGACAACATTAAAGCTACAATCAAGTGATGAGGAGCTACCTGCGGAAGAGGAGGCAGAGGTGTTAAGATTGCAGAAGGAGAAAGCAATGTCTTTATCCAGGGAAGACTTTGGCCTTGAAGATGCTAGTCAAGATGAGAGTGATGGAGAGCGGACATTAGAGGTGAGGCTCATACATTATCTTTTTATTTCAAGCAATATATGGTGATCCTTATTTTCTCTCCCATGTCTATGATGAACACTCTGAAACTGGAGAGCATCAGTCCATAAAGAGAGTACGAACTAGAATTCTTTCAAGTGCCGTGACCCATGATCATTTTTCCCTATATTGCAGGAAATTTTGGTTGAAGGGATAAACACATCAAAAGTTTCAGCACACAAACTAGCTCAAGATGAACTTGGTACAGCTTATGAGGAGGTCAAAAAAGATTTAAATGCTTTGTCGAGGGATGAGCAAATGGATGTTGTTTATAGGTAACTGCTCTTATACAATTGACACTTTTAGATATACTAACTTTAGTGTAGAAAATTTATTGAGTTACTCTTAAACCGTCTTGGGAGACCAGTGTAGTGGATCTTACAGACCATGTTACATGGACAAACTTGTTGTTCCACTTGGACTATTTATAATACTTATTTTGCGGATTTCATCTTATTTTTTCAGTGTAATTTATGATATTTTTGATTTCTAAAGTCTTTTCGCATTGTGTGTACTTGACATATCCTGGTTTTGCTGGTGATCTTTAATACTGAATAGATGTTAATATCGTGATCATTAGTGTTATCCCTTTCCATGAAACAGAGCTTATTACCCTATCAATTCTCTCAGATGAACCAGAAGGTAGTGCGGCCTTTCTAATTGGGATAGAACTGATTTATTTTGCTAGCGTACAACACTAAAAAAGATGCAACTACCTGGAAAGTTTGGTTCTTCTTGAATAATTGTAGAATTACTTATTCCACCACACAGGTGCTTCAAGAGACGGAGCTATCTGTCCTTGGAGTTGTCTGTTTTTAAAGGATAAGCTTACTTTATGCTTTTACGTTTGAATGTCGTATATGTCCCGTGTCCCGAATCATATAAATTGGGCTAGCACTGATTAATTTTGGTAGCTTACAACTAAAAAAGATGCTACTACGTTGAAAATTTAGTTCTTCTTGAAGAATTGTAGAATTACTCATTCCACCACACAGGTGCTTCAAGAGACAGACCTATCTGTCCTTGGAGTTGGTCTGTTTTTAAAGGATAAGCTTACAACATCACAATCTGAATTAGATTTTAGATTATATCAAATTGAGTGTTTCAATGGACCACCAGAGGAAGCTTGCCGTGGTAGAGACGTGGCCGGAGTCTACTGCTCCGACCAGTTACCGGAGTCATTAACTCCGGTGAAATCCTCTACTGCTTTCATTTCTTACGTTCTCTTTCTCTGTTGGTTTCGCTGTTTCGTTGGGTGTGGATTTGTTCATGAAATCGCTCGATAGTCAGAAGCTGTCTTTTTTTGAGGTTGCCCGTCTTCCTCGTCTGGATTTTAAAGGGGAGGTGGAACGGATTTCTTCTCAGAAGGATCATGTGTTTAGGGTGGATAGGCTTAGCACTTCCTCTTGCGAACAGGTTCTTAGGGCTTGCCTCGTTGGGCGTTTTGACAGAGAGGTGGGATCCTTGGAGGAGATTGAAGATTGGGCCACGAAGACCTGGTTGATTTCGGGCGGGGTTAGGGTTAACTCCTTGCCGGACGGGCTTTTGTTGTTCCGGTTCCCGTCGGCGTTGGAGGCTCATAAGGTCCTTGATTGGGGCAAGAGAGTGTGGGGTGAGGCTCAGCTCTTTATTGATCTCTGGTACTACAGGGTTGGGTGCTCTGGTTTGAGGCTGAGGAATAAGTTCCGGCGAGTCGTTTTGTATGGTCTGCCGTTGCATCTTTGGTGCCAGAAGCTTTTCGTCGCCATTGGTGATGTGTGGAGGTTTTCGGGAAGTGGAGGCCTTCGAGATGAGCGACATGGAAAGGATTGTGATCACTGTGGCTGACGGTGGTGTGATTCCGGCATGTATTGTGGTGGAGGATGGTCAGTGGGCGTTCAGATCTCGTTATCTGAAGAAATTGCTTCGACCATGGTCCCGCTGACTAGGACTTATGCTGGAAATGGTGTCTTGAGATCATCGGCGGTGTCGGCTGCCTCCCGTCCGGTTCGCAGATCTGGTGATGGAGGTAGATCTAAGTCGGAGCTCCAAAAGGTGGAGGTGCAGCACAATCGGACTCAAGGTCAGGGACGTGGGAGACGCCACGCGCCTTAGGCGAGTGGCAGTGGGAAGGAATCTCATGTGACACGTGGTTGGAGGAGGAACGACGCCCATTATGAGTGGAAGACAACTGCTCCTCCACGTGTTGAGCCTCGTGATCCTCGGCACCCTTTGAATTCTAATTCTTTTGGGCCTGATGAGAATGGGCTTCTCTAACGTGGGGCTCATGTTAAAGGCTCGAAAGGGACTGGGAAGGAAAAGCATGAGTGCGGTGGGTCTAGGCTTCCTTTTGGGCCGGGGTGGCCCTCAAAGCCTGCTACGAGGGATGGACGCCTCAAGCTTGCTGGGCCTCTTGTTGTTGCTGGACCAGCCTAGGTTAAGCTAAGTTTGGTTAAGGAGAGGGTGGTTAAATGGGGCCCAAATAAAAACCTCTCAATTTCATTTCAAGGTGGGCAACCTATTTCAGGAATGAACCATAACCATTCTTTTCAAGATTCTTATCCGTACACATCTCAGAGAAGCTTGGCATCGCGGTCTTGGTCGAGGAGAGAAAAGACGAACTGGGCGAAGGTGAGTTTGAGCATGACGAAGGGGGATGGGGTTTGTCCGAAGTCTTTCCGACATGGTTCGTGTTGTCAGAACCGGCTCTCGGGTAACAGATTTGATCCTCTGCAGTCTGGGTTTTTGGGTGAAGATGATAATGAATGATTGTGAGTCCATGAAGGAGGAGGGTCTCTCTCGGAATCCTTTGAAGCAACCCAGAAAGAAATGGACCAGAAAGGACAAACAGAAGTGGGTCGCCCGAAAGGATTCTCATTCGTGCCCAGGTAAGTCTTATTTTTCTCATGTCCGGAACGCTCCATCAGCTTCTTTCTCTTCTTCTATTCCTTCTTGTGAGTTGTTGAGAAGCAAGGGGGAGGATGTTTTTGCTGGGAGGCAGCAGATGCTGTCGCCTGTTATTGAGGGTGACTCGGTGGATGTGAGGAGCTCTACGGTTGGCTCTGATTTTGGGGATGTTGGGCCGTCAGAAAGGGATGGGACGGTTTGTTTGTCTGGTGACAGGGATTTCAACCGGTTGTGTGCCGGGTTTGCTGAGACATGCTCGGAGTTTTCTTCCACGTCTCGGTTTAATGATTCCTCAGGGGAGGAAATGGGCAGGTCAGCCAAGCTTCTTTTGAGTGGATCGGCAGGGCCTTGTTCTCCTCTAAAGGATGGCCCAGTGACTTGTTTGAAGGGGTCTGTGCCTGATTTGGTGACTGTTTGTGTGGGCAAAGACATCCGTATTTCCCTCAGCGATGAATCAACCTTTTTTTTGGTAAAGGAACTGCAGAAGCACAGATTTTCGCCTGATGTTCAAACTGTTGATTGCAATCCGGACCCTTTCATCCGGGATGGTGTTTTGGACTATGGTGAGGACTGGTCTTCTCATGTTGAGGAGGCAGTGGTGGATAAGGGAGGTGAGGGAGATGGGAGCAGGTCTCTTGATCTGATGTTGTGGGAGGAGGAGGGTTATGCTAACTTGGGGGTGGTGGACCCACTGGCTATTGTTCTTCTAGAGGATTTGGGCAGTAAGGTGTGTAGACAGAAAGCTGAGGATACTGGAAAGGAATGGGTCAAGGCTAATATTGGGGTCACTAGTGAACTTCTGGGTGTCTCTTGCAACGGCAATCGGGATCAGGCCTTAGCAATTCTTCAGGCTAAGGCAGAGGGGAGAGAGGGGGAGATGATTCAGTTTTCCAGAAGGAGGAGCCGGAAGAAGAAAAACCTTTCTCCGTGGAAAGGGGAAAGGGAGTTTAGGAATTTGGTTTCTGATGTGAATTATGATAGGGTGTCTGAGGGGGGGAAGGAAAGGGGGAGTGTTAAGGGAGGAGGGAGGGGTAAGGGGGTGATGGGGGTGAGCGTTTCCTTATGAAGCTACGTCTTTTATCTTGGAATGTCTGTGGCCTCAATGGTCCGGGCAAGAGAAAGGTGGGGAAGATGGCGGTGAGGAAATGGGGGGTGCAGTTGGTGTGTCTTCAAGAAATTAAGATCGATTCTATGACTGATCGGATGGTGAAGAGTTTGTGGGGTAACCGGTTTGTGGAGTGGGAGGCGTTGGATTCTGTTGGGACTTCAGGCGGTGTTCTCATTATGTGGGATAGACGATGGATGGCTAAGGTGGAAGTTTTTAGGAGATTTTTTCTGTGTCTTGTGCCTTTGTGATGGAGGAGGATGGTTTCACTTGGGGCTTTTCTGGGGTGTATGGGTCAGTTGATGATGATGAGAGGGATGGTCTGTGGGAGGAGTTGAGTGGGGTGAAGGGGAGGTGGTCTCTTCCTTGGTGTGTGGCAGGTGACTTTAATGTGGTTAGGTCCCCGGCGGAGAGATCTACAGGAGGTCCGTGGACTTAGGCTATGATGCACTTTTCTGACTTTATTGATGGGCATCAGCTCATTGATCTTCCTCTTGAGGGAGCTTCTTTCACTTGGTCCAGTGGAAGGGAAGCACCAACTCTCTCTCGCCTTGATACATTTTTGATTTCCGGTGACTGGGAAGAGAAGTTCCCGGATGTTGTTCAGGCTGTGTTGGCTAGGGTGACTTCGGATCACATTCCTTTGGTTCTGGATTGTGGAGGGTTGAGATCTCGTTGCACTCCTTTCAGATTTGAGAATATGTGGCTTCGTGCGGATAACTTCCAGGGACTTGTGCGTTTGTGGTGGGAGGAGAACCTGGAGGTGGGTACGTCGAGTTTTATTCTTGCAGGAAAGTTTCGTATTCTGAAAACTAATCTCAAAAGGTGGAATAAGGAGGTTTTTGGGAGTTTGGAGTGGAGAAAGAATAGGGCTTTGGCTGATATTGCCGAGATTGATAGACTTGAAGGGGAAGGTGTTCTTTCTGAATCCAAACGCAGTAGGAGAGCAGCTTGTCAAGCAGAATGTGTGGAGATTGCAGTGTTGGAGGAAATTTCGTGGCGTCAGAAATCTCGGGCCTTATGGCTCAAAGAGGGAGACCGGAATACCAAGTTTTTTCATAGAACCGCTAATGCTCATTGGAGGAATAATCACATTGGGCGGATGTGTGTGGATGGTGCGGTTTTGATTACGGAGGAGGAGGTGCGTAGCAGTATTGTCTCTTTCTACCAAAAGCTTTATTCTGAGCCTCTTCGATGGAGGCCACGTCTTGATGATCTTCACTTTGATTCTATTTCTACATTAGAAAGAGATGGGTTGGAAAATCCTTTTTCGGAGGAAGAGGTGCTGAAGGCCCTTGAGAGCTGTAATGGTGATAAGGCTCCAGGCCCGGACGACTTTACTATGAGATTTCTGTTGGAGAGCTGGGAGGTGGTCCGGTACGAGGTGATGGGCACTTTTCATGAGTTTCATTCCACGGGGCGGTTTGAGAAATCACTGAACGCATCTTTTATTGCTCTTATTCCTAAGAAGGGTGGTGCTTCTCACATTAAGGATTTTCGACCAATCAGTCTGATTTGATGCATTTACAAGCTCATCGCAAAAGTCCTTGCATTTCGTTTGAGAGAGGTTTTGGATGGAGTTATCTCTGAGTCTCAGAATGCTTTCATTGGGGGTAGACAGATCTTGGATTCCGCTCTTATTGCCAGTGAATGTGTGGATTCTAGATTCTGTAGTGGGGCTCCTAGGGTTCTATGTAAGCTGGATATCGAGAAAGCCTATGATCATGTCTGCTGGAATTTCCTGTTCTACCTATTGGAGAGGATGGGCTTTGGTGAGAGATGGAGGAAATGGATTGTTTCATGTGTTTCCACTGTCAATTTTTCGGTGTTGGTGAATAGGTCCCCTGCGGGGTTTTTTTGCAGCTCTCGCGGTCTGAGGCAAGGAGACCCTCTCTCCCCGTTCCTTTTTATTATTGTTATGGAGACTCTTAGTAGGTTGATGAGAAGGGCGGTGGATTTGGGTTTTATCAGGGGTTTCAAGATCGGTCCCGACTCCGTTTAGCAAATGGAGATTTCTCACTTGCTCTTTGCGGATGACACTATTGTTTTTTGCGAGGCAGAGGTGTCCCAGTTGAGGTATCTGAGATGTGTCTTAGTTTGCTTTCAGGCTGTCTCTGGTTTGAAAGTCAACGTGGGCAAGAGTGTGCTTGTCCCTGTGGGGAAGGTTTAGGAGGTGGACACTCTGGCTGCTATTTTAGGGTGTGGGACATAAAGTTTCCCTATCTCGTATTTGGGTTTGCCGTTGGGGGACTCGGCCAGGAGGGTGGGAAGTTGGGACCCGGTGATTGAGAGGGTCGAAAGAAGATTAGTTGGTTGGAAAAAGCAATATCTCTCAAAGGGTGGTAAAGTTACGATAGTGAAAAACATCTTGTCAAGCCTTCCAACATATTTTCTTTCGCTTTTTCGGGTTCTAGCCTCAGTTGTTGGACGTCTTGAGATGCTACAACGAAACTTCCTTTGGGGGGGTCGTGGAGAGGAGTTTAAGTATCATCTTATCAGATGGGAGCAGGTTTGCAGGCCTTTTTAGTTGGGTGGGCTTGGGATTAGGAGATTGGCCCCCTTTAACAGTGCTCTCCTTGGTAAGTGGCTTTGGAGATTCGGCAGTGAAAGGCATAGATTATGGAGAAGGGTTATTTTTTGTCGCTTTGGGGAGGAGAGAGGAGGGTGGTCAGCTAGGCCAGTCAGGTTTGCTATTGGAGTAGGGGTGTGAAGGGCCATTGGAAAAGGATGGGACGAGTTTTCCAAACATGTTAGATTCAAAGTTCGGGATGGAAGGTTTGTCCGGTTTTGGGAGGATCCCTAGTGCGCGGATAGGCCTTTGCTCTTTTGTTTCCAAGGCTGTTCAGGATTGCTGTTGACAAACATGCTATGGTTGCTAACTGCTATCGCCTTGATAGCGGGAGGTTATCTTGGGATGTGCGATTCCGGCGATCTTTTCAGGATTGGGAGTTGGATGATCTTACTGGCTTGTTGGCTCTCTTGTACAGACAGGAGGTGGAGGGCACTGGTGTTGACTCCCTGATTTGGGTGCCCACTTCTCAGGGGATGTTCCAGGTCCGATCTTTTTTTTTGTGTGCCTTTCTGGTTTTCATGGCGTTTCCTTCCCGTGGAAGACGGTGTGGTTGTCCAAGGCGCCTCTTAGGGTGGCCTTTTTCGTGTGGACTGCAGCTTGGATCAAGATTTTGACTTTGGATAACTTGAGGAAGCGAAGACATATTATTGTTAATCGGTGTTGTCTTTGTAAGTTGAATGGTGAGTCAGTGGATCACCTGCTGCTGCATTGTCCTGGGGCTCATGATTGTTGGAGTCTCATTTTTGATTTGTTTGGTATTCATTGGGTTATGCCTTGGACATCTCGGGAATTGCTGGATATTTGGAGGGGCCAATGGGTGGGGGCTCAGGCGAGAGTCTTCTGGAGGGTAACCCTTTTTTGTGTTTGGTGGAGCATTTGGAAAGAGCGGAGTAGAAGGTCTTTTGATGGGAAGGAGTCCTTCATTGGGGTGTTGAAATTTTCTATTATTTGTACTCTTTTTTGTTGGGGTTGGGGGAGAGATTTTTCCTCCATTGAGGATATTGTGGACTTTTTGGGCTCCTTGAGATCATAGTTTCAGTTTTTTGTATAGCTTGGGACGCGTTCCCCTTTTGAACGCCTTCTAATACATTTTACTTATCAAAAAAAAAAGAAAGGATAAGCTTACTTTGTGCTTTTATGTTTGAATGTCGGATATGTCCCATGTCCCGAATCATGTAAAGTCGGTTCTGGAAGGCTAATACTACATTGTGTCAGTATGTATTGATCTTCTAACAATAGTTTCAGTAAGAAAATAGGAAGAAACAGATGTAGAGAACAAATTATATACTAATTCTGGGCAATCAAAGTTAGGGTCAGTCTTAATACTTTTTTTTTGGCGTTAGTTTGAAATTATTTCATGTAGCATTATTTCATTATATCAGTAAATCTGGTTGTTAACAAGTAAGATATTTCACTGTTTTCCTTGTTCTTGTTGCTGTTTTCTCTCTGTGATGTGTCACAGTTGTTTGGATACCGCAAAAGCCCTCTTCAGTTTTCTGTCAGATCTGCTGGGCTGGTGGCTTGATTTTGCATCATATGAGTTATATGAAAAATGTGTGATTCATTTTGTCAGTTTTTGGCAATTGGCTGTAATTTTTTTTTCAAGAATAACATTTTGCTCCAATTTCTGGCAACTAGTGATGCTTTATGCTTTTTAAGGACTTTTTTATGTGTTGGAATTAGATCCTTCCCCCTTCCCCACACACTCGCACACCAAAGAAAGAAAGAAAAAAAACAACTAATTTGAGCTCATAGTAACAAAATGCATCTCTATTTTAATTTTGAATATTATGGTTCTAAATTCTAACTGTTGTCTGATTTACTTATCCTACAGTTCTGCTCCAGAATTAGTTGGTTTGCTATCAGAGCTGAATGATGCACTTGAACAGCTCGAGAACAAAGTTTATCCACTTCTAACCAAGGTATATTTTCTTTGGGTGCTTAGTTATGTCTAGTGATTTCTTGCTAAACAAGACTATATGCTGAAGATGACTCCAAATTACCTGTGTCACATGATGGTTTGATAGATCTATGCAGGTGATACCTGTCTATCTTTGAAGACCTAGGTCATGATATACATATATACAGATATATATATATATATATATATATAGTTATTTATTTATTTATTTTTTTGTAATTTTATACTTTATACATATCCTGCAATTGCATTTCTATATCGGTTTGGACGATGGCTTCTCTTAACGGTTTTGACTTGGGCAGATGATTCTAATCCAATAGCCATGATTAAGATGGTTGAAATAGTCCAATTGAAGATAAAATGAAATAAAGAAAATATTGATTAAAATTGTTTGGCCATGTGTAGTGAACCCAACAACTGCCCCTAAACAAAAATGTGGTTCTTATTTAAGGTAATGCTAGAAGAATGGGAAGATGAAAAATAACATGGGTTCATGGTTGGGGATATATTATATTATGTGATTTAATTGAGGTTATGACCTAAGTCAGAGCGAGAGCGGGAGAGCGCCGAGTCTAAAGTTTTTGAGAGTGGGAGCGTCTGTATATTACATGAAATATGATTACCTGACTTTGTTAAAATATTATTTTTTATTTAATACAAAATGCATTCCATAATGTATTTGCATATACAGAACATTCGTGTTAAGTAATAAAAGAGAGTGCTTTATACTAAAGGCAGGTGGTAATATGCTCATCCTTATTTGATTAGAGGTATTATAAATTTTACACAAAGCACAAAAGCATCCTTGGGTGCACACATCATGATTGCTCATTGAGAAACACTGAAATACGCACATGTGGCGACCCTACACTAAAACACTCTAGCATGATTCACATGCGGCAACTGTTCAATGACTAACATCAGAATCCGTGATCTGAGAAAATTTGCAAATTCTAAAAATCTGCAGATGTGAGGCTGTTCCACTCTTAATCCGCCAAAGCGTGTGTGGAGTCTAGGGGCGCCTAGGGATTAGGCGAATCCTGGGACGAAGGTTATGACCTTAGATTAGGGATAGCAATTTGTCCTGATCCTATGGGTTTCCGCACTGACCCATGTCTATGGGAAGGGTATGAGATAATGTTAAATGGGTTAGGGACGGGTTTGGGTAAATAAAGTTAAACCTGGCTTGGTTCGGGGCGGGAAATGGTTTCGTAGTAAACTGCCCTCCTCTCCTTTATAAAACAAGATTATATCTTCTAGTGTTCTAGTTCCCATTGACTCTGCCGTCTACCTCGAACTCCACACCACTCTACATTTCCCTTGTGCCTCTCAACAAACACCTCAAACAATTCTCCTCCTTTGAATAACATAGATAAATAAACTAGCTGATTCTAAACTATTAGTCAAAAGTCCCTTCATCGTCCAACATTTTATACAACACTTGCTATAGACGTGAAACATAATCCATAAATTACACATAAAACCCAAAAGTCCGATATACAAGTCCCCAAGTGGGAGACACACAAGTCCCACTATGCTACTCAATAAGTACAAAATCCATAATTCAAAACAAACATAGCGGTTAGCACCAAAATACATAGCAAATGATTCCACCTGACTGCACGTCTCTAAAGGTCTGCCTGAAGTCAACCTTACTCCTGTGCCACGACCTTCTCATCACTGATAGGACCTGGAAAAGGTTGTAGAAAAAGGGGTGAGCTCAAAAAGCCCAGTAGGTTACGGGGTTTGAAATAACTTTTTTGAAAAATGAACTGAACATTTAGGCTAGGCTGCAAAATATGACCATATGACTAACTCAAAATTAATATATAATTTACTCATACTCCAAAACCACTTCCAAAATCAATTCGTCTCCACTTTATATATACAAAACGTGTAATCGTGAAACCAAATAGATCTACAAATATATAAGAAATTCCAAAATATTATATTCTCTGTTTGTGCTCCCTGGGACCGCCGCCCTCCGTCCTTCAACTTTAGGGGCTTGCACCCTGGGACCGTGAACACTCTCTCGTTAAAAGCCTGGCTATTTAAGGTTTTTCAACCTAAGAGAAACTCTTACACTACCTATTTCGTGTTGGGCACATACACAGTTGAGAGAACAAAATCAATACCAAAGAAGGTAATCCCGTATACCATTCTCAATACAATAAGCCTTCTTTTATACTCACCACATCACATTAAAAGACTTTGTATAAATTAAATGTTACTGTAATTAACAAGAATTCTAGTGACAACCCATATATATCTATTCTAACCTTTCAAGGTATCACATTCAAAATCATACTATATATATAATAAAATCTCTCAAAAGTGCTGCTTAGACTCAAATATATTTTATTTTATTTATTTATTTTTGTACAAATAGTTTATCTGTGAAATTCCACATAACTTAGATTACTCATTTAAATTGCATGGGGCCAAAACCGGTATGAAGCTAATTAACTGGAATGCAATAGCAATGGGTAATTATAACAAGAAACTTTACAAGTCAATTATTTTCATGAAAAACAGTGGCTGTTCCTTGCTTTTAAACATATATTACTATTATTTTTTTTTCACAGCGATGACATTTTTTTTTCCCCAAAAATTTATCCAGATAGTGTACAAATAGAATAGCCATGAAAGCAAAGCTATTTGCAAAACTCACAAACAGCACTGTATTACTCATATTTTATATGAACAAGTATGTTGATCAATCGGCACAGCTTTAAAAGAAAACAGTGACCAAAATATGATCTAGAGCAGTTTGCACATAATTCATTAATCTTCAAAAATATATAGAAAATAAGCTACTAACTCAAGTGGGCTGAAACAAAATTCTGGAGAAACCTTTATAAGTCAAACTTCATATCACAAAATATAATTCTAAAAATCCCACAACCACCTATGACAAAAATTATGCAAAGGAACCGTTGTACCCCAAACTTTCAGCAAAAGCATTGGTAATTAAAAAATTCATATAAATATCAATACTCAACGGAATTATGTCAAACAAAATTACACGATATCGATTTTCAGGATACGTTAATATATCAAAATATTTCAAAAGCAACTAACAAAGATAACTTATGTAAATCGTAGTCCGTATCCCTACTGTTCAGCTCAAGGTCCCTTACAATTCAGTTCAGATTTTTCAACGTGGGAAACCAAATCAAACACTAATGATTCACAGCCATTTTCATATGAAATAAAACCATTTGAAATTTTGATTCCAGAACTTGCATTGCTGTAAGAGAAACAGCTTTGCAAACATTTCTGTTATTTTCAGCAATTTTGGAAAATAGCGAATTATTTTTCAAGAAATTCAAAGAGAAGGAAACCTACCATTCTGAGGTTCCTCCTCCACCGTTTTCCCTTCTTTCCTTTTTCCTTCATTTCCCCTTCTTCTCCTCCTTCCCCTTCGTCTACTCTTGCTGATCTCTCTCTCTCTAACCTTTGGCCAGAACCTTCTCTTCCTTTCACTCTCTCTATGCCACTTTTTGTTTTTATTTTTAAATCTTCCTTTCCCTTATTTAATCCAGCGGCTGCATGAGTGTCCTTTATGTCCTTAACACAAGTGTATGGTATGTATCATAACTAGTCTTAATCTATTGCAGAGACACTGCCACATGGACAACACTTCAACAACTATTGCATAATCCTAATGCCCTCCACTACTTACTAAATAAATACATCATTGCCCCAAACGTGACCCATAATAGTATAAATGAAATAAAGCCCCCCATTTGTGCCCATGCGTCTAGGCTTATGCCATGCAAGTCGACAAATGCTTCTATTTTAGCACTATTTAAATCTGGGCCCTCTAGAACAAGCGACTAGCATGCATACTTGGTGTCCCTTACACTAGACAGGTGTAAGCAACTACAAGCAGAACAAATGCCTTACGTACGACACATACAATAAACATACATCGTAAGCTTTGCCAGTCCCTCTTCACATCAGATTTGGTGGGTCACGCAACCTCCTTTGTCAAACCTTTGCAGAGCCAAATCATTAGATTTGCTTAATCCAAATGAGTGTATGGGTCCAAAATGTGGACACCTCATCCTAGTCATGGCACACCTGGTATAGTCATGCAGTAGTACATGCATCCACACACTCTTGTCTGCTTGTATTCTATAACAAATGCTCAATGACGTCTGGCATTAAATAATCACCACCATTACTCACCAAAGATCCTGGTTATGAAAATCGGGGTATCACACTCTTCGTGCAAGTCAGCCACAGTATTTGAAATTCACAATATATCAAAGTTGTATATTGAACATTCCATGTTATTGTTTTGATAGATATCAAAGTTATATATTGAACTACAATTCTCTGACAGATCTGTGTATATGAGAAGATGTGTAGACCTGGTAGCTCCAAACATGCCTGGCAACATTGACGAGCAGATTTCACCAGCCATTCTAGGGTTTCAGTTCTCCATCCACTTTACTAAAGGGTTTATATTTCAATTTGTTTGTTATTTTCTTCTTCATCTTCTTAATCTGGCTGAGATGGGGCTTGCATGGAATCGTGAGCTCTGATGTCAAACATGGATGAAATTGGTAGTGCAAGCACGTCCTTGGTTTAGGATGAGTAAGGGTTATTGTATTCATAAATGGGATGGGTTAGGTTTAGGACAACCCATTCCGAACTCACGCCGTTGCCATTCCTACCTTAGATATAGAATGGTCAAACAGGATTGATTTAGCTGACCTCAAACTGTTGGATTGGCTTTGTTGACTCGGTTATAATCATTTTGCGCTCAAGAAGATTCAGTGTTGGTGGAAAGGATTGGGTGAGAGAATGAATTAGTGTATGAATCACAAGGACTGTTTTGGCTGTCAGAATCCTCCATAACAATGTCACTCTTATGATTTACGACCATTCTTCTTTACTGAATGGGTTTTCTTTGTGGAATACAACACTGCATCTAACTGATGTCTTCATGTTAACATTGTAACTGCTTCCATGTTTTGTGAAGGTTAGAGAGGGGGAGAATACAATGAAAGGAGGGATGCACTATATTGAGGTGAAACAGCTGCTCCTTCTAGCCTATTGCCAATCCATTACCTTTTATCTTCTTCTCAAGTCTGAAGGGCAGCCTGTTCGTGATCATCCTGTCATTGCTCGGCTTGTAGAGATCAAAAACCTATTGGACAAGGTTATTATTTCTTCTTGATATCTTGAAATTGTTATTATGTCCTTGAAGTCCTATTTGATCATCATGCTAGCTATCCTTTGTATTTTTTACATTTGTAATTAATACAACTGATGCATCCTGACCATTGGTCTTGGGCAGTTTTGTGTTTGGATCTGTACTGGGCCTTTGTCGAATGCATTGCTTCTGGCTCTAAAAACACTTGAACTGATGGTCATTTTGTATAGATAAATCTGTCATTTCAATTTAAAATTTGTTCTGCAGAATCCCTTTGATATAGTACTTGAATACAGATTAGCATTTGAACTTTTTGCAACAAGTAAATAGGAGTACCAGATATTTGATTCCTAAACTTTCCACTTAAATAATGCTTTGGCACAGTTGGGATAACTCATACAAATCTTTTGGTTAAAAGATAAAAAAGACTAGATAATTTGATTGTCTCCATCTTCTAGGCACATTACTCTTGGGTTTGATGGGAACAATGCATTATTTAATGCAATAAAACAAATATGTTAACATGTCTTCTGCAAAGGATGGTACGTAAGTACAATAGATTTGATGGACATCTTTGTTATTGTCTGTCTTTTTCTCCTTATGGCAAATATAATTAGCAGAGAGAAAAAGAAGAACCTAAGTTTGTAATGACATTGTCGTGTCTACTTCCTGCTTGTTTCTTATTTTTGTATTGTGCATTGGAGAGATATTTCTTGTACATCTTTTGTAGCACCTCCTGCCTGTTTATTTCTCCGAAGTTCGAAGTTCATTTCTTTTGCAGTTTTTTTGCTTTCCTGATGCATATTCACTTTGTAGATGAAACAACTTGATGCGAATCTTCCATCTGGAGTAGAGGAGGTTTCGAACAAAAAATATGGGACTGAAATATCAGTGAAGTCCGTTAGGGGAAATGATATATTGGCATTGGATTCTTTCTCCAAAGATCACAAGCACTCTCTGGTCTCAGCTGAAGCACAAGCGGCAGCAGCGGTAGTTACTACCTTAAACTTGTCAGTCAATAAAATTCTTGTTGGTTATTTTTATTTTTTGTGATAATCCTATAGGTTGACCTATAAGTTTCCAATAAAAATGTAGCCTCATGAAGCAGCTGAGTTGGTAAAGGTGGATTCTTTGAAGAATATTGATAACAAAAGAGGGAAACACAAGCATCAGGTTAGTGATTTAACAAATGTTGAACGGTGTTAAACAACAATTGAAGTCTTAGGTCTAACCCCCGCTTTCTCAGATTCTCTCATACTCTTATTGTAATTATTGTTGTTACTACTACTGCTATTACTACTTCCCCACATTTTATTTCATTTGTTGTACAGCATAAGTGGTAACTAGACTGATCTTGAATTCATAAAACATGACAGAATGATCAAGTTGGTCTGCAGAGCATGGAAATGTTAAAAGTAAGAGCTGTTCTGGAGGAAAAATTGAAGCAGATGGGTATATTTAGTTCCATTGCACCGAAGCGCGATAGGTCTCAAAAACATTTGCAACCAGTGAATGGGTATTGCTCTGCCTAAGATGCACCTAGTTTCATGATTCATTCTGTGGGGACTAACTTATGCAACTTGCAATTTAACAGACAGCTTGAGACATTTGATGATTTTGATGACGACACCATAGATGTGGGTGGCGCCACTCATCGCATGATTAATGGACAAGCAAGTTCATTGCATTCAAGTAAATTATCCCTACTTGTGACTCCTCAGTTGAAAAAGCCGAAGGTATCGATCTTGATATTATTTTGTCCACATTTCAGTAGTTTTTGAGTTGAAATCAACGTAGACAACCTGATTTACATTCAATTTTGCGCAACCTTTAGCCATTTAGCTACTTGAAATTATTTTACTTTTCATGGATTGATCTTGTTTTCAACTCCATCATTGTGCAAATTCGAAGGAATGTCTTGTTTAGTTTTTTATATATTTCCTGGCAAGATTGGTTTACGATATCTTTCAAGCTTCTGGAGGTTTTGATACTATATGCTTTACTCTTGATGTAGTTGACTAAATTTTCAGATTCCTGACAATTTATTTCTCACTTTGAGCCATTTAGTAGCATTCAACATCTAGGAATGTAATCCAACTTTCTCAAGGATTCCTGTACGAGGCCCTATTTTTTCACCTTGTTTTCAATTTCAAACAGCACTATGATTTCTGGAACTGGAAAAAAAAAAAATTAATAATAAAATAAAAAATAAAAAGAATTGTTGCCCTTCCTATATATTTTGCTTCTATTAAAGTTTTAAGTATTGCACCCGTCTACTATCATTGATGTTTGAAGGTTCTATGTCCATGGTGGAGACTGGAATGCTACAGTCCATATGCAAAGTGAATTTTCAACAAGAAAAGCAATTCTTTAGGTTCTAGGGGAACTCTGGTAGAGAGAACATTTTCTGGCATATTCATCTAAAGCATCATGGTAAACACATATCTGTATATAGTTGACCAGATCATACGCACATTAACCTTTGCATGTGGCTTTTTTCTTTTGCAGGTTGTTTCTGGTGATGGTGATTTGCCTAACCGGGATGATATTGGAGAAAGGCGAAGGAAGCATGAACTTCGGGTTTTGGCAGGAGCTGGAATCAAATCTGTTGATGATAGTTTAGATGAGCCTGGCGCTCTTGGGGTCAATGGGGATGATGATATGGAGGATGATGAAATGGAAGAGTTAGAAGATGAATATTACAAAGAAGTCGAAAAGCAACGAGCTGCCAAGCTTTCCGCCAAGGCAGAGAAATATTCAAGGTGCATTTATATACTGTGATTGAAATAATTTAAAACTTGGAACTTTATGAATGTTCCGGGGTCTTTGATACGTGTTATTATTATTGGTCCATCTAAAGTACAAAGGAAAAGGCTATATGAGGCGCTCTCAATGTGAGCGTGATGCGTGCTCCCTTAGTCGTCGGCTGAGAGTAGCCTCTCAATCCAACAGCTGAGAGGGCTCACTCACAATGAGAGCATCCTCATGATAGAGTTGCTCAGATATAAATATAATGGGTTGCTCACCTGAATCTTTATAACTTTTAAGAGGGATTCGGTCTCTCTCTCTCTCTCTCAACATGAGCGGCGTACACCCTTTGTCATTGGATGAGAGAAGCTTGTCAATCCAATGGTTGAGAGGGCATGCTCACAATGAGAGCACCCTCGTGATAGACTTGCTCATATAAATACAGTGGGTTGTTCTCTCTCTCTCTCCCCCCCGTGTTTGTGGGAATGTGGCCTTTTTTTTTTTTTTTTTTTTTTTTTTTGATTGTGTGCTCTCGCATTTGCATTCCTGTTTGTGTTTGTTTGAAATAGATCTTAGCTAAACGCTGGGGATGTTAAAACCTTTATATAGTGCATTACTAAATCATGGTTTGCTTTTGCAGAACCTCGGCAGTGCCATTTTCTCCTGAAACCCTATTAGATGGGAAGCGCCAGATTACATCTCAGGCAAGTGATTTACCATTGCATCTTCTTGTTTGATTTTTCAGTTTTCACCCTCTCTTCTAGTGCTCCATTTGGTGTGAGTGATGGAAAATTGGGAGGGAGAGAAGGTATGATGGATGGAGATGGTTCAAATCCTTTAGAAAAATAAAGAGAGATTTTTCCTCATCTTGTTTGGTTGAACAATATCTAATGATGTTTATCATGATTTTACAATTATACTTTTTACATTTTGAAGAAAGAGACAAGACAATCGAAGGAAGAAGGCGCCTCTGCCCCTCCCTTTCTTTTGTTTCCCCTTTTCCTCCTCCCTATGAGAAAGCAAAAAGGCCATCCATTTTTCTTGTTTCCTTCTACTCTTCTCTGCTGCCCAACAGGCTGTATAACTAAGTACGTAATAATAATTTTTCTGGCAAATGATTACAGATGGAAAAGAACCGAGGGCTAACTCGTGCTCGGAAGAAGCTGACCAAAAATCCGAGGAAGAAGTACAAGGTATTTCATGGAAATAGTTGATGTCTAGCAAATAGAACTACAATTTGAATATAGCTGACCTCTCTTTATTTATTATCTGCAATTGTGCAGCTGAAGCACAAGAAGGCAGTGGTGGGTCGGAAGGGACAGGTGCGGGAAATCAGGAGGCCTGATGGTCCTTATGGTGGGGAAGCAACGGGAATTAATGCAGGAATCAGTAGGAGTGTCAGATTCAAGAACTAAGCAGTGTTGCTGCATACTGATTGTCAGATTCAAGAACTAAGCAGTGTTGCTGCATACTTTTTTTGCGTCTATAATAACTGTAGATTGCGTGCATGATGATGCAAAGCATTAGGTTTTGATTGTTCAAATTTTGACCTCCTATAAAATTCTTCTTTGTAATAGTGAAAATGTGTTACAACTCTTGCAGTGAGGGTTGCAAGTAGAAAATGTGGCACTCGATTTCTTCAAAGTTATTTAATTTCCGAAAAATGGTGTATAATGAAAATGTAGTTGGATATGTGCTCTATTTTAGAGACATGGGTTTTCAAGATTATGCAGTTTGTTTCTCTTGATTCACGGAGTTTGAGGGGCTTGGAACAGAAAATTCAAATGCATATGCTGGCATTGGATAAAATCCTCAAGTCTGATCCAACAGGAATGATCTTAGAAAAAAAAGAAAAAAGAAAATAAAGAAAATATCTGCAAACTCGTGTGCTGTATTATCCGAATTCTCAAGAATCTAAGTTGAATTGGCAGGTCGGATGGCTATAACTTGTTAATAAGCACGACGGCAAAAAGAACGTCAAATTATTTTAAAATCTGTGAACTGTATTTATATAATCGATTGAAAATATTAACAATTTCGACTATTTCACATCAACAAAAGATTTGTACTCATTATTCAGAGTGGTGGTTTTAGATCAGAGGATGGGCGACCTATCAGAGATGAGCTCTAGCCCAACTGTACAAGATCTGAAAAAGAAGATGAAATGGGCCTCTGATTGTTGGATTATGGGCTGTCCCAATGACTTTCTAACAGGTTCATGCCATCCCTAGGGCTTTTACAGTCAGATTGTCATTATTATAATATACAATAAATAAAAGGAAGATGAAAATAGACATTTGACAGGAAAGTCTGGAAGATCGGAACTTACAATCACGTAGGTATATATGTCTGTCTCTCGTCCACCTTTTCTTGTTCTTGTTCTTGTTCTTCCATATGTGTATGCAAAGGTGGATGTAAGGGTCGGTTCTGGTGGGCTTGAGCCCACCCAAAATTTTTTTTTTTTTTTACTATATTAATTTTAGCCCAGTAAAAAAAAAATATTAATAGTATTAGCCCACCCCAAATTAGCCCACCCAATCAAACCTAAGTCAATTCAGCCACCATGCTAAAATAAAGGCCCCAAGCTAAATAAGCCCAGGACCGGCCCTGACCCAAGGCGACGAAGGCGGTCTCCTAGGGCCTCAAAATTTATAGGCTCATGGATGATGGGCCACCAGAAAAAAAATATATTTTTAGGGCAAATCATTTCACCCTCCCCAATCGCCTCCGTCTCTATTCTCGATCTCAACTCTGAACCCTCTTTCTCTGTGCAACAATATCAAAACCCATATCGGCATATCATTTCAGATTGTTCAAAAAATCAAAACCCATATCTTTCAGTTTCCATCGTCCGCTGTTCCAGTTCGGGTTCGCCGTTCGTAAGCTTCAGCCGCTGGCCCGCTGTCTCTCAACTCTCAAGCTTGCCCCCCCTCTCTCTCTGCAACTACTAACTTGTATGTATGGGTTTTGTTTTAAATTTTTTTCTAAATCAACTAATCAAGGTCAGTAATTCTTGTTTTGCAAACTAAATACTATTTGGTGAATTTTTTTATGATCTTTTTTATATAATAATAATTATTTTTTAACAATATAAAGTAACAAAATTTGCATTGCATTTTGAGGTAATCACCGTAATCTACATTTTATTTCAGCAAAACAAATATTTTTTTTATTTATTTCTATAACTTTTTGTTGTTGTTGTTGTTGTTGTTGTCAATTATGTCTACAAGAAAATTTGAATCTGGGCATGAAAAAAGAAAAAAAAAAAGAAAAGAAAAGAAAAAGAATCTGAATTGGATTAGAAATCTGCAGAGATTGAATCTGAAACAATTCTTATCAACATGCCAAGCTTTTTGAAGATGGAAATCTTTTCAGAACTAGAAAAAAAAAATCATAACAAGAACTTTGACAAGCAGAAGTACTTAAGTTACTTCTTGAAAATTAAAATACTTACAAAAAGCATGCTTTTGAGTGAATTCCATAGTGTTGGAAGGGGCTTGCCATGAACTACCTCACACTCTGCTTCCACTAGTAGATTCTCAAATAGGATTAGTAAATTGGTCAAAAGAAGAGATAGGGTACTAAGTGGTGAATTGGTCAGAAATAAATTGGTAATTTTTTTTATTAATTACCCAATTAGGATTTTCTATGCCTTAATCAGTCAATTGTCTAAAGAAACATTGTTAGTTAACTTAAATTGAATTAAACAACAGTTGATTTTGGTTGATATATATTGATTTAGCCCACCCCATTGAGAAATCCTGGATCTCCCCTTGTGTGTGTATATAATAGAAAAGGTAAATGATGATGATGAAAATATCTATCGAATCGAAAATGGCCACTTGAATTAGATTGGCTACAACAACTTTGTTTGAAAATGAGAAATATATAGACACTGTGCATCTTTGTCATCAACTTTTGATGATTATATATCGGAACTAGATTGATTTTGTACGATTCTCAGTTATGCATGAAATTAATGTGCCTTATTGGATGGATATGTTTCAAGGATGGTTTGCTGCTTTATGTGGGACCCAAGATACCCTTCCTTCTTCAAATGTCCCTTCTACGACCTAATCTTTCTAATCATCTTTTGTTTGGTTAGTAAACATAGTTGTTGTTCGATGTCTGATGGTCTTTTGGCAGCTATCCTATCAGCATGTAAATATTTTATTATTATTATTATTATTATTATTATTTATTTTTTTATGCTCATTATGGGAATAACTTCAGATGTTCAACTCATTAGTAGCTTGCTTTATATGTATATTTTTTAATAATAGCTGAAATATGCTATTCTTTTTGTTATCTCTCAAAGTCTTTGTTCACTTTTACAGATTTTGTTTCTCAGATGGCACAGAGAGGAGTTTGGCAACTACAAAAGCTAATTGTGTGCTACTGTGATTGGGGAGGAAGTAGCAGGGGTATCAGGTGTGCCTTCTTTGTAAATCATGATGAATATTCTTTTATCAATTGTAAAAATACTTCAATTGATCGAATAAATGATAGGATGATCATAATTTTGTTGTACCTTGCATTGCATTATCATATACAAAATTGACATTATTGGAACCAGTTATTTGCATCTTATTGCATTGCCAATCTTGAAACGGGCTCTTGTTCCTAGGTTACGATTTCTTTCCTGAACAAATGTTATCTATCAATTTTGTGTTGTAGATGGCTAATTGTAGTATGTTTAGCTTTTCACCAATCACTCAGCACAAAGTTGTGAAGACAGATCCATGGCCAGTTTATATATCTCTCCCTGTGAAATTTTTTTAATTTTTTTTTTACTAAATTGCAATTTATTTGAAAAGGAGCATATTGAGGAACCATTGAAAGGATAGTACAACAAGAAGGGTCGCTATATTCTCATTATAATTGTATGTGTTCTCTTAATTTAGGTACATTAAACACTGTTGTGGTTTTGAATTAAACCACCTCTAAACAATCAAAACAACCCCCTATAGACTTTTATATAGTTTATACCAAAACCTAATCCAAGTTGTTCATTGAAATGCTTGAATTTGGGAACACTGTGAATCAGAATGTTCAGTTTCTTGTGGATCCATTTTTGTGTTTTTCTTTCCCCTCCACAGTCACAAGTGTTATCCTATAAACCTTCTTATTTTAATATGTTCATTCATTATACAGAATAAATCAGAATCATGTAATCACTCTCTAATTTTGGCCTTTATTTATTATTCGGACAACCTGTCACATTTTATTGAAGTTTTTGGTCACCCAATTGGTGCTTGTGCTATTTATGCTTAGTAGTGATGTTTTGTATTTGAATTGGTTATGCTTACTCGTGATATTTGGACTTCTTAGCTTTACAGTATTCTACGGTAAGGCAATTTAATATATATAATATCATGATGAGCTATTTTAGATTTTTTTTCCCATGCCTCGAGATTTTACAGCTTGTCAGAATTTCTATTTCTGTGCTGGTCATTAAATCCGAAAATTTAGTTATCCGGTGGTGCTCTTCGATAATGTTGTAGGGCATTTATGGAATCTCATTTGCCGGCCATTAAAGAGAGTAATCCTCAGCTGGAGGTGGTCACGGAGCTCATTCGTGGTCAGCATCCACATTTAAAAGGCTCTTACAGTAAGACCTCCTCTCTATCTCTCTCTCACACACACTATATATATATATATATATATATATCTATATGTGTATGTTTATGCTTTGTGCAAGGTCCTTTTTCTTAAGACACTGATATGGCCATAGCATAATAAAAATATCGCGTTATGTATAATTGTTAAACTTTTTTGATTGATTGGCTTATAGATGACTGATTTCAGGTCATCCGAGTGTACAGACTTCTTGAGAGATAACCCAGCTCCATGATTAACATTGTTGGAGAAGCAATGCATATAAAGCAATGTGATTTAAATTTGATTTGTACCGGGCAACTGGTTAAATTATTTGCTTCTTCTTAACAAAATGATTTGCAACCAAAGGAAATGTTTGAACAGATGCCCATTTAATTTGATATTCTCAATTCTTGTTGTTGGGAGGGCCTAAGCCCAAGCTTATGGTAACAATTCACGGAGTTCTATTCATCAAATTTCTATCCATGCATCTGGTGATTACCGCCTACCCCAATGAATCCATATTCTTATTTGTCACATGACATACCATCATAGAGCTAAGTTGCAGTTAGAACTAACCTTCTGTGTTGTAATACTTGGCTTGAACCTGTGAACTTATTGCCGTGATAGGGAAGGCTGCTGAAGTTAAGCTTCAAGCTCGTTTTTCAGTAGCTGTTTAGGAGGTTTTTGACACAGGTAGTTTGTTTTACTAATATAAAGGTAACTTGTGAACATGTGGTCCAAGACCGCAAAACAAAATTATTGTGAAACACATTTTTTTGGTGAGAACTGAATGTTATCTGGCACAAGTTTTTAGAAGTCGGGGGTAAATTTCTGGCATAAGATTTTAGGAGTCTGGGGAAACAGTTTATTTATTTATTTATTAAAATTGAAAAGTTTAAGATAATTTTTAGGAAAACGCACAGAACGTGCAGGGAACACTTGGGACTGCTCTTTGGGGTCAGTTAGGTATTATTTTCTTTGTTGTTTAATGTACTTAAAAGTTCCAGCCTGTTTTGTTTGCCTTAGTTTTTCATGCTCTTTCTTCTTATGGATATGGCCTCCACGTTTTGAAGTTCTTGTTTGTTGATCTACGGTCGATACTACAGGAACTATTTTTTGTCATTTTGGATCATAAAACATTAATCTCTCTCTGTGTCTGTTTGTGGTGTATACATTTGGAATGGCTGCATGCTGGTGACTAATTTTCTCTGGTTTAAACTGTGTTTTCTTTTGTTTAAAATACAAGATTTTAACCGTGTTTCCTTTTGTTTAAAATACAGGAAACAAGAACGAGCGGGTTATATGTGTGAAGAACATGACTCCAGAAGACATACTTTTACATGCAACCAGGTTAAGGAATGCATTGGGAAGGAAGGTGGTGAAGCTGAAGACAAGACATGTAACCAATCACCCTAGTGTGCAAGGTACATGGACAACTGACTTGAAGTTTTGAGATGCTAGAAAATCTCCATGGGAGCTTCATTTGGTCGTTCTTGAAGAATTTGTTACACCAAGCTGGCTTGTCCTAGCCTGCGGTTTGTTTCATGCAATGGGTTTTAATGGCATGATCTATAATGAAACAGTACATTTCGAGTTCACTGGATAATTTTGTTAATTAATTTAATTATTTCGGCCTCCAATGTTTCTTGTTGGTTTTGATTTTCCCTGTTGCTACGAACTTAACAAACGTGGGAATGATTGGTGGAAGGAAAATGATTTTTAGTGGATCAGCTAAAGTGATTTTTGGTTGGCCGACAATTTTTGATTGGAGTAATGGCTGGCTCTTAAGAGCTCCCTCTCATGGAAGAGTCACGTGCTTTCCTTTATTTTATTTTATTTTATTTTAGATATATTAAATAATTGATTTGACTTTTCATAAATTAAAAAAACTGTATTATCCAATTATGAATAAATATAGAGAGCGCATTGCTCTTCTTATGAGAATGACTTCTTAATAGCATTACTCTATAGTTGTGCGTCAAACTATACACTTTTGCATGTCATCTTTTGCCTAGGTGTGCGTAAAGAAGTGTAGGTGTAAATGCAATTATTTTCACGCTAAGCTAATTTTGGATGGCATTTCTCCACTAAAGAAAAATGCTAGAATTAATTGCTATTTGTTACTCAAAACTGTTTTTGTCCAAGTTTGGGCATGTTTTGAACCAGGATCTAGACCCCTGTGCTAAAGAGAATTAGATGGCAATGCCTGAAAAGGATCCTTGCCTTGCCTTGTGCATTGCATAACATCATTTTCTTTGTTTTGGTTAGGGTTCACCGAGAACATCATTCCTACTGGTGACCTTAAAAAGGGTGATTCATTGTCACCCCTCTTTTCGTTTAGGTGCTGAAGTGCAGGTCAACAAGACATGCAGATTAATTTGAAATTGGTCTCATGAACTGGCATTATATCTATTTGAAGCACGTAATTTGTTGAAAATGATTCAACAAAATCAAGCAAAACAAAGACATCTTTCCAGCAGTTCCAAGTCAAAATATAATACCACCACAAGCTAATAATGTTACACATCTTCTAAAACATCCTTCATCCCTTTTATGAACTTCAGTTAAAACGATTAGACCTCAAGTGAAAACCTCCTATATATTTGCATCCAATCACATCAAAATTTTATAAAGAAAAAAAAGGCCAAAATCCTACTTAAACCCCCCACCCCCCCAAAAAAAATAAAATAATAATAATTAAAAAAAAAGAGACAAATTCCTGCTGGAGAAACAGTAGTACGTTAAGAACCGATCAAGAATGCATGTTGTACTAAAATCCAAGCCCAGTGCCTCGAGATAACAAGGTAAGGTATCCTGGTTGATCACTTATGATGCAGTGAAGGGCCATTTCAGAGCAATCATGTAGCGTTGGCAGCCTCAGCAGCCTTTTTCTCCTTTTGTTTCTCCCTTTTTTTCTTGTTTCTCAAAGCATTCTTGCTCATTTCTCTAGATTAATGCAACACATGGAAATCAGTTAACAATAGAGCTAGCAACAGGAACATGAAAATTATATAAATAAAAATTAACAGGTTAATACAGTACTTACTGCGTGGGACTTCCTCCAAAAAGCTGTCATTAGAAATATACTAAAAATCGTCAGAATGACATTAAAGAAATATAACCACCCCACCAAACCAACTAATGAATTTATAAATCATTAGAATGAAAGCTCAAGCCACCCAATTTTACCAGTGACAATTGAGAAATAAATCACGTTAAACATGAAGAAATGAAAAGAAAATTTATGCTACCTCTGCCTGAATGGCAGCTGCATTCTTAGCATGAGGTGGGCGATATGCAGCAGGTTTCTGGGCAGGCGGGTTGGAAGAGGTCGCTTTTGCAGATGCCTGGGAGGTCTTTACCCCTTGTCCTGAAAGGATTTAAGTCTGTTTATTACTCAAATACAAAAATACAACAGAATTTAAAAGAAAAAAAATTTCAGCAATTCTAAACAAGAATAAGAACCTCGTGGTCTGGGTTCTTCAACCTTTAATGAGTCCATAGACTTCAGAAGTTCTGCAATTTCACCAAACTTATCTGGTGACTCTGGTTTCCATTCAGCCTGTGTGAATATTTAACAGAAACAATCAAGGAACTGTATAAAGCATGCTGATTCAGGATCTAATTAGGAAAATAATCTAAAACTCACTGACCTGATACAACTTGTCAAACATTTTCTTGAAGTACAATGATCCATTGTGGTGAAAAATTTTAATCCTTCAATAAGACGAAAATAAATATGTGAAAATTTTGTTTACTTATGACCTGACTAATACCCCTCCACCGGTCCACCCTGACTATGTACCTTGTTATCATGCACAGATCAACAAATATGGGGAAAATAAAACAAGCTTATACCATCTTTGTTAGGAAAGAAAAAAAAAACTAAATTTGTGAGTTATACTTGGTATGTGGCAACTCTGACAGTGAGTCTGACTTGTATTTCCCCATTAAAAATAAAGGGGTACTATGAACTGGTTACAACTAAATAACCCTAAATGGTTATGGTTAAGAAAGTTGAACTCCTAAGATTAAAAAAGGGCTAGCCTAGTGCACGAGGCTCCTGCCGTTGCGAGGTTTGAGGAGGGTCAAATTTACGCTGCCTTGCCTCCGCATGGAGAGGCTATTTCCAATTTCGAACCCGTGACCCCAAATCACAACGGAGCAACCTTATCGTTGCGCCAAGGCCCACCCATAACACCTAAGACTAATCAGCTAGAAACCTCTTATCGCTGTGATTTTATTAGAGGCCCACTGAAAAGGGTTCCTACCAACGAAACAATCCACATCACTTTCTTGGTAGGCTATCTCAAGAGTTCCATCATTCATTTCTATCACATCTTTGTATTGCTCTTCCATACATCAACGTTTAATTCATTTAGACCCCTTCTGGTTTGTCAATACTTCAAAGAGAACCCACCCCCCCCCCCCCCCCCCCCCAATTGCAAAAATTCAGTCAGACATTGTCGGCTGACAAAGCCAAAGAAATGAATTGAATAACTAATATACCCTTTTGTCAATTTTCTAAATAAGTTTTAACCAAACACCTTTTATGATTTTATCTCCCACCAACAATTACCCTATTCGTTGAACCAAACGCTCCAGTCAAAGTATTATTTTACCCAAATAAAGAATACCAAGGTTTGCAACCGCGCATCTCCGTCGTCTATATATATACACCTATGTTACCCGGACTCGGGTATGGGTGTCGGACACGGGTGCGTGTCTAGGAGTCGGATTCGTCAATCTATCAATTTTCAGGACACGGGGACTCGGATTAAAAGTGTCCAAATATTGGACACGGGTACTTGGACACTTTAAAAAGAGAAAAATTTGTAAGTTATGTTTGAGACATTAATCCTAAAACTAAAAATATATATATCAATTGTACTCTTTTATAAGAATTTTATAATTATTACTGCATTTGTTTGCCTCATTTGATAGGTGGCATGTCATGGCTATGCATTCCCCTGTTACTGCTGTTTTTATGGAACCTGTAAATAAGAAATTCTGAGCTGTAGGGCTCTTTTTGTTTAACCAAGGGCGAGTTTGGGCTTGGGCTAATATGCCTCTGTATCTTGGCATTTGGGCCTGTACAAGTCAAAGCACAAAAAAAAAGGATGACTAATTCAATATGGGCTTATATGTCTCTGTATGTGCATCTCAGTCATGGATTGATGCTTGGGTTTTGGGCCTGTACAAGTCAAAAGCCCAATTAAAAAGGAAGCCGATTCATATAGCAGTACCATAAAAGCAAAGTTACAGCTGTAACCATAAAAGGAAGCCGAGTCAAAAGTCCACAGCAGGTCCTTTTTTCCACGTGAGATGCAAGACTTTTTACAGCTGTGTCCCAATGTCTCTTATCTTTCCAGATCCAAATAAACAGGTGTTGTGATCCTGGCCGTTAAAAGGTTAGATATTAAGTTCGTGAAACCACGCACAAGATGGCACAAAAAATTGCACAAAAGCAGCGCGTGTGGGTTCATAAACAGCAAGTCGTCTTCACCTTCAGACCAAACGGCCATTGTTGAAACAGAAACCTTCATATGCCTGCAGATTTAACAAAAAAAAAAAGAAAAAAATTCCTAACCCTTCACAAGCATCAAAGTACACATCATTTTATGTATTTTCGTCATCAGCCGTGTCCGATTGAAAAATGGAGGGTCAGACACATATCCCGTGTCCGTGTCCGTGTCGTGTCGTGTCGACACGGATACTCTGGCCTTCTCTAACGAGTCCAGGTACACACACACACACGCAGAGAGTTGCTTAAAGGGGGTTCACCTTGCTGCTTCAGTCAATACATATACATTCATACGTATCTACATCCATGGGTGGTGAGCTTCAGTATGTATATATATACTGAGAGAGACCCAACTGGCGAAGCAACTCCAGCGACCATGAACACCGGTGAGAGCTTGTTTGAGGTTGGGTTCTCTGCAAGAGCCGTGAGTTGCCAATGCGAGCACCGAATTCCGTACTTCAACGCCTTCGAATCTACGACTGTGTAGTCACCGTTGTAACGCCGGACAAGGACGAGCTAAGCCAGATCAAAGACACCGGTGGCCGAGTTATGTATTGGGATGGGACGGGGCGTGAGTGTACTTTGTTTTTGATAAGTCAGGGCGTGAGTGTACTTGACTTCACAGCGGAGGATGGTGGCTCTCCGCTGCTCTGCGTCATTGCCGACATCTTCTTCAGCTGAACCGTTGCCGTCACGCGTGAGTTGGGTATCTTCAACACGATCTTCAAGCTTGAATACAACCAATTTTACTTAATTGTTCCTTTAGTTACCGTTTCTCAAGCTTTAATTTCTCATACTAATTTGTATCTTATTCTTTTTCAAGGTCGCCTCCTTTCATGGCGGTGAAGGTCTTGCAGAGAATTGTACCAGAGAAGAAGCATAATGAGTTACAAAATTCTCAACCTTCTTGACCGTCTCATCTCCCTTTCACATGGTCAGACGGTCTACAGCAGTCACTGGCGAGTCTTCCCCAATTCTTCGCTGAATTTGGACACCCAATACCGGAGAATGAATACCAGACTGAGTACGCTCTCAATATGATCTGCGAGCTCGAAGGATACATATGGTTGAATTTATGGTTTTATTAGATAATTTCAGTGTTATATTGAAGAGAATGATGAACTTGATGAGTTAAATTGAAGTGCAGTGGGTCAGATTCGAAGAAATGGTGGGATGGAGGTTATGAAACCCAGAACTTTTCTAGGTTGGGAAAGGCCAATATGGGCCAAGATTTTGACAGATTTTTTTAAATATCTTTGCAGCTTGGTTCATGGGGAATTGATTCGTGGAGAGATTTTGAAGACTTAATGGTGTTATGTGGTCGGAAATCCTGGTGGAACTGGCCGGTCATGAACAAAGGGTTGTGTGTTTTCATTGTTGGGGAAAAAGAAGACTCAAATGACACTATTTTATTAAATTAGTTTTTTTTTTTTATCTGTATATAGTCTATAGGCAAGTCTGTAGCCAAACATGACTGTTGGAGGGCAATCTGGGTATTATAATTTATTTTTTTGTTGATGTGAGCAAAAAGTGTCTCTGACCAACTTTGACCGTTGAAGGAGGGGGACACTGATGTGTGTCAGAAAAAGTAGGGTGTCTGACTGAAATTTTGCAAATGTGGGAGTGTGTCATTGAAGTATTGACAAACTACAGGGGATCTAAATGAATTAAACCCAAATAATTATAGTGAAATGAAATTAAAGACGCTCTTTCCCAGTCACACAATACACATAGAACAGTTAAAACTCAACATACCCATTGTCAACTTGTAGTCTTGGAGCTGTGGTGGCAGTCATGAAATAGCATCCATCTGGAGACCATTCACTTGTCACTGAGCATTCAGCCTTTGTGGTCCGTAGCTGCTTTTTCTCCATGTAGTCCCAAAATGCCTGAACATAAATGAGCATAAAATTGAGACAGAAACTGGAGATATTGTTGATACCTAAAGTAAATACTTAGGGAGCTACTTCAACTTAAAATAAAGGGGAAAAAAAAGGCATTTGACAAGAAAAATATGCAAGTTGACTATGCAGGAGAGATCATAAAAGCTTAGCTACCAATGGGCCAGTGGCCTTGCGGTATCAGCCTCTTACTTCCCAAAGGGAGGTCAGGGGTTCAAATCTCAGAAGAGACAAATGTGTGTGAGTACCAACTAGGACAAAAAAAAAAAAAAAAAAAAACCTTAGCTTAGCATATGGATAGACAGACATCCAGACTGACAACCAAAGTCCCCCGACTTCCAACCCCAGCCATGCAAGTAAACATACAAACACATATGGAGAGAGAGATTTTGTAGTGGAGTTATCTGAGCAACCCGATAGCAACATACTAATGTTATGCTTTGTTCGGTAGGAAAGAATAAATTTGGATGGAAGGGAGAGAAGAAGGGATGAATGAGATATTCCTAGGGAAGAGATTGTGTCTTTCCTTCTTTTTGTTTAGTTGGATGGAAAAGAAGAGATTAAGCTCACAATTTATTATGTTCGTTAAGAGAGAAGGAAAGATAAAATTTTAAATTGTTTTTACCATTATGTCTAGTAATACGTATAATATGTTAATTTATAGGATAATACTGTACTTTAAAACTCGTGTAATTTAGGATATTATTTAATTTAAAACTTCTATAATAGTCCACTTTTCTTCCTTCCTCTTCCGCCCAGTTTTGGACGGATGAAAATTTGTAAAGAAGGAAGGATGACACATCCCTCCTATTTTCTTTCCACACCTCTTCCTTCCTTCCTACCGAACAAAGCATTAGTGTCTTTTCATGTACAGAAAACATCTATAAATGTCATTCAGCTAAACTTATAATTCAACCCAACTAAGCAAAACCTTGCGCTAACTACTTAGCGGGCTAGATGAATCCCATACCTCCATTCGACTATACTGTCATAAAATAACAAAATAAATCACTGCACCCATAGCCTCTAGTGAATAGGTTAGAAAACTTCATATAAATCTAAATTGGCTTGTTTGTATGTGAAGCATTCTTTAATAACAGTGCCATATCTGAATCCCCCTCCCACTATAACTCGAGTGGTGAAGCATTTATCGCCTATCCAGACCACCAACTGCCTGCCTAATCCTTACCAGACTGGTGGAAGTCATGCAACTAACTAATGAATGCCACAGCAAGAAAGCAGTTAGCAACCAAGTGGTTGCCTAACTATGTTGTTCGTTATGCGCTTTGCTTGAACATCAGATACAGTTAAGTAGTATGTCCTGTCAAGAAGACAGTCCTTACCAAAAGATCTATGCAGTTAAAGCATCAATATGATCAGAAACACTTAAACTAGTCCTCCAACGTGCTTTAGACATAGCTAATAGCATAACTGAATAATATTCAAGCCTCCAAAGTTAAACATATCACTTAAAGATGAAAATAGCAATTAATAGTCTCAAATTAGACCTAGAATGAGGGCGTCCAAAATCCACTGACGAGACCACGTACAAGCCACATATTACAATAAGAACCCATTCGAGAATCAGAGATGAAACAGAAAGTAACCATTAAAAACAACATACCATATCACCAGGCAAGTTTCCAAAGCCAGCCAAACATAAAACTGTAAAAAGGTAATTAAGGCCACAGATGAAATTGTAAAAGTATAATAATAAGCAGTCTTAAGGCCATCTTCACTTCCCAGAAAAAGTATACAAGTTCACATTGAAAAGTACAATACAATTAACTTATAAAAGGATACACTTCCCTTTTGGGTTCCACCTGATAGTATTATAAGGGCCTGTTCCAAGCTCAAGTAGAGGATTGCACTTCTTGTCAAACACCGTGGCCTTTGAAGGCATGACTAAAGTACGTCAAGGAACAGTTAAAATATGCACAGAAGCAAGAAAAGAAACAGAACTTTCACCTACCGTGGTATGGGTGGTTTAATAGCAATATATAATTTTAAATAGTTATCCTAAATTGCCTTTATTAACCCTCTAAAGATTCCAGTAAGAACACCCAGACAAAAAATGTGTAGTATCTAAGAAGAAAAAATAAGTCTTGCATTCGACTCAGAACTGATGCATGGATTCTTCAGCATTAATCACCTATTACAGGATGCATGTCACGATTGAGATCACCACTGGATGAGGCCCACACAACTAATAGTAAACACGCTCGAGATTAAATAGAACAGCTCAAAACTGGATAATGTTTTGTGTAATCCATTAAAAAGTGGGCACTAATCTTCTGCTTGACACTGCAGAAAAGGTATAATGCTCGTGGAAGTCAATGTGCCACTATATTAGTATTGCCTTTATCCCGTATGAACGGCGTCTGCAACACGGATTCTCTTTTTCCATTCTTTTCTATCATAAGCCATTTCTCCTATTAGATTTAATTATTTAAAATCATTCCTTGTTACCCTCCACTCAATGGATTGTCCTAAAAGAGGTGACAGTTCTCCTTGAACTTTGAGATCTTTTACTGATTTTTCTATCAAAAAACATGATCTCTCAGTAATATGCTGCAAAGCGAAGGATACATCCATAAACAACAGCAAATTCTGAACCGGAATATGACCATTGAACATCTTGTACAGGCCCTTCTTTACCTGCCAATGTCTCCATCAGGCAATCAATTATAGAGAGAAATCAAAGTTTTATAAACACGTTCATAACATAAGAAAAAGATGACATACGAAGAGGCACAAGGCCTTCATGGGTTCCATCTGTTGTCAAGTAGTTTAGTTTTGATTCTCCATAGTAACTCTGGTTGGTTTTATCAACATCTGACTGCACCACAACTAGAAGCCCTGTAGAGCCATAGTTCCAACTCAGCTGCACAGTTGAACAACGGAAGAAACTTCGTCGAGCAAGAGGTTGATTCTGGGAGTCCTTCCCACAAGCAAATATCTGAACACTGGCGGGAATCCCCTACAGAAGAGATAAATAAGCTAATGAAGTTCAATTACTCAACCTTGGGGCGGTTTAGGGGAGGGTCTTGTTGGAGTTTGCAACGTTAACCCACCACCACCAAAATAATAATAGATAGATAGATCGATAGATAGATAAAATAGAAATTACAAATATACTTGATAAAATTGATGCACCTATTCAATAGCAACGAAAATTATCGCTCTAGATTAGATGGATGCTGGCCATTCAATGGTCTTTCAAACTCCAAGAAAACTGTGATAGAATATTTTATCAGATTATTAAAATTATAGTTCATACTTCTAAGGAATGGATTCAAGTTCTAATTTTCGAAAACTCTAATAAATCTAATTATTTTGCACCATGCAATTCATTTGAAAATTCTTTACATTTCAAAATATCATTCATCTTTGACTTTTTACTCTAAAATTTTCAATTTCATATGCTTGTCTTGGTTCATAATAAGACTCGTCGCATTGGAGACAGAAACTAAAGTTTGAAAATTGATTGTTAGCAATTCTAACAGATGCAAACTTCTGCATGATTCTTAATCCAAAGAGTTATTTAACATTTTTTTGCTTTTATTAAGTTCAAAGAGTGACCTAAAAATGGAAAGGTCCAGCTTGTAATTAAATATGGATGCACAACAACCATCTAGAACACAGTTTAAATCTATTCCTTATATATTCCAACTTCTCAATGTTGTCTTCAATAATTTCCTATAAGCAGTCTGGAGCTATGGGATACAAACCTTAGATTCTGGAACAAATGCAGCCACATGGGACCCAGGTGTCTTAGAAAGCTCTAGTGCAGCTACTCCTGGAATTCGAAGTCGATATATAATTCCTTTTGAGAAATCCTCAGGATCAAAAAATTGTATCTCATTTGTTGCTAGACGGCAAGCAAGTGCTTCATCAGAGCTAAATCTTATTGAAGGCCTGAAGTGTTCAAAAATCAAACAATTGAAGTTCAAGTTCCAATTCTTAGAAATGAAGGATTCAAATTTTCATTTTCAAAGATAATCCCATAGATGTGTCACAGTAATCCTGTGCCTTAATAAAAAAATTAAAAAAGAAAAGAAAGGAGAATACAAAATACCACGTTGTTTTTATCATGTTCTTCTGAAATAGATCATAAACAGAATCACCAGTCTCTGTCTTCCGCAAGATCACATTCTTTTCCTGTGGTGAAGAGGATTTCTGGAAGGTTTGTAGGTAAGTCCCATTAGGGGACAAGGTTGCTGCAAGAACATTTGGGACTTCAAAGGATCTTATCTCTTTGGAGCTTCTGCAATCATAGATGCTAATTACAGAATCAGATTTCATCACCATGAGTTTAGATCCATCTTCACTAAACTTAGAACTGGTGCATGGAACTCTTTCAAGCTTGAGACCAGGTTGACCATCGCTAAAAGGGGGACCAGTCCAAAGGGAAAACTGCTCTGGTTCTCTAACTGGGAAGAAGGTTAGACAAAAATTAAAAAAAAAAAGACAAGAAAAAACGTTAACATTTGTTAAGCAGTAAAGAGGTACCTAAGATCTCCAAAGAAGGTGGGGGATCAACGATTGCCATTACAGGCTAACAGGCGCTATTCTGAAATCAGTTGCAAAAACAGTTATCAATAAGGTCTCTATAGAAGCTCCGGTATTTAACACTAAAAAGAAGATACAAGAAACCATTATTGTTACCATCTATTTTATTAATAAATAAAGATGCACCGAGTTAAGAGCACAAATGTACAGAGTGGGTCCTATTTATCGCTTGCTTAAGATCCGCTTGAAAATGTGAGAAGTTCCAAGCTCAAAAAATCAAGGAGCTCCAAAATGTGATCATGTATGATTTGCTAACAAGCAGCTAACAAGATTTAAAACGTGAACAACTTTTAGTTGTTCATCTCACGAGTCAATGTCAGCCTAGCATCTAACGAACAAGTTATGAACCAATCTTGAGTAGCTTGGTTCACCTTACAGCCCAACATCACACAAACAGCAAAAGGCTGTACAATTTTTATAATTCAAAATTCAATTTCACTTTAAAAAAAGGGGAAAAAGAGATGAAATGAAATGCAACAACCAGCGACCTCTTTCTTCAATACACCTTATACTAGTGCTTGATAGCCAAGTATCCAAAAACTTTGAACGAGAGAGTAATGTAAACACTCTTTTGGCAGTTTCTTAAAGCTTTTTATGAATGATAGTGTTCCTTTTCTTTTTTGTTTCCACTACAGGTATCATTACAGTGATAGATCATACAACAGTATGGATGTCAAAATAAAAGAAAACAATTTGAAGATCTTGGATATAAGATCATACTGGAAAAACGCTGTAATGAACTTCATTTTTGGTTTATATAAATCAAAAGCAAATTGAAATATACAAAAAAATAATAACAATAATAATAAAAATAAAAATAAAAATAAAAATAAAAAACTAATTTGACGAGTAATTCGAGTGCCAATTGAATGGTAACCTGATTGCAATGCAGATTTATCACCTAGTAGAAGAGTTTGTAGTAACTGGCATTCAGTTGAGATATCAATAAAGTATAAATATCTCCGACTACAAATGTGTGGAATATCTAACTACTTCCTAAAAAAATGTGCATAAATATATCAATATAGAATGCACAAAAACCCTATATATCAAAATGGAAAATTTGATGCATAAGAAAAAACGTGTATTTAAACCCACGAAATTGATTATCAATAACTAGGGTTTGCGAGAGAGAAGCTTACCGGTAGAACCAACGACGATGGTAGCGCGAGAGCTAACTCTGTTTTGGGCCGTCAGACCGACCACCTAGGCCGAGGGCAAGGTAGCCTAGGGTTCGCTTGTTTGAATTTCTCTCCTCTCCTCTCCACTGAATATGTCCCTCCCACTTTTGCCACGCCCGCTGGACCGCCAAATCACCTTTGCAATCATAAAGGGCAAAAAAGTAAATCAAAACAATTATAGGTTAATTACAAGAAGCTTCCCCATGGTTTACCATAATTATAAGGAGCTCACCTATAATTTTTAAAATAACACTGGCATCACTAATATTGAAACATTATTGTACAGGCCTCCCCTCCTGGCTCTTCCTAATGACGGACCATCAAATGAACTATTCATTATTAATTGGAGTTGAGTAGTATTTTCTCTCTCTAAACAAATATTTTTGTCCCCATCCATTTGCATTAAACTTTTAGATCTGAATTAGGTTTCAATCCACTTGTTTTTCGATTAAATCACACATACGGGTGAATAACGATTGATTATGGGAAATTTTCCTCCAAAATTCACCGCACACCCCACTTTTTCCCATTTCTATCTCCACCACTGTTAACCACCACCACTCTCTCACTCTCAGTGATTTCCCTATTATATGAAATCTCTAACAAAAGTACTATACCATAAGTGGAAGAATGCTTCCATTGAAGTCTATTTCTCCCCCAACTAGGACTATCTTTCTCTCTTTTTGTTTTTTTTTTTAATTAACTTTTGTGTTTGATTAGTTTTTGACATTAAGTCCTTTTTGTACGTATGTATATAAGCTTACTTTAATTAAGGTAATATAGAAATTTTAATTTATTCAGCACGTGACATCAACAAATTTCGTCTTTTAGTCATGTTGACTTTAAAAAAGAGAGGTCTGTCTAATAACGTTTCATTATTAGAGAGGTCAGTGTAATTTCAAAAATTGTAAAGAAGGTCCTATAATTATGGCAAATCATAAGATATGTCCGAGTAATTTACCCAAAAATTATTTGATTGAAAAATGACTAGACTTGCCAAAGTCCACTAGTGTAACCTCTCTAAGAGGAGGGGAGGAGTTCAAGTCAGGCGTTGGTAAGAAGTGTTTGTCTATAAATATGATCTTTGAAGTCATTAGTACTAAGATATGTAGGAGAATAAAATAGGAAATAGAACACGTGAGATTAGAACTGAAAAATACTAAGAAGTTAGATCAATTGTGCGAATGTGATATAATTTGGAATGATTAAAAAATTCATTAATTTATTTCTTCCGTCTAAGATTATGTGATAACTACTTATATACTCCTTTAGGGATGGCAATGGGACGAAGTTGGGACGGATTTGGCTAAACCCTACTCCGCCCCGTTATAAAATTTGTCATATCAACTCCGCTCCTGCTCTGGAATGGGTTTGTAATTATTATACCATCTCCGCCTCTACTCTTGTAGATAAAGTACCGACACCGCCTTATGTACTCCATTTTATTGCGGGGCACAGTGGGGGCGGGTCGAGTTATGTCACTTTTATTATGTAGTTAAAAAAAACTAGTCTAATGTGTTCAAATTTACAGATACCAGTTCTTGTTTGAGTTGGTATGTCACGGAAAGAATAATTAGATGCAGGGCATTACTAGTGAGTACAACTCCCGGAATAGATACATGAAAGTTATGAAGTCATGGTAGAATATAGAAATTCTTAGATTGGCTTCTGAATTATAATGTGAGAATATAAAAATTATGAAAAAGCTGGAGTTTTGGTTCCCAACTTGCTCAGTGGTTGGTTATAAATTAGTAATGCATCCAAATTTCTATGTCTTACAAGGGTATTATCTTAGGATGCTTGTTCATTTTCTCATCTCAATTCTATTACATTTCAATAGTTCAATTCTTTCACATATTTTGTACTGCAACCATTAGCGTGATTTAAATCTTGGCGTGGTTTCACACATTTTTTCCACAAAGGTCCTAAAAGAATTGTGGTTGAAAAGAATGTCCATTAATGTTGTTGTTTGATAGAAATGGTGTCACTGAATAATATCTTGTCAGTATTTTGGTAGTATTTTTAGATATCATAAATGAAATCACTGGTTAGGGTGAGTGGAAAGAAGAAACTGGTTTTGGTTTATTGGAAGCAAAAAAAAAAAAAAAAAAATCTGGGTTTGGTATTGAAAAAGGAAAAAGGAAAAGTCTTGGCACAAAGTATTAGCATACTAACTAAATTTTATGTCTCCTTTTTCGCACAAGTTGCCTATATTGCTGGTCCAATTTGAGAAACTGTGGTTTGTCCAAATTCTTAGATCTGGTTATTTCTTGTGTTAGCTTTTGGAAAAAACAAGAGGTCACATATACTATATCGTACAAAATTGGAAATGAGCCCATGCAATCTCAAATATTTTGTTTTGGGGATTTCCATTGTGTATCCGGAGCTTTGCAATTCCTGAACATTAGGATTTAAAGATTATCGTCCGCTTCTTCATCCAAACAGATGTTTCTAAAACTGAAATTTCTCATATCCAAACAGATGTTTCTAAAACTGAAATTTCTCAAAAGTCCTTCCCAAAAGCCATGTTGAATGACTGACAATTGGGAGTCAGCACTAGGAGGTTATAGTTGCAAAGTTTAGCATGCTTGGATTGTTCTCATGTGTTAAAAGTAATTAACGTGTGTGGAGTGGTCTCACCTCATGTAATCAAGATTGCCAAAGTTCAATTATCGAGAAAATGATATTTAATTGGAGAAATTTTGGCCTTGTAGTGTTGGCCCACAATATTCACGACAACTTTATTTACAATTACTGAAAAGTAAGAACTAACTTGCGGTGCCTTTTGTTCCCCAAGTTCAATTATAGAGAAAATTTTAGTTTAAATGGACAAACTTGTACCTATGAACTTGAAAGCAAATGTAAATCTGAATATTGAGTTTTTACTCTTTTTTATTTTCCTTCTGTAGATGGCATAAATAGTATTGGGGATTGCCTTTAAAAAACACACCTGGAAATAATTCTGAATTCTTTCAATCATTTATCTTCCAGTCTTGATCAATAAATCAAGTGCTGCACTACAACTTCAATCCATTTATAGCTAGCTACACTAGAATTTAATTATGGTAGCACGAAGCTTAGAAAAAGAAAAAAGAAAAAAAAGGGAAAGCCTCAAAAACACTTAAAAAAAAAAAAAAAAAGATTTTATTTGTAAATAAGACTTTCCTGATGATGACGTCATAGAACATCGTTTTTGCAGTAGAAACAAAGATGTACGTGCACACAAAACAAAACCACCACCATATTACATTTTATATTGTATGTGAGGCAGTTCACAGTACAAGTTTAAAATCATAAAAGTAGATACTGAAATTAAACACAAGTGGATTAACACCAAACTAAATTACTCCGTAATACACAGCCCGAATTCACTTGTAGCTAGAAACGCAGATGGAGAGTCGAGCTGAGCCGGTGGGTTCCTCTAAGGCTCTGCAGGCGGCAGAATATGTGTGTTTGCCTTTGCCTGGGAATTAGAAGAAAGATGATCACTGGGAGCCTTTACAGCAGTAGTAGGATCTCCTTCTTTGATAGTCGTGGGGCAGCAGTCTGTCACACCACCATGGCAACAAGGGATAAAAGGAGGGTGCAGGTCTGCCATCGTCGTCGTCACAGTAATAAGGAGCAAAATGAGTATGGCAACACTCATTTTCTTAGCCATGATAACCATTATATATGCTAAACCAATGATCTGCTCTGCTCCCTCACAATGTACGTACCACCTAATTAATTTTGAGAGATAGTAAGTGTTAGAAAGAGTGGCGGTACCACTTATATAGGGGTTTAAGTGAGGGTGAGGCAAACATGTAAATACAAAAACATGCAGCTAGACCGGCCCTTTCACGGTTTCCAATTATGAAAGTTACGGGTACCTGATTAATCTACCATGCCTCGGGGAAGAAGATTGAAAATCAAAGATGCATTTTTTATTTTTATTTTTATTTTTTTGATGAGGGAAAACCAATGACGCAATTCTACAATACACTAAAAGCATACAGTGGCGAAACTACAATTACAATTAAAACAACACATTACAACTCGGACAATAAGTCAAATGGCGTTAGAAATTAAAGAGAAACCAATGGTCATTCAACCAAATGGCTATAATCTTTACCATATCATCATCGTTCATTATTTCCTTTTATTTTTATCTAATATTAATACATAAAATAATAATAAATCCTTTAAAACACAATGCTCAGAAGTACTTTACATGGGCACTTATCCTCTGAAAAAAAAAAAAAAAAAAAAAAAAAAAATTGTATTCCCAAAATAGATTACGTACCCTTTATGCTACCTCTCAAAAACAATAGATATCCTTTAAGCATTTAACCTAAGACGTTCAAATAAAGTGAAGAATATAAGATTCTGTCCACACAATATTAGATAATAAAACAACCCCTGTAAAGAACAGCAAACACAACAAAAAAAGAAAAGAACTATTCTAAAACAGGTGGTTGCTGACATAAAAATTAAAAAGGGCCAGCAATCAGCATAAGTTTCTCCGCAATGAAGTTTGAACAAGCTCGGCACAATGGACAACCTATTACTATTAACCAATGTTCTAACATACTTGATAAATTGCCTATTCATTAAAATATGCACTTCCCATCCTCCTTATCCTTATTGTTCTCTAAGGATTGTCGTCCGCAAAATGCAATGTCATATTACACACAAAGAGCCAAGTTATCAGTTGTAAAAATTGAAAAACACCTGTAGTAGGCTCTGCTGCTAAGTATCTACCTTAGCATTTCACGGTTCAACAATAGGGTAAATTACATTGAACTCCCCTATTGAATGCTTAAGTAACATGGATCTCTCATGTGGTTTCAAAAATAACACTGCCTTCCCCTGTGTGCTGACTTTGACCTAAAGGCTAATTTACCCTTATTATATTAAATAAAGCTCTGATGGTAAAAAGTACAAAAATAGAAATAATCAATTGACCTCCCCGGCCTGTAGATTGCCTAAAGAATAGGGGTCTCCCCTCTAGTTTCTAATATAACACTTACTTCACCTTTGGTTCTGGTCTGAGTAGCACTGACCTCTTTGATCATAAAACTTTCTATTTGTTTCTAGTTTAAGTAACACTGACCTTTTTTGTCATTGTGGAGCGAAATTTTGCACCTACAGTCATAAAATGACACTTTTGTTTATTGATATCATGCTCAATATTTATTTAATACCAAAGAATGCCGTAAGAAAGTTTGAAAAGGCTATTTTGTTCATAAAGAAACAAATATTTTACATTAAAAATAAAATAAAAGTACAATGGATATAATAACCATTAAACACCTTCCGGTCAAAGTCAACACTGATATGGAAGATCAGTGTTATATTTGATACCACAAGAGAGGTCCCTGAAAATTCCTGTAACTAATTTTCATATGCTAAACCTTAGTTAACACAGAAAATATGTTTATATAACAAGCTGAATAGTTGTAATGTACTATCTTAAATGATTGTGAAATTGTGTCACAAAATGGTAAAAGATTATATTATCCTTGACATATGATATAAGCCACTGTACGCAGCAAGAGTGATGATATAAGCATTTGACAGCTCTAGACCCAATGTTTTGATATTAAAAAGATAAACATCAATTGGTACTTATTAGGGCCAATAATTTTTTTTTATTTTTTTCTCTCTCTAGGCTTTCCTTTCTGTCTCTACTTTATTTAGTTAGTTCTTGTGGTTTGGTGGACAACTTATTTTAAGATGCAAGTCACAAGTATACAAATCTAAAACGGCTCGTAGTCTTTATAAGGATAATTTGGTCTTTGTCTTTTTCGAGATTGAAAGTTAATCTGGTGGAGTTAAATGCAACAAAAACATAATTTACTGAGTTTTCTATAATTTAGAATATCCCAAAAGTTCAGTGTGTTTTTTTGGTTGCATTTTACCCTAAATAATAGGGCAAATTTCATAAAACCCCTACTAGTTTCATTTTTTGATCATAAAGCTCCACCCTATTTCTAAAAATTCCTATACTTTTAAAAAGTGTTCGCAGACCCGTTAATTGGGCTGTTAAATGACAAATTTGACCTTACCATTTAATATTAAATTAAAAACTAAAAATTATTATTTTTAATTACAAAAATACCCTTCAAGTCTTTTCTTCTTCACCCCTCTCTCTCTCAAACAGACCATCTACTGTCAATGAATTACTGACCCGGCCTTTAACCAAAAAAACAAAACTACTGACCATGCCCGAAACCCTCTCGAATTCTTCAATCTGGCGCCGAATCTTGTGAGACACTGATTCGATGAAGCTATTCGACTGCACATCATTCCACGTAGCGAATTATAGCAGTAATAGATTATGTGATTTCTTTAACTTTTCTGTGTCAAAAAATACACAATAATAATTGTTGTATATGTATGCTTATTACTTACAAACCCAAAAATCTGTCAAAAAAAATTTAGAAACAATATGTAGTGATGAAGATGAAGATAAAGATCGATGAAGATGTAGGAATAAGAACGAAGATGGTGGTCCTGTTCATATTGGGGAAGAATAGAAGAGATGAAAATAAAATTCCTTTTCGAATATTGCTGCCAAAGATAAAAATCTGGGGTTTTTTTTATCCCTTTTTCTTGTTTCCTTATTGAGTTTTAATGTAGGGCTAGGATTTTTGAGTCTCAGTTTTTTAGTTTGCCCTAAACTCTTGGCGTCAAGAAAGAAGATAAAACTACTGCAAAATACACATGTAGAATCCGTTTTCCACATGGAAAAGCAAAAAACAAAATACATACCAAAAAGGGCCTTGGCCCATGGGATTTGATTCTCTAGCAAAATTAGATCTCTTATACATCTCCTAGCTGTCATCTTCCTCACCAGCCAAAACCACCTCAATTAGGAGAAAACATAAAGCAGGAGTCAAGAAACAAAATAATTCTAAAATAGTTGATTCTATTGTCTCTGGTAATTTCAATATTTTTATCTTTCAAGCGTTTATCCAGAACGGCTTCATGGAAACAGCTCATACCTTCCACAGTTACCTTTTCCATGTTGGATTTGAATGTAGAATCTGTCTTGGATAAGATCAGACGCCATCTGCAACTTCACTCGGTCTCCAATCTTCAACGACAGATGGCGGAAATACTGACCAATAGAGGCCACAGAAGGTTTGCAACAATTTACAGGATCTCTTAAATATGCAGCAACATAGCCCATTTTCGAAAATTCTAATCCAGGAAGAGGAATACCTAGATAATCCGTAATCTGATCCATCGTGCTCACGTGAGTAGCCATTGAAGGTTCGGACAGGCGTCGGAGAATCGCCGGCAACAAGACGATGAGACTTGGGCATGTTGACGATGAGATTGAAGTGTCGATGTCGAGGTGGAGGTGGAGATGGATCAGGGTTTTTACTGGTTTAAGGGTGTTTTTGTAATTTAATAAAAATATTTTTTATTTTTTAATTTAATATTAAATGGTAAGGTCAAATTTGTCATTTCAGTCCAATTAACTGGTGGATACGAATATTGAGGCAATGCGAACACTTTTTAAAAGTATAAGAGATTTTAAAAACAGATTGAAGTTTTATGATAAAAAATAAAAATATCAGAGGTTTTATGAAATTTGCCCGTATGTTAATTATTGAGAAGACAGCAGTAAAAAATGAGAGAAAGTGATATTACAACTAATCATATTAATTATTCAGAAGGCAGGAGTAAAAAGTGAGATAAAGTGAAATTACAACTCAACTCAGGTGCGGCCCTCACCCTTTTAGATGGTCTGATTCATTTGATGCTTTGTAAATTAATTAAAAACCCTTTTAGATGGCCTGATTCATTTGATACTTTGTAAATTAATTAAAAAAAAATTACCTTATCAAATGGTCTGATTCATTTGATACTTTCTAAGAAAAAAAAAAAAAAAATTATTAATTAATTAATTTATAATATAAGTAGAGCCATATTTCAATTTTCTTAATTAAAAGTAGAGCCATATTTCAATTTTCTTAATTTAATAATTTAAATTTAGACATTCCACTATCTAATAATTTCTCCTTCTCGTGTGTTAAAGCATCTCCAGCAGTATGTTAAAAAACTTTTTTGTATAAAATATGCACTGCTATATATGATTTGTAAATTTTTTTCATCGCAGTCTGTTAAGATTCACGCCACATCACTAATGTGTAAAAGGGTTGTATATTTTATACCGCACTCATACACTGTCATGTAAGCATATTTTCTCTCTCCTCCCCCTTTCCCACCCATGGTTCTTTTTTCTCTCTTATTCCTTTACACCTCTTTGTTTCCCACTTTTTTAGAGTGCAATAGAGAAAAATCTGTAACTGGCGGCAAGGTAAGAACTGCTCGATTATCTTTTATTTATTTATTTTTTGTTTTAATAACGATAGTTTGATTCATCACTTTCGTTTGATCTTATTTTATGCAATAAGTAGATTTAGGATTTTTTAAGATTTTTTATGCTTTTACATTTTATTCTGATGAGATAAATATGTACTAGCCAAATATTAGATATATATTTTAATTACGTAATTTCTATATACTTGAATCTTATTTTTATTATTTGTTATAAGTTAGAATTCCGGTGGCAATGACGTGAAAGGTTTGCTATTGGCGGGATGAGAAAGTGAAATATAGGGAGAAATTATTATTATTTTTCTAATTGAGGAAGATTGGGATGTGAAATCTAATTGTCAAAAAGTAAACTGAATAAAGTAAGTTTGTAAAAATTATGTAGAACCGTGAAATGCTAAAAATAGTTAGTACAAAATTTTTATGTAAATTTGCACTGAGACATTAAATTTATACAAAAAAATAAAAATAAAAATAACAGATAGCTGAAAATACTTAAGCAATTTAGAAAAGCAAACCAATAGCATAGCGGGATTGGGGAAGGAATGGTACGTGAAGTTGAGTTCCGCAACGGGGTTTAGGTTATAACGACAACTTGTCTACTTAAAACTTCACACCTCTTTCTATTCTCTTCTTTTCTTCTTGTCGCCGCCCAACGTCCTCACACCACTTCTTCTCCCTCTCTGGTACGTACTCTCTCTCTCTCTCCCCTTGATCATCAACATTCTTCGTAAGTCGTTCATGACATAGTTTCTTAAAATCACATTTTTTATGTTTTTTCAGCTCACCGTACTACTTTGCACATTTATCACTTTTGCTTGCTTTTGTTTTTTTTTCCTTAAAAACTTATCTCGTAGCTGTAAAGTTTTCCTCTAATATGCGTTTCCAATTTATAATCTTGTTCTTCATTACTTTTATGTGATTTCATACATTATATTGCTTCGCATATATACTTGTGGATTGTTCTGCATTTAACTTGACTCATCTCTCTATCCCTTTTTATGATTGCAAACCTAGCCGCCTTAGTCCCAATTTACGGTTTTGATATTATAATATGTATTTATTTCACTCCCTCACTGTCGATGCATTCATTTTTTTAGTCTGTCATTTCAAGTTGAGGTGTTATCGACTATTGCCTATGCTTGCAGGGTTTATAATGGACTGGATACATAATTACTGTTTGTCTGTTATTTGTTGCAATGACATGTTTTTTATGGTTTCCTTGGAAACCTGTTCTGTAAACATTTTATTGAGTTGAACAATTTGGCAAATAAACGGTTATGATTAAAGTTGACCCATTATTATGATCCATCGTTAGTTGTTGACAACAAGGAGAAGCATGCCATCATCATCTAAGCGTATGTTTGGATGTCTATAGAGATCGAATTGTTCTGCTCTGTTTTGTTCCTAATTGTGCATTCAAAACCATAACTTCCATAGAAAAAGAAAAATGGCATATGTCATGGAAACTAATATCTAATATGCATCCTCATCACACTACACCTTCAACTGCGCCCATATCATTTTTTATTATGGATGGAATGACTCTCTACTTCCCTCATTCTTTGTAGCTAGTCTGATTTTTTTAATTATTGTTTATTTTTTATTTCTTCTGGGAAAGGGAGATATATATATATATATATTTTTTTTTTAAGGTATTTGATATTATAGATTAGGAGTATCCAACCTTATTATTCTTAAAACTCCTTTTTTCTTTTCCCTGTTATATCACCCATTTTATGCATATTCTTTTGAAATTATGTAAAACTAGCTGACATACATATGCCGTATACCTTACCACCATGCGCACAATATTGTTTTTCTCTTTTCTGCTTTTGGATTGTGAGATTTTGTTGAGTTCATGAATCAACAGATTTAATTTATTCACTAACATCAGTTGGTTGTATATGACCTCAGGCTGGTGAAGAAGGAATTCATTTTTTTAATGTGACTGTGTGACTCATTAAAAAAAGGTGAGCTGAATTGGCAGCATGGCTCCTGCTCAACTATCAGCGGAAATTGATTCAGACAGTAAACTGCATTCAACAACAAATGTTGCACCCGGAAAGGGCAATACAAATTCTTTAGCAAACTCAGACGGGAAAGGTTTGAGGTGCATGAGTAACTTTGAGGATACAATGTTTGAAATGGAAGCTCTATTGAATGAACATACCAAGGCTCCAGAGGATGCCGATCACATGGAGGTTGATGTAATTGAATTTTCAAGTACTAATGACATCAGGGTGGCTGAAGCTGAGGACCCAGATGCAACTGATTATTCAAGCTCATTTGCTGACACTTCATCTGGAACTGAGAATTTTTCTGGATTTGATGATATTGAAGTCGACTCACAATTTTGTGGCAATAATAATTTGGAATTTGATGGATATGGTCATATGTTTCCAATGAGGTATCTTGGGATTTATTTACCTAACATCAATAACCTCAGTTTGTCATATTATAGTGTACACACTGCTTTATTTTCTGTCAAATTCACTTTAGAATTCTGTATTGAAATTGATTGTATTGCTAAAGTTACATTTTTCTAATTGAAATTTTGACCACCGAAATAGATTTTCCTTTACATTTTTTCAATGAAGTAGCAAAATTACAAGACTAGCTGCATAGGTTAGATTGTAGCATAATTTCACCATGCACCTCATAGAAGTCCTCTGGTGGCATTGCATCTCCAACCCAATTGTGTTGGCTAAAATTAATTTGTAAAGTGATGTGTGTGGCAAGGTCACATGGATGTAGATGATTGGTTGAATGATGCTGCTGTATGCATTGAATGGCAAGTAACCTATGTGAAGCGGTGGTCAATGCTTGAAAGAATGAGGTCAAACAGAATTGTATTGTCAATATACGTGTCATTTGTGCATTAATGAGGCAGTGCATTGTGCACTGAATGACAGAAAAGTAAGGCTTAAGAAAAGAGAAAGGAAGAAAGCTTTGCGGCTAAGTAATTCGCATAGGACAACCTTGCTCCAGCTACTAAGTTGGCATAATTGCTTATATATAGATATGTTGTTGTAGAGCATAATAAAAAGTGTGAAGAGCCAATTGAAGAGGCGTGTGAAGAGCAGAGAGTGGAGAAAAATGAGAAAAAGAAAAAGAGATTGGGGGCCAAAAGTGAGTGTATTCCTTTTAAAAGAGTGTGTGTTTTCTTCTAGTGAGTGAGTGTGGAATACCTCTTGGTGATCCGTTGAGAGTTGTAATCTTCTCTTTCCTTAAAATAAATATTATTTGAGTAAACCTTGTTCTTTATTGAGTGTGTTATTTCCATCTTATTTTCCCTTTGTTGTCATTGCATATTTGTCGTTTGTGATCTTGGACGGAAAACAAGTGGTATCAGAGCTGATACAAAAGGGATTAATTCATAACAAATGGTATCAGAGCCATAGTGGCAACTTCAAGAAATTTGATGGAAGAAAGAACCTTAGTCTCCGGCAAGGTACAAATGCGAGATATGTTAGTTCAACAAGGTTTAGATAAGGTGTTGGACGAGAAACCAACGGGAATGGACGACAAAAAGTGGGACAAGATCAACTCGAAGGCAGTGAGTACTATTCGGTTGACTAACATATGATATCATGTAGGTTGTGATTGGAGAAACTTCTGCAGTAGCTTTGTGGAAGAAATTGGAAGATCTCTACATGCGAAAGAATCTCACCAACCGGCTAATCTTGAAGCAAGAGTTGTACTCCTTTCGCAAAAAAGAAGGCGTGGACTTGCATCACCATCTCGATGAGTTCAAAAAGATTATTTGTCACTTACCTAATGTTGGTGTTAAATTGAGTGATGAAGATGAAGCTGTTAATTTATTAACATCGGTATGCTCCACTCATAAGCATTTGTTTAAGACTTTGCTTTATGGGAGAAGCACAGTCACAATGGAACAAGTGAGAGTGCTTTATTCTCGAGTGAGAAGATGAATGGAGAAAATGAAAGAAGTACCCAAGAAGACCAGTCACAAGCTCTTGTTGCTCAATAAAAGAAGAAGTTTGAAAGAAAGTTAGTAGGACAGGATAATTGGAGAGGTGGAGCTTCAAGAAACTGGGAGCCAATCATGGAGCGACCGTGCTACTTTTGTGGACAAAAAGGACATTTGATACGGAATTGTCCTAAAAATAAAGAAAGAGAGTCATGCTGCTATATCCGAGTCTACTAATGCAGAGGATGATGTTCTTGAAGTCCTTTCAATAATTGACAGAGAGAAAGAAGCTAACAAGCGGATACTTGATTTTGCTTGTTCCCATCATGCGTGTCCTCATAAAGAGTGGTTTACTACCTACAGGCCTGTAGTTGGTAAAGTCTTAATGGGGAATAATTCTTCTTGTGAAGTTGTGGGATTGGGACAATCAACATCAAGACCACAAATAAATTGATACGGACTTTGACTAATGTGTATCATGTTCCAAGTGTTAGAAGGAATGTGATTTCTTTAGGTGCCTTTGTTTCTAAAGGTTGTTGGTTTGAAGCAAAACATGGAATAATGAAGGTTAGAAGAGGTCCACACATCATGCTCATGGGAAAGAAAGTAATTTGTATGTCGTATTTGGGAATATTTTGTTGGGTGGAGCTGTTGCAAAGACAAAGTTTAAGCCTGTTTTGAAATCTACCACAATGGTGGAGTATCAGGAGCGGCAGGTTAAGGATGAAGTCTTAGCAATCACAACAGCTCAAACCTTCATTCCGGAAGAGAAGAAATTTCAGTTCTGGTTCGGTGATATGAGGTTGGTTCCCAAGTTCACTAGTTATTTGAACTCGAAATTTACCAAGTGGATGAGTGTGATAGAGTAGAGAAGACAATGAAAAATAAAATGGAGATATTGAGTCAAGGGGGAGAATTTTAGCCAAGGTGGAGATTTGTTGTGTTGGCTAAAATTTATTGGTAGAGTGATGTTTGGGGCAAGGTCACATGGATGTAGATGATTGGTTGAATTATGTGGCCGTATGCATTGAATGACTAGTAACCCGTGTGAACCGGTGGTCAATGTTTGAAATGATGAGGTCAAACAAAATTGTATGGTCAATATATATGTCATTTGTGCATTAATGAGGCAGTGCATGTGCACTGAATGAAGAAAAAGTAAGAAAAGAGAAAGGAAGAAAGCTTTGCGGCTAAGTAATTTGCATAGGATAGCCTTGCTCTAGCTACTAAGTTGGCATAATTGCTTATATATAGATATGCTGTTGTGGAGCATAATAATAAAAAGTGTGAAGAGCCCGGTGAAGAGGCGTGTGAAGAACAAAGAGTGGAGACGATTTAGATAAAAAGAAAGAGATTGAGGGCCAAGAGTGAGTGTATTCATTTTTAGGAAAGTGTGTTTTCTTCCAGTGAGTAGGGTGGAATACCCCTTGGTGATCCGTTGAGAGTTGTAATCTTCTCTTTCCTTTAAATAAATGTTAGTTGAGTAAACCTTGTTCTTTATTGAGTGTGTTATTTCCATCTTATTTTTTCTTTGTTATCATTGCATATTTGTTGTGTGTGATATTGGGCGGATTAATTCCTAGCACGTGGTATCGCTGATATGGAAGGGACTAATCCATAACAAACCCAGATGGTAAAGAGAGACATATTAATTGATAAATACAACATAAGAAGAAATGGAACCAAAATCATGTTAAGATGACATTCCATCTCCATTAAAGTCCTCTGGCGTCATTGCACCTCTTTTCACTAGGAAGACCGGCTCCACATCTGCACTGTGCATTTGATATCCTGGAAGGAGATTTTGCTTTCTTTAACTTGAAAATGGAGCTATCTCCTTCCAGGGAAATATTGTGATATTCTACAAGGGTTTCTACTTTCCATTTTGTGATACCCTCATACCCCATCTTCATAAGGATTATAAAAGACAACCACTGTATATTCTTCTCATTTCCTTATGCTATTCCTATACCACAGCCATCTAAATTTTGTTTGGACTTTATTGAGGGAGGTTTCCTTCTCCGTAAGGTTAGTTGAATGTCAGGCTGAACGTGATGGCATTCCTTCAAACCTCAGGAAGTAAGGTCAAAATGGATGCCACTTAGTGATTCTTTGGTTCAAGCCATAAGGTAATAGATTGAATGAATGGTTTGTGTATATTTTCAAAATTTTAGTTCTTCTCTCTCTCTCTCTCTCTCTTTCTCTCTCTCTCACCATATAGTGGCAATTTAAACATTTTCCATGACCACTTGCCTCCCTCCTTAGAACTCAGGAGAAAAGAACCCCACAAAAGGAGAAGTAGGGAAGGTTATTGTATGACAAGGTCAACTTGCACACAGGGAAAAGTTATTGATCAGAAGCATTCGTCGTTGAACAAAAAGGAGTAGTGATTTACTAAACAAACACCGGTTGGACTCCTAGGTCTTGAAAGTTTGGACAAATATAAGCAGCTTTAATGATTTTCAAGACATCTTTTGCAATACAAGAAATCTTTTGCAATACAACTGGGGAAAAGACCAAAACACTACTGGGGCTCCGAAAACTATATCTCCTCCTTGAATTTTTGTTGTTTTCCTTCCCCATGTACTCTTTAAAACGGTTATTCTTAATTGAATACTTCATAGTAAACAACTAAACATTAAATAGGTCAATCATAATTTTCACCAGGTCATTGTATGTATTGATTAAATAACATCAAAAAGTTGCTCTTTAAAATTGAGATCTTGTACCTCCGCCCCAAAGTTTTGAACTTTGAGCTGCATGGTTCTCTGTATATCTGTGTTTTTATTTCTTTTTCATTTCAACTGTGAACCTTATGCATAAACTGCAATTCCATGTCGTAATTGTGTCATTCTTCAGTTTTATTGGCCAATTCCGCTTCTTTATATTTGATTATTCTTGTGCTCTAAAGTGACACACCATTTTTTGAGTAATTCAACTTTTTGGCCTCGTCTGTTCTGGGGTCCAGGATTTTGTTTACCATTAAAGTTGAAGATAGCATCAATTTGGCAAAGATAATGCAATAATACCTTTTAAGTACTCATTTTTCATAGCAGTATCACTCTCATGTAGGTGAAGTAAGGTCAAACAATTGGAGTGGAGCTTTAGAAACTAACGATTTTGTTTGGGAAATGTTATGTATTTTATGTTCTACTGTTCACCACCCACTTGTGTTTACTACATTACTCTCACCAATGTTGCATTATACATTCCAACTATATGTGGTTTCAAATTTTCAGGAAGAAGAAGCTGACCAGTCACTGGAGAAGCTTTATACGGCCATTGATGTGGCGGTGCAAATGGACAGAATTGAGAATTAAGGAATTTGAATCACGGGCATCCAAGTATTCCCAAGAACTTGCAGCATATGATCAGAGAAAACAGTTGGAATTTGATCAACTTACATTAGAAGGTTTCGGTTCAAAGTCATTGCCATTTACTTTTCAAAATCACCGAAGAAAGTACATGAAGAGGAGGAAAAGAAAAAGAGTTGAAGATGCAACAGACATAACATCATATATGTCACATCATAACCTTTTCTCGTATCACGGTACAAGTTTGTTCTTTATACATGCGCATTGCAGTTATGGTTCTTTTTCTCTTACCCTTTCATCTTTTCATATGTAATTTTATGTAACTATATGGCACGTGATTTTTTGCAGAAAACAAGAATTCTGATCCAGAATGTACTTATATGGCCAATGATCATGTCCATCCAGGTATAAGTTTCTGACATACTGTGATTTTGTTTTCGCTATGTTACAGATTAAGTTAGGCGAGGACTGAAGAAATCATCTTGCGCATGTAACTTCTTTTTTTGCATCAAATTTTATTTTGATTTGGTGAAATTTTTGAATATTTTATGGTGTTAAATTCAATAAATAAAAACATTATAGTCTTGAGGTTGTCAAAGGGTAATGTCTCAACAAGTGGACAAAACATATTTACACTTTGTATCAGTCTGATTCAAAAAAAAATGGGAAGAACTTAATTGACGAGCATAAAAGAAGCTAAGTGCACTTGCTAATGACTTATTCTTGCTTGGCTGATTAATTTAAGTGTTTTATTTTTTATCTTCCTTAATGCCATGGAATATGATGTAAATGACATATCATTGCTGAACATATTAATGCCATCAGTATTTCCTAATACCTTTTCTGCTTTTAGATGTGAAATTATTAATCTGCACGCAAACTTTTTTTTTTTTTTCAAATTGACTGGTAATGTGTTGAAAGTACATTAATGTAAGTTTTTTGAGATTTGTTTATTATTAGTATATTTTTGTTTTGTTAGTTTTATGATAGCGAAAAGATATTTTTTTTTCCTTAAATGAAAACAAAATTCTTTTCTCCTTTTATTTTATTTTATTTTTTATTTTTTTTACTCTAGTCCTCTTGTGACGTGTGGTAAACAAAAGTGTAGTAGTTAACTCAAGGCCTTTTAATTATAACCTTTTTCCATAAGTAGATCTAATGGAAAACTTCAATGCTTCTACCCTTGTAACAATTATCTTGCTTGTTCCTGCTTTGCTTTGAGTGAAGTTGGAAGCTGTTTCAAAACGTATGCTGCCACAGTACTTACTGTTGTTGTGAGAATGAAATCCCTTTAACACGTAAAAATCAATCTTTTTTTTCGTATTATACAGCCTATCTTAAAATGAAAACATCATAGCTAGCAAACAAAGCAAGAGATGGAAAGAAGGTTGCTATTACATGCTTTGTCCGCACGTACAGTGTCGTTAGGCACACTTGCGCCTGTTGTGTGCCCAAGTGCGCCTTTGTCAACATTTGCACTTTTAATATGGAATATGAATATGCTTTAATAGTAATTTAATTTCTGAGTTGTGCGCCTCGCTTCACTCAGGTGTTGCGCCTAGGCTTCAAAGGACCTCTAGCACCTTAGTGCGCCTTAGGCCTTTGATAACACGGGGTACGTGTCTCGGGTATGGGTAAATTCCAAATAGGAGGCCACATGGACACTGCTATATTTTTTTTTAACATAGCATGTAATATGATATAATAAAATGGAATTATGGATATATTTTTTAGTTGCATTTTCAACCAAAAATGTCGAACACATATCCCATACGCATGTCCGAATAATATGTGTCGAACTTGCGTACTTCACCTACTATGAAAGAGTCCATGTAACATGGACTCGGGTACAAGTGTCGGATACGGGTATGTATCCACGCGTCGGATGTGTCAAATCTCCAAACAAAACGACACACGGACACGGCCAAGTATTTCTTTTATTAATTATTTTAATTTATTTTCTAGAGTAAAGTAAAGTTTTTATTTTTATTTTTTTTTATTTTTATTTTTTATCTAATATAATGTTCAATATAGGCATTTAGCTCATTTTAAAGTAATAATAATATAATTAAATGATTGGTTATGTTTTTTAAGTACATGTACAACCAAAAGTGTTGGACACATATTCTCTACCCATGTTCGAGCGATATGTGTCCGACATGGGTACTTCACTACTTTTGAAAAGTCCATGTAATAGAGACATAGATTACATGTAAATAATCATTTCTTGGATTTTTTGACATTATTTTGTTTTTATATTTAATCATCATTTGTGCGATTTAGATTTTCTTCCCATGATCCAATTCTAAAAGTTAAAGTTGTGACTTCGGAACCTTCACTTCTTGCTCCTATGTTATAGGTTCACCATTTCAATAGATGAACATGTTGCATGATAATGTCAATTAATAAATGTTACTCGATTGCCTTGTAGCGACTATTTTATGTATTCTCGTGGGTTTGTAGTGTTTTTTATAACTTATGTTTAGTAAATTTTATTGTTACTACACTTCATTATATCTTATGTTTATCGTACACTACAGATAAACATGTTGCATCATCATCATCATTATCATCCTTGCCTTAATCCCACTTATCAAAAATAAAAAATAAAAAATTCATCCCTGCCTTAAATCCCATATGAGTGGGGTTGGCCACATGAATTTTCTCTCTCCAAGATTTCTATTACATGCCATTTCACCTACTATATTTAACTTTTTAAATCCATTTTTGATAACCTCATCCCATGTTTTTTTTGATCGCCCTCTAAGTCTCTTACCTTCTATTACAATTTACAACTATTCTTCCTCGTTTGACTGGTGCGTCTCTAGATGAACATGTTGCATGATAATGTCAAATAATAAATGTTACCTGAAAGCCTTGCAGAGACTATTTTATGTATTCTCATGGGTTTGTAGTGTTTTTTTTTTTTTTTTTTACATCTTATGTTCAGTAAATTTTATTGAGGAACCACTTCTGAAGCTTGATTTCAGTTTTTGTTCAATTGAAAAGGAACTTATAGACTTGTAGTGTTTGAACTTATGTGTGTGTGTGTGATGTTGTGGCCCAAATTTTGTTTCGGCTCGGGTTGCGACCCGCTGTCCCCAGACCCCCTTGAAATTTTTTGACCCTTTTTCTTTTGCAAGTCGTGGACCTTGTTTAGGACTCTCTTGTAGCCCAATATATAAGGGTGTTTAGGCTTTGGAGTGGGTAACGAGAGAACACTAAAAACTGCAGAAGAGAGACAGATAGAGAAAGAAAGCGCTAGGATTTGTCAAACCACGTAAATTTTTGTCTTCTTTGTGTGTGGCGTGTTTACTTTTTTGTCATGATTCTCGACTTGTTCTTGGTTCATGGCGTTTGTTGTAACAATATATATAGGGTAGGAATGCATTGTTATATCTTGATTGTATCTTTCTTCTTATTCTTATGTGTATTATACACGCAGGGTGGTTGTCAATGCCTCAAATTTTGCTTCCAATAAGCATCCTCTGTCAAATGGTTTGTTTTTTAACAGAGTTGACCTGTCATGACAATAATTTATAAAATTTTAATCCAAAATACTTGATTAAGATTTTATAGTAAAATTTCTTATTAATACCATTGTTACTGCAACTGCTGCCCTATTGTCTCGAGCCATCACCATTGCACCTCCATTGCTGCCACTATTACCACTGCTGTAATACCACATCCACCACTACACTATTTTTTTCATTGGCAAGAAACATACACCCACGTTGCTCCTTTGGAGACTCAAGGCCCTTGGTTGTGACAGTCCACTATGTTGCACATACAAATTTAATTCATTCTAAGACAGCAAATGCTTATGCACAATAGGAAAAAAGATAATAAATATTTTTTTTTCAAAAATTGACCAAGCCAGGGTCATATCTATGCATGTATATGTATGCATGTACATACAAAGACATGTGCACCATTATGTACCTTTTGGTTATAATTTTAAGCAATGAATCTGACTGTTGGTTTTTGATTTGTCATTGTTTTGGTATAGTCTTTCCTGAACAGAATACCACTGGTCATGAGCTTGGGATTAATGATGATTTGTCACTACTTGAACCCAAAGATGGTGATAAATCCCTTGAGCAGATTCTTCGGAAGATTGAAATGGTAGTCTCCCGGGTTCACAAGATGAAGGCTCAACTTGACATGGTGATGTCCAAAAATGCCGCAAAGTTTTCTTCGTCTGAGAATTTGAGCCTTCTTGTGCCCAGTGATGCACAGACTAGCTCAGCTCATAGCCCTACATTCTCTGCTTGCAACGGTGACACAATAACTGTGGGTGCTGTATATCCTCCAAGTCAGCATGTGTCAGAATACGATATCGGAGATCTGGTTATGCCTGAAAGTGCAATTTCAAGCTACGGAGATGCTATTCCTGTTCCTGATATAATTGAAAGCACAGTTGGGTTATTGTCCTCTGCTGATGTCACCCTGCATCAGCCACAAAGTGGAGATTCATGTGAAGATGTAAGTCATCTTTATGTGATAAATTATTATTTTTTATTTTAATTTCATAAGTTTAAATGTGGTAATAGCTATGAGTTGTGAAAGCCTCCTTTATATGTAACTAAATGTTTTTTTTTTTTTTTTTCAAAAATAAAAATAAACTACGTTTATTACTCTTCTAGCATATTCAAGATGCAACAAAATTCTATGTTCGGAAAATTACTTGAAGCTTTTCATTAGGATACATAGCATGATTTTCTTGTATTTAATTCCACACCTCCCAGATTATTTAGGAGTACTGCAATTTATACGAGTCATTCCTGAATTTTGAATGTTACAGATAACAATTGTGAATGAAAATATTAGCACGCTTTCTTTTTCTAATATGATTCATTTTTCCACCACTAAACAAGTGTTTCTGGTCTCTTCGAAGTCCTTTTCTAGTCTCGAACCCTGAATTGATAATTAATATTATTATTTTATTTTATTTTATTTTTTATTTTTCTGAATTCTGATTTCTTCACTATGGTATCATCACAAATGTTGGAAGGCTTTCCAAATCAAACTCATGCACACCCATGATGAGCTTTCTCCTGGATTATTATTGGGTGTATCGGCAGCAAATTTGACAACTTAAGCCTTTTGTTTTGCCATTGGGTGAGTTACGATTGTGGGTAATTATGCTGATCGGGGCTTTGTTTCTTTTTAAACGGTAAAATTGTGTCTTGCTTCAGGAACTCATTATTTGTCATTGAATGCCTTCATGCTGTCACACATTTCAGACACACCCACGTTTTGATTTCTTAAGATGGGTACATCACTTATTATTATATAATTGTAACTAGAAAATTTATTTATCTATTTACTCTGTAGTGTTTGATACCTTAGGGGGTGCTTCACTTGAGATAATTGTTAAAAGATTTCTTTAATTCATTTTCTATTATTGATATCTGCAGATTGTGGATAATGTCCTGATACATGATCAAGCAGTTGAAGTAGAGAGCGACTGTTTCAAGAGGATATGTAATCCACCCACTGAGAAGCATCAGGAAGCAGAGAAAAGCGGGCAGGAAGAAAGCACCAGTCCTGCCATTCCTACCCTAGAACCTGACTTTCTGGCAAAAACTGTCATGCCTCGTGAGCAGTCAACGGTGAAATCATGCTTAGCCTCGGGAATCCATTTTCCCAGGAACAAGAGGAAGCGAGGTGAGCGTAAAGCTGGTTCAGGTGGTTGGAGCCGGAGATGCTCAGGCAAGCCTGATAACCAGTGAGTTGAAAATTCTGTAGGTCTGATCTGTTCACCTTAGCTTTAAAGAAATGTGTTTGATGGTGGAAATTGTAGATTTTGGCATGGGGATAAATACCACGGTGTTGGTCTTGTTTGTAAATGTTTTGAAGAAACAAACTTCTATTCATGGCATTTGAATCCAGAAAATGATAAAAGTGGAGTTGAATATATTTTTTTTTTATCTTCGTTCTTATTTTGCCTTTCATGTTATTTTAACTTCTGCCCGACTATAAACCTGATGTCAGACAAGTGGTATCCCATGCTTCTTTGTTAGCTCTATTATTGAATTATTTTGAGTCTTAATTTTTGTAACTTGGATTGACTTTAGTTGATTTTTTAGTGCCCCATCTGTTATAGCCATGTGATAAAAAGTTGCTTTATTTATTTATTTATTATTATTGTACTATGGCCTTTAGGCTTGGTTTCATCAACCCTTCAAAGTCTGGTTGGCATAGGGATGGAATTGGAAAGAGTTGGAAGGCCAAATTAGGATAATACAATTCCGTGTCAGCTTTAGTATTTCTAATTTTGATGCGAAGTTATAAGGGGACTAAATTAAGGAGCAATCAAGTAGATATTGGTTTACATTCTTGGTAAAAATATTTATAATAATAAGCTGGAAATGGATTAGGAAAAGAAGCCGATCAAGATCAGTGTTTATTGATGCAAAATGCTTTTAGGGAAGAAAATGAACCAAAAAGACCCTTAAATGGAACTTTGGTAATGAAGGGGCTTTAAATACCAAAGTCCATGCTTATGCCCAAAGCCTAGCTTTCTGAACACAAAAATTGTTCTATCCACCACCAGACACGAGTACGTACGTAGTAGAGAGAATCGAAGGTGGAACGAGATTATATATAGAATTTTTTTTTAATCGCGCAGTTGCAAGGCGAGGAAGGGAAAAGATAGCCCCGCACCGTCCCGTCCCACACCCCGTTTATACAATTTATTTATATTAAAAAAATTTAGTAGCATAAACTTGGGCAAGGCGTCGCCTAGGGCCTCCCATTTGCCTTTTAATCAATTAAAAGACATTCATTTCAGACCATAATTTTTATAATTAAAAAACAATACACAATCATATATCATGGAAATTTATGGCAATAAATAACTTTAAAAAAAAAATTTATGCAATAAACACATGCTTATAATATCAATTTATATATGTAATACAATAATTTGTATGGTAAAAATAATTTGTTTCTATCCCTTTCCTTCAAAAGAAAAAATATTTTTTTTATATTTAAACAAGAAACTGATCTATTTTATTATTATAAATTATGACAGTGAATTGAAGTACTTTAATTTATAATTTTGCATCTCAAAATGTAAGTCGGTGATATTTACTTTGATATGAAGTTGAATTTTGATTTGTGTGACTAAGTTGTGTTGAATATTTTTAAAATTTTTAATGTAAATTGGATTGTGCTCTTTATAAAGAGCTAAGACTGATTTTTGCTTTACGTGTTTTCGACCTTAATATATTTTATGTATTTATCGTCTAATTTTAATATAAATTTCGCACTCATATAAATTTTTTGCCGCCAAAACTCTCTCCTCTATCCTTTTTCTCCGCTGCTGGACATCTCCTCTCTCTCTCTCTCTCTCTCTCTCTATATATATATATATATATATATATATATGTTGTAAGGTTTCCTCTAAAAGAAAGGAAATTGAAAAAGTCTGGCAAAAGAAAGAAGTCCAAACAGTTTTTTATATTTTCGTTAGTTTGCAACACTGTTTTAACCTATTTTGGGTACGTGTCTCAAAACTGTTATTAGACACAAAAACGATGGGCTTCGAGTCATACTTCTAGAGCCGCTGAGTTTTCCCAATTCCAAGTTCTGGGTAAAGGGTTATGCTCAAAACATTAAAGTGGTCCATAATATTCTACTTAAGTTGTTTCCTTTTTGGAATAGGAAAGCTATATTTTCTTCATATAATGACCTAGAACGAATTTGGCTTGCTGGAAACTCCTTTACAAGTCTTTTAAAATTATCCTTGAATGATCTTGGCCATTGGATCACCTTGGATACTCTAGCTTTCGTGGTCCCCATCCGTCAATTGAACTTAAAGACCCTACAAGTAACGGAATTGACTGAAATTCTGCAGATTAATTGAAAAGAACAAAAATCAAGAAAATATCATCAGTAATATGAAATAAACATTACTAAGGTATTAAAATATGCAAATCTAGGGGCTTGAATATGCAACATTCAACACTTATCAATGACCTGAAAAATAAGTTCCCTCTATTAGGACCTGATCAGAGTACCGACAATCATTACGTCCCTAGCTAAACTCATGCACTATCTACATAGCCGATAAATACATATATACACAGTAAGACTCTCATTGAACAATAAGGTAGTTTTAACCAGATAGTGGGTATCTTATGGAAAAATCGAATACAAGGTGGTTCAGAGTCCCCTTTTACTAGGATACACACATCTCCTATATTCAGCTACCCATCTAAACTGGCAATATACACCTCAGACTTAACCACTGATCCCGAGACCTCAAACTCGTATCATATACATATATATAAACGATATAATTAATAAACAAAACCATATCTAACAATGACACAAGTAGAGTATCTTGACTTTAACAATGACAAAACAAATAATTACAGTCATGTATCATGCTTGTAAATCATAAATATATCAACAACAATTAATATAAGCATGAATAAGATTAATACATTGAATTACACCATTTAAATACCATAAAGATTAATTATAACCTATTAGTTAATTTAATCTTTTCCATCCAATAACAAATCACAAAAGTATAATATAATTTATATATTTTAAACCCACGTCATTGTTTCCAACACTTATAAACATGATCGGGATTAATTATACTTAAATTGGGGTCATTCAACACTTTTGAAGCAAACAGGCTCCAAGAGCTCAAGCACAAACCCTGTGCTCCAGCATAACCCCTAGTGCTCTAGCATTGGGTGTCGGAACAATGTTGTGCTCGAGCACAACCCTTTGTGCTCAAGCATAAAGTCGCAGAGCAGTTTTGGCAGAACCATTTTTGGTCTGTAAATCTGTCGTTTGGGTCCTAAAATATAATTTCTACGTTTTATATGATCACCAATGATATAAACAATGAAAATACACAAGATCGAACAATTTAAAATAAGTTTTAGATATTAAATCAAAGCACCTAACAAGTTGAAGAACGAACACATATGAACACGAAAACAGTTCATGCATAGCAATGAATTGTCCAATTAATTATCTGATTTAAACCCTAAAGTCTAGCATGTGATAAAGAGATTATAGATTAAAAGGGAAAGAGATAGATAAAGAACTTGACTTATAATTTTCGAATTGAAAATCAACTATACAAACTCTCCCATTTTCTTTTCTAATTTCGGCAACCTTCAAGCTATCTCTGGTCACCTTATTCTTCCTTTTCTCTCTTTCTCTCTCTAAATCTATGCCTCTTTTGTAACTCACATATGTACAAAAATCCTCTTCTAAATAAATAATAATAATAATAATAATATATCCTCAAACGTATTATTTTACCAAATCAATATCCACATGATATATGCGCGCGCGCGCGCGCACATACACACATATATATATTAATACATACACCTTCCCATGTGCCATAATTCCATATAACTTATCTAGGCCTTCTCGAATTAGCCTAACCCATTCATTTGGGTCAAATAACTCCAAGCCCAAACCGTGATTAATTAAAATAAAATAAACCAATTAATTAAACAAACAAATTGCACATAAACAAATAATGACAAGTAAAGCACATTAAATAATTTAAAATAATCTAATTATCCAATTTAATCATATAGCCACTTAATCATTTAATAAGAATAATTAGCCAAATAACATAATTAAAATGAACTTAAAATAATAAATTTAATGCTCTAAAAATTAAATGTATTACACTCGCCCCACCCCGTCCCGTTTAGCACGATTTTGGAGAACCGATTATGTAAATGGAGCGGGGATGGGGGCTGTTTTAAAAAACCCCACAGGTTTTGAGGCGGTTCCGAGGGAGGGTTGTCCCACCCCGTCCTGAATATACTATAATTTTTTTTTTTTAATTACCCTTACACACTATGATGGATTATTAAAATATGTTAAGTATATATATACACGGGAGGAAACCTCAATTCTCATTTTGTTTCATGACCTAAGTCTTGTAAAAAAATAAAAGCCAAGACAAAAATTCCCACCCTGGTGGGGGGCCGCCCCATTTGAGGCAATTTTGGGGAATCAATTATGTAAATGGAGACGGGAATGGGGGCCACTTTGAAAAACTTGATGGATTTTGGAGCGATTATCGAGATGAACAAATTAAACATGGGGAATGAGATCATGCCCCATTGCCCTCCCTACTAAAGCTTACTGGTCTAACCAAGGGCGGAGCCAGCTTGTGCCCAGGGGCACATGCCCCTGCTCTGGCCCCGCCCTATGCATATATATGGTTTTTATTATTATTATTTTTTTACATACATATATATATATATATATATATATATATATATATATATATAGAAATTTGTATATTATGCCCCCTCTAAAATTATTAGTTCCAAAATTTTTAAAAACTTTTTCTATTTTTTATCTTTTACTCTTTAAATTTTTTTAATTACCTTTTTAAATTTTCCTTATTTAATCATGTTTTAATTTGTTTCCTTAAAAATTCATTTTTCTTTCCCTTTTTCTTCTTCTTTTTCTTATTTAAAGAAAAAAAGATTCACTGTACCCCTGAATTCAAATCCTGACCCCGCCCTTGGGTCCAACCATCAAAAGTATGGTCGGTAGTATCAAAGTTGATGCAGGATTTGGGTATAAGGGTCAGTTGAATGTATTCAATAAATACTTTTTTGTTTTGTTTTGTTTTTTTTTTTTTCAAATTCTGTTTCCTTATTTATGGGTATTTATGTAATTTTACACAATCTTTTAACTGCAGTTTTAGTACCGGCAAAAGTGGGGCAAAAAGGAGTAATTTGTTTGTAAATTGAAGGAGTTTGTTGAAAAGGAAAGAGTTAAGGGGTATTTTTTAAAAGGAAGTTTAGTGCAATTAGGCTTAAATCTTTTAATAAATCTGGTTAATAGTAGTAATAAACAGAGTCACGTTTTTCTTTGTTTTTTATATACCATCTCAGCCCACAATCATAAAGAGGAAGCTCACGCAAAACCCTAATAAAACCCTAATTCACTGCACAGACGGAGAAAAGCCTGAAAAGGGATAGAGCGATGGATCACATAGCAGCAGCTGAGGAGCGAATTGTGACGGAGAGATTGAGGCAAAAACTAAATGAAGTGAACTCTATCGCTCAATCCCAACTCTCAGGCGTCCAAGACCATGTCAATTTCACTCTTCAGGTTTCTCTATCTATATCTATGAATCTATGTATGTGTGTGCTCCCCTTGTAATGGATTGTTTGAATAACGGTTGCAGCAAGCGTACTTTAAATGCGCCTACGAGTGCTTCGACAGGAGAAGGCGGCAAGAAGAGATTGGCAACTGCGTGGAAAACTGCAGTGCTCCAGTTATGAATGCTCAGAATTTGGTTGAAAATGAGATGGCCAAATTCCAAGTAAAGTTGCTATCTCTTTATCATTTTGGTTGGAACTTGAAAATGAAATCCACTATCGTTATAACAATCATTCTTATCATGTGGTATTTAGATTTTGATTCTCATATTTGATAATCCACTCACCACTTTTGTTATTCTACATGAATTGGAATGCTTACCGCATTTTTTTTTTATTTATCTATAAGTAGTTAATGTGTTAAACTGAGCAGGAGCAAGATTATTTATGAGTCAACTGAGCAGGAGTAAAAGATTTTGGCATTTTGCTGATGCCGTCATAGACTCTTTTTTTTGACAAATATATTTTTTGGGTTCATATGTCTTTCTTTCCTCAAATGTAAGTGTGTTAAATCGCATTTTGACATGTAGGGTGCTTCTCTATGGTCAAGTTCAAGTGTACCAACTTGGTTTGATAATATTGGAGTCTTCTCATTGTTGTATAGATATATTCATGTCAGTTGAATGGGTTTCCTACTGTCCTTTCTAGAATTTTTTACCCCCTTCAAAATCATTTAAGTTTTGTAGTTGGGCCAAGTCGGTGGGTTAATATCTTAGAGAAAAATGATCATAGGATGTATAAAAAATGGTAGCACGAGGGCCAAAGTTGAAACCATTGAAATGTATTAAAAACAGTGTTAAAGTCATAAAACCCAGATTTATATATGGTGGTTCGTTAAGAATGTTTTCTATATGGTTTCAAGTATTGGTCTATATCACATTATAAGTATGGTGATATTGATAAAATTTGGTGTTTGTGTTGACTGATTGTAAAGACATGTGATTGTATGTTGACAAATCCAGTAACAATTTTGCAATAATGGAGTTTGAACAAAACATCCATCTAAGTCCATGTTGGTTAACTTACCAAGGTTTTCAAGATTCTAGTGAAGATTGACAATTGGAGACCATGCTACAAGATAAATCTCAATATTTTATGACACTTAAGAAAGGTAAGAAAGGCCTTGGAGAATCTAGGTATTTAGGTTAGTGATGTTCAGGTAGATTGGACTACCTGTTGAACTAGGTTTTGTTGAACTAGGTTTTGGGCTAAATTAAATTGCTGCAGGTTGATTTATGACATTACTGGAACATAAAGGATCATATTTAAAGGTTTGGAATTGGAATTATTCAGAACTCTACATACGATTTACAAGCACTGGTGCATGGACCCTGGAGAGTTGAGCCGTGGTACATGTGGTTCGAGAGAGTGTACATGTACGTGTTTCAGCAGTTGCAGTTTTCAGTTGGTTTCCTACCCCAAATCAAATTCAACCTTGTCTCACAAGACCTAAACATTCTGGAAACCTATAAATGTGATTGAAGTAATCATATAACTTTAACATGATTTTTATGCAAGTTCTCATGAGTTTTACATAGACTCCCATGCTTTTCTTAGAATCTATCTATGGAGGAAGATAGAGGCTTTATCCTTTTGCAAAATCTTAGATTTATGCTTTCATCATTCATATAGCTAAGCATTCGTCAAAAGCTATCATTCCAGTGCATGATTTGGAACTTCATGGAGTTCATCTTTGGTGTTTGATCAACGATCCAACAACTTATACTTTGAGATCAAAGGAGCGTGGGACATACAATCATTGTGAAGAAGGCGGATCATTTGGTAAACTAGAGCGTTGATGGAATATCAACTAGCATAAAAGTTTTAGGCTTTGGATTGAAGCAATTAGCAACTAGGACTTGGCAAGTTGTTCCAGGCATACGTCTGTAGCATAATTTCGGTTGTAGTTTCTTCAGCATAGTGGTTTGGCTTGCTTGTCCTGTTGTGTTTTATTGATGGGTTTTCTATATAATTTTTATTTTTTTTTGTCTTCCTTCTCTTTGTTCTTGTTCACTTGTATGCTTGTTTATGCTTGCATGGAATAATTTGATTAATTAGATTAATTAGGCTAGTAATTTAGAATCAATCTAAAAATTTATAAGAAATGATGGATCATGGATGTATTCACCTCCTCTAGGTCTACACATGTAACAAAAACCAACTAGTTCGCTTCCGCATAGCGCAAAACTCACTAATACGTTGTCGCGCCCTAATTTTCCTTGCAACATCCTCGTATGGAGAATGCTGCTGTAGATTATGCGAATGAAGATGCTATTAGGGAAGTAAGACTTTAAATGCGACAAAATGTAAATGGAACGCACTTATCAAAACAAAAAATGTAAATGGAACATAATGAATGGATTCGCCACCTAATGTTGAGTTTTGGTGTGCTAGGTCACCTAAGGTATGTGGTTATGAGTTAAATGCAATGGTCCTATGCGACAACATCTATATGGTTTAAAGAACTAGATGAATGGATTCAGAGGTTTGATTATACATGGGAAGATGTTAGGCACCCCATGTATCCATACTTATGCATGGTTGTATGTGTGTGTTAGTGCATGCAGAACCTTATGAGATTCTTTGTTGCATTAGCCTTATTTGATATGAGATTAGACCTATTGTGAAGACCCAAACTCGAGTCTGTTAGACTCAATGCATGTGACTGATTTATCTTACAACTTGACAGAGCAATAGCATCAATTAAACTACTCAAGATTGACCTAGATTGTTTAATGTAAAGGATGTATATGTAATTTATGCTAACCTAAGCCAGATGTTTTATTAATGGAATCGAACCCAAGGGTGACCTTAGGCTGCTTACGTATCCTTTGTTCGAAAAAAGACATGTTTTGACCTAGGGGTACCCATCTCAAATTCGGCATTTTTGTTTTGAAAAATATACCTTAGAATTGTTGAAAAAGAAGGATTTCAGTGTAAAAGTGACGTGAGAACATTGGAAAAATTTAAGAAAATTTCAAAAGTTTTGAAAAGGGTGCATTATCATGCATTGAAAGGTTCTAATGAAATTTCGATAGAGTACCGACGTAAATAAATGTCTCGGGGACTTGATGATTATTATGATTTTACGATGAGACTTGAACCTAAATGTGCCCAAACATGCCTAAGAATGTGTTCTAAGCATGCTTCTAATGATTGAGTAAAACTATGCTAAAGAGTAACATTGCCAAAATTCTTGTCTTTTTTTTTTTTTTTTGGGGGGGGGGGGGGGGGGGGGGGGGTGGAAAGCTTTAGAACAAAAAATAAGTTTAAAAGTGCTGAAAAGAATAGAAAAACTGATTTGACTTTGAAAGAATTTTGAAAAGAAGGTTTTTGAGTCAAAACGGTGTCCTTTCGGAGTTTTGACTTATCATACGGACATATGAACGTGATGAAATTATTATTATTATTATTATTATTATTATTATTTTGTGATTCTTCAGAATGAAAATGAACCTATTATGACTAATTACAATGTGAGAGAAGTGGATTAACCTAAAAGGTCAAAAAGTACCTAAAACAGAGCAAAACGGCGACACAGCTGCAATTCGGATTAAACCTATAATTGAAATAACTTTTTGGGGTGATGAAAACACGATTTCTATGATGTTTTCAAGTTGAAAAAGTGCTGAAAAGTTTATTAAAACAGTGTTTTTTTGGAAATTATAAGAAAAACATGGTTTTATGACAATTGTTGGCAGTTTTGATGGCTTTTCGGCAAAAATATGATTTAAAAAGAAGTTTATATAGATTTCGGAAGAAAAATGAAACTCCAGATTGATATTTTGTTTAAAAACACCATGAACACCCCTTGAAAAACGTGATGTAAAAAAAATTCACAAAACTGAATTTTTTTGGGTTTTGTCAAAGTTTCGACAGCATAACGGCAGTGCCCTAAGACTAAGCCTAGTGAATGGGACCTAAAATTACATAATTCTAGCAATGAAATTAACCTAAAACATGCTGGAAATTCTACCAAGTTTATTAAAATCATGATTTTAACCTATGATTAAGTCTACATTAATTTTAACAATTTTTCTGCAAAGTTTTCCTTTTATTTAATGAATTTTTTTAACATGCTAAATTGTCTAATTATGATGTTTTACCAGACAAATCAGATTATTAATGAATGAATCCACACACAAAAAACATTTTTGACGTAAAAACTCTATGGGGGTTTTTTTTTTTTTTTTGATAAGTAAAAACTCTATGGGGTTATGAGGTTTAAATATTGGTTGGCTAAAGGGAGGTGCTCACCCCTCTCTCTGTTTCGACACGTGCTGAGGTTCCTCACGATTCTGCTATTGTGACACACGACATTCCAGCCTACTGCGGAGAGATTGGCAAAATAAAAATCAGAAGAAGAGCCTTCCTTTGGCTGGATCTGCTTATTTCAACCAGGACCTTCAAGTATTGGACGCTCCTTCTTCAAAAGAGGGATCCTCTTTTTCTCCTTTGGTCTTCAATGGAGGATCATAAACTGATTTTGGAAGAGGAGAAGATTGGTTCTGGGGTTTAGAAAGATTGGATTGGAGTTGGGGAGGTTTGGAGGCTATTTGGGTACTCAAGGCCGGTTCAGAATGATGAAATGAGCTAAAAAATGTCTTCCCTTTTTTGGGTGGAGGGGTGTATTTATAGAGATCTAGGACCAATTGGAAACCAGAAAATCAGTAATCATCATAAAAAGATAAATTAAAACCAGAGCTATCTCAAACTTTCTTGATATGTATCGCCTCTAAAGCACCGACACGCTTGTATGGTGTAACGTATCTTTGTCGGACATATAGACACGCGTGTCCGAGGTCAAACACGTGTCCGACACCTTGAAGATGTGTCCTATTTATTTATTTATTTGTTGAAAATATGGGATAGACACGATGGAGGACATGTCAGGACTCGCCTGAAGACATGGTCGTCCATGGTTTGGAACTTTATTTTTTCTTTCCTTTTTAATAGAGAGAAGATGATGATATCTATATAATATATATAATACACAAAAGAAAAAGACCATGGAGAGAGATCAGAGAGTTAAAGATTCCAAAAAGTGGAAATTGTTTATGGAGAGATGTATAAAGTTATAAGAAAGATGGAGACCTTAGGTGAGAGAGATCAGAGAGATAAAGATAAAGGAGATGAGAGAGAATGGAAAAGGAGAGACACGTCCGTAGATTAAGGAGAGTCAGGAAGAGAAATGAGAAGGGGGGGGGGGGGGGGGGGGATAAGATCTGTACCTTTTGGATATACAGATTATCTTTCTTTGTTGGTATTTTAATGTAATTTGGGCACATGGACCTTATGTTTTTGAAAATTAATATGGAATATCTAGTGGGCCTAATTTAAGGGTTATGGATTGAGAAGAAATTGAGGAAAAAAAAGTAATATTTTATATCTAATAAAATTATATTATTATTTAATTGACGTATCCTTGCCGTGTCCAGGTCCTATTTTTAAAAAAATTGGCATATCACTGTATCCTTGTCGTATTGCAATTTGTATGTGTGCCCTGTGTTCGTGCTTCCTAGCATTAGATTGATATAAAAGTGGACTTTTTTTTTGGTTTGTTCTGGGGGGACTTCAGAGGCCTTAAAAAAAGTATTATGCCTTCAAGCTAAATGTTGGCTCAATGTGAGATTCAAGCTAAATGTTGGCTCACTGTGAGAGAGATTCTATTTGTTGATCTACATATGAGTGGAAAACTCTATCTTTAAGATCTCTTTTATGCATTAAAGGAAGTTAGTAATTGTTAGCATATATGATACCACGATTTATGGTATGACTTACCATAATAACAGAGATTTGACTATGCTATAGAATATGCCATAGAATATGCTTTAGAATAAGTTGTGATTTGGTTTTGATTTGATTTAGTTTCCTTTCTTGTAATATGAGCATGTGCTCATTTTATTTATAAATACTAGAGCTTTGAATAAGTAATTCATATCATTCAAGCCTTTACGCAATTATTTCCTTTCTCATCTTTTTATATATTTCTACTTGGTATCAGAGTTACGGTAGTCCGACTACAATGAGAGCATTGTGAGTTCGGCACCATCCATTCGGGAATGGTCTAATGGCCATCCATGAGGTGTCGGGTAGGCAGGACGGTCCGACCTCAATGTGGGTGTTGTGGGTTTGGCATTCAGAAATGGTCTGAGGAGACAAAGTTGTTTCTTTTTTATGGTCTGAGGAGACATAGTTGTTTCTTTCATCTACATTGTTTAAACATATGTATGAAGGGGAATGGTCTGAGGAGACATTATTGATTCTTCCATTTACATGTTTTAAATATGTGTATGAAGGGAAATGGTCTGAGGAGACATTGTTGATTCTTTCATCTACACGTTTTAAATATGTGTATGAAAAGAAATGGTCTGAGAAGACATTGTTGATTCTTTACGGTTTGAGGAGATATGATTGGTTGTTTATGGTCTGAGGAGATATTTTTGATATGTTGACCGTCACTTCATTCGAGAGAAGATCATCTCTGGCCAAATTTGCATTCCATTTGTCACAAGCTCTCAACAGCTTGCAGAGATTCTTACAAACGGCGTCAGCAAGATTGTGTTTGAGAATACATTGTCCAAGTTAGGCATTTCAGATATCCACGCACCAACTTGAGGGGGAGTGTTAGCATATATGATACCACGATTTATGGTATGACTTACCATAATAGCAGAGATTTGACTATGCCATAGAATATGCCATAGAATATGCTTTAGAATAAGTTGTGATTTGATTTTGATTTGATTTAGTTTCCTTTTTTGTAATATGAGCATGTCCTCATTTTATCTATAAATACTAGAGCTGTGAATGAGTAATTCATATTATTCAAGCCTTTATGCAATTATCTCCTTTCTCATCTTTTTATATATTTCTACTATAATACATTTTAAAGTTATAAACCTTTGATTCCATATGGGGTCAATTAGAGCTTGGTGTGGTGGTATAGCGAGTTGAATTTTTATTATCTCCTATGTGCCTATGTGTTAGAAAGTAGCCTTGGCGGGGGCGGATGGTTTTAGGCATAAAGTTGACAAACAATGTAAGAGGATATCATTCATTTTCTGATGTTTATTTTCCTCTACTCTTAATTCTATTTTAAGATCCATTCTTGAATCTTATTTCTTCTTCTTCTTTATTTTTTCCCCCCTCTCTAGACCACTCTGTTTCTGGATAGCAGTTGTATTTAATTTGTAGATCAGTATTGTTTTTATTTGAACATCACTTCTGATGGATACAGGAAAGATTGAATAGGTCTTTGATGGTCTGCCAAGACAAATTTGAGGGAGCCAAGCTCCAACATACCAGAACCGATGCCATGAAGGATCTGGAGTCATGTGTTGACCAATCAATCCAAGACAGCATTAAGACATTACCACACCTTGTTGGAAGATTGGAGGCTTCTCTCTCCGTCAAAGATTAGAATTACACAGTAGTATCATAATCTTCAGCTTTCTGTTACTTCTCTTTTTCATAATTTTATTTACAAAATTGATGAAAGACATTCTGACCTGCAGTGAATCTGGAGGCCCGAATACATGAAGAACTATAAGCTCTATTCTACCTTGTTTCTCTCACTAGCAAATTTAGTTACCAATTGATTGATTGACATTGTTTTGTAATGAGGGAATTTTGTTCGACCCTATTTTATTGGTAAAAGAACAAAGGCATGGGCAAGGAAAAGTAACTTATAAACTTTACATGGAGGATGACCATTACTAGTTTCATCTTTTAACTCTGAATTAGATGGCCTTGATATAAATTATTGAGCCGATTACTTTTACTGAATAGGTCTGGTTTACTTTTTGCACATTTCAGCACTGGTCTGATTTCTCTTGGCACAAACAGGGCATGGAAGCTCAAGTTTCTATAGAGGTCATTTCCCAACATAGAGTTCACGTTTTAACGGTTACCTTATTAAGCAAAACTGATTCCAATATGCACTCAAAATTTTGTATAAACTAAATTTCATGTATCTGCTTTTATCCTTTCTAAATATCGGATGGCCCTTAAGGAATTAGTTTACATGTAATTTTAAGCCAACTCTGATTAATTAAATCTTGTGTTGATAGCCTTTTTTGGGGGTAATGTTGTTCCTAGCTGAAAGTTCCTGTCCTGCAGTTAGTGTATTGCGAAGAAAATAATTTGCTGTCAAACATTTGAAATGGGGTGCATTTTTTCCTGAATTGTGTACCCAAAATATTAGAATTAGAAAAAACTACAGCTTCAGAGATGTGAGCAGGAGAAGCTTGTCCGGGTTCATTTTATCCTAGAGTTGTATTGAAATTTCCACATTTTATTGGATTTCGAAGGGAATGGCAACCTCTACATGTTGGCAGTTATGGAAAACTAGAAAGGCATGGATCTTTCGAGGTCAATGGTGGAATGAAAAGGGTATTATATCTATTGCTGAGTCCTGGTTTTGGGACTTTGCTGAAATATCTATGCAGTCTAACATGCCTTTTGTTTAGTCTTCTTCTAGATTAATGTTGATGCTTCTTTTAGTGCTTCTTTTGAGGCTGATGGTGCTATGGTAATCAGAGATGATTCTGGAGTTGTATTGAAAACTGCTCTCTTTTTCTTCCTGTCAGTGAAAGAACCTTCTATAGCAGAAGCTCTGGCCTTGAGAATGGCTATTTCCACAGCTATAGAATGGGGATTTGATATTATTTTTGAAGGTGTAGAAATTGTGGTTAGAGAAGTAAACTATCAGAGTCCAGCTCCTGTGCTTTTGGAGAGCATATTTGTCGCGAGGCTAATGGTGTTGCTCACCATTTAACAATGTGGGCTCTTATGAGTAAAAAGAATAGCGAAACATTTAACTTTGAGATCCCAGTTTGTATTCAAAACTCTTACCTGTGGATGCTTTTGTAGCTGCTGATGTATTAGGGGTGGCAAATTTTAACCACAACCTGTCCAAACCTGCCTCGTGGCTCATTTATTTTCATTAAGGGTCAAAAATGGGTTGGAAAAAAAACAAACCTATTAATTTGCGGGTCAAAAATGTTTGAATATGGGTACCCCATATTTCACCGGTCTCTGTGTGATGCTCTAAACCCATGCTTTCTTTTTGCGCGCCTCTCTACGTCTGCGATCTCCCTCTCTCTTCGAATTGGGGCTCATCACTGGCTCGTGAGGAGGGTCTCGCTTCTTCTCCAAATTCCATGGAAATGGTGTGTGCAATCACAATCCCCAACAAGATGCGGCACTTTTGGTTGATACAATCCTGCAGCTGATTCATCTCTGCACTGAAATTTAGGCCCATATATACACTATATGCATGTTTAGCGGTGTTGTCACCAAATTTGGGTTTGTGGTGACATTTCTGTTTTGTGGTTGTGTAAGCTAAGAAATGAAAAGTTAAAAAAAATAAGGGTACATGTAGTGAATGGTGTGTATACAGTGTATGCATTGCTCTTCGACCGTACATGTGGTGTGTATGCATTGCTCCAACTCCCTATACTATATGTAGTATGTTTTTTTTATCTCATCCTAAGCTTATTCTATCCAATTTTGGATTACCAACAAAAAAAATGTTCCCCGTTTCTCCAATTTTATTTTCCATGAAAAATGTTACATTACTCCAATTTCTCTCCACGCTGATATTTATTCCGTATGATTTGATTATAATGTCTGTCCCCACAATTTGCCTCAACCATTTCCGTAAAAAGTTTCTATACTTAGCCCCCTTATCCGGCTTATGGCTCATATATGAGTCGGGTAGTATCTATAGATAGTAAGAGAATGTTCTGAATTTTCATAAATCTGGATATGTCAATGTGATCTGAAAGTTAACCCAATAATGAATCCGGAATGCGGAAGCGGAAACTAAACAAGGTCTATAGAGATATTCGGTATCCTTAAGACACAAACATGACTTCTTATAAAGTCACGGAACTCAAAAAAAACAAATGCGGAAACAAAAAGGGTAAAAATGGTCATTTTACATGCAAATAAAGTTTCAAGAGATACGTTATCCCTACGACACAAACATGGCTTCCTATGAAGCCACAGAACTTAAAAGAAAACAAAATGCGGAAGCGACGTTTTAAAAACGGACAATTTTAGCCCTAAAGGCAAAACGATAATTTCTGAAAAAGTTATGGGTGCTACCGAGCACACCATTGAATGGACAACAAAAAATTAACGAATATAAATTCAAAAATCACTTGATTTAAAGTCCGAACAAAAGAGAACAACCAAAAATAAAAATGAGCGTCGCCTCGGCCAAGGGCACTATTTGGTTCTAATGCTATCTCAAGATCATCAAATATTTTCTGTTTCTAGCCTTAAAGGTACCAAGTGGGTGTGTATGCTTGTTTAGTTGACTTTTCTAATTCTCTAATTTGTCCACGGATCGAGTCCATTACACGATACTAATGGGTTTAGTTGTAGTAAATCAATAGGTTTTGGGGCTCATAAAATTAGTTTGTCTTTTTGGGTCGAATCCTGTTTGATAAACCTGAACCTGGATCTGACAAATATTTATTTTGCCTTGTAGTATTGTAGAGGAGAGATGGGGGAGAGTGAATTTAAAGATCCAAAATCCAAATTGGATCTTTGTAGAAGGGTAGGACCCTTTGTAAACGGACGTGTTGGATCCTTATAAACAGGTGGCCTTGCCTACTTGATTTACTCCAAATAAAGGACGGTTTTTATTTTTATTTTTATTATTTTTTTTTTTCTATAACAAAGAAAAACAGTTCAAACGGCTGATCTGGCTCATATTTGACCCGGTCCAAACTTGCCAAACCTAATTTGGGTGATGGTTTTTATCCATTAAAAAATAAGGAGAAATAGAGGGGAGAATAAACGCTGAAATCGGAGTTCTGTAAACAGGAATAGAGAAGTTAAAAAAAAAAAAAAAATGGAAATAGAGCGAACTTATTCAATTATTTACAAAACTTTATACAATTGCACGTGATAATCATGTCAGAAGGCGCTCTCTTTTCACAACAATAATATAAAAAAGATGGAACATATAAACCTAGGGATGTTCCACATCAAAGCCACATATACACCATTTTGTCTTTATTAAGGCTGCATCTTGTAGTAGTCTAATAAAGTTTAAACCAACTATATCCGATAATATTTTTTATGTTTTTGGCAAGTACAAATACCATTATTCCATCATACCTGAGGAAGCGCACAAACATCTAACTATTTTTGCATGTTTTCACAAATAAGGTAATCATTTGAGGAGTGAGCAATCATCGGAAATTAGGAATAGATTGTTTGTCCAACTTATGTATTGTATAAGCTAGGTGGGTGATACAGAAAACAACAACAACAACAACAACAATAATAATAAAGGTATCTTTTGCAAATCGGTGACTTCACCAAAAAGAAGATCTCTATGGCTCCGGTTGCATTTTTTCACACTCTTCTCGGATTGACTGGAACAGAACAGAAGACAAATATCGCTCACCAAAGCTTGGAAAGATGGCCTGCCAGCACTTGAACAAAGCTTGTTTAAACCAACTATTTCAAATTGCAGAATCCAAAACTCAATTTGCTATAATTAACTTGGCTACGAAGAAAAAAAAAAATTTTTTTTTTTAAGATAGTCTTTCGACCATCAATATAGTTTGTTAGTTATGATTCAAGCGACTTCTTCAGCTGGCATCAAAATAGTACAAGAAAGTGCAAATGCAAATCAGCAGAATTTTCGTGTTTGAAACCACTAGAATACTTCAGGAGAGTTGTCCATGACTCTTCCCCCACTGAGTAAGCTGGAAAGAAGAAACCCAGAGCTGCTCATCAGAATATACAGCAAATCACTTGCTGCAAACAAGTTAAGATAGTTTTGACTAATAAACGACCTCCTAATCTGGCTAGCTTCAACATCAAGGGGAACTGGCCTCTACCAATTCTTTGCAATTAGAAGAAGATTAGGCTTAAGACTCTCCTTAACTGTTCCATTAATCATTAGGACTCGTAGAACTTGCAAATATTACTGCTGGAAACTTAGACCCCAACCGCATTAAATAACAACTAATGCACTACTAATCCACAAAATTTGGTTTGCTTTGAGGAGGGCTGTCCTCCAATTCTTCACAATTGGAATACTCTACTTAATTCTTCTACTGATCACAAGGATTTAAATACACACGAATACAACTGCTGGAAAGTAGAAGATACCAACCCCATTATATAAAAACTAACCACAATAACAACAGCCAAAGCACTACTTATCCACAAGAAATTACTAATAAATTCTAATCTTATACGGATAGAACTTCTAATAACTGGTTTCTGTAGCATGTGCCTACTTCCTCCATCAGGAAACTTGTCCTCAAGGATAAATTATCATTCTTAAGAGGACGCCAACCCACCTCCTCATCAACACTAACAGTCAATGGCACTCCCCCCTGCCACATAAAAGCAGCTCTTCGTCACAAGGACCACTATCTCAAACATCAAAATCTGCAATAAAATTGCATTGGCATTTCTCTTCCTTCGATTGGTCAATACATTCTTTTCCCAACTACCATTCTAATAGTTCAAAGAAATTATTTCCCTTGAAGGCGAAATATAAATCATCTCGTAGAAATGACAATAATTTATGTACCCCATTTTGTTGTCCACAAATTGTCAATTAGGAAGCCACAAAACATGTGGCCGGTGACCTTTTTGGTTGCATCCTTTAGTAAACCCATTTAGTTCCCAGATTTCACCCAAATCATCCACAAGATTCTGCATAAAAGGAAGTGCTTATGATTTCTGGTTTTTCCTCCTCGAGTGGTCTCTAGATTCTGCCCAAACCCTCTAGATTTGCACTCTTCCTTACCGCTTCACTAAATTTTGTTCAAGCCTTCACTAAATCAATCATTTGCTATTAAAACTAGTGTTCTGATTTCTCATATATCATTGTACATCGACTTCACAATGAAAACGGTCAACACAACAATTCAGAGATCAATCTGTGATGTCCCTTTGCAAATTTACAAGAAAACAAAATAAAGATGAAGAGGCAGTCTTCTCCCACTGATGAGGGTCAAAATCTCCTACGACCAAAATCTCCACAGCATTTACATTTTTTAACATAATTCAATAACAAAAGATACAAATAATGGTTATTATCTACCTATTTTAAATCTATAGAGTGCCGCTGCTGCTATGGGGAATAACTCCAAGTCTCAAGACTTACAAAGTTCCATTTTTGAGTATAGAGCCTCTTTTTCATTGCCTAGGAGTTTCATAAAGCAAGCACCACTTTCTTTCCAAACGAGGGTCAGGAAAATCCTCTAGATCATCCAACAAAACAGGTATATTTAATAAATTAATACATTTTCTGAATTGGATATCTGTCTGCCACTGAGTTATTTGTTCTCATCTGATCTGAGCATGAAACAAACTTTTAAATCATGTAGAAGGAAACTTCAAATTTAAATGATTATTCTATTCCTCATTTTATTATTTAAGTTGTTAAGTTAGAAAATATTGAGGAATAAATTGAAAGAATGCATAGTTGATTTCAAGGACTTTTTAAGTTGCATCATGAATTGATGCGTAACTTATACCGTTCCAAAGGCGCTCCACCCCTTATGGACAAGGCGCTTACTCTGCCATCTCTTTCTGTCTGCTTTCGTAGTGAAGCCAATTGTGAACACATTGCCAAAGGAAAAAAGATGCATATAAAAGTTTATGACAATACTCTCACTCATCTACGTCGTGAAACCTAGGGTTTTTAATGGACAAAAAAATCAAACTAGTCACTAGTCAAACTTCTTGCTCACCAAACGATCCCCTAGTCCAAGTCCTCGTCAATCTCTTGCCAACCAAAGATCTCGTCATCAGAACCCACTCCGGTTGAAAGCTCTTGCCGATCGAAACCCTAACTCTGACAACATCGATTATTCTCCCTGATTTTGGTGGGTCGAAACCCTAACTCCGGCAAACTCACCCCCATTAATTTTCTGGCCAGATCTTCGGCAACCTCATTCTCTCACTGCTGATCTACCGATACACATCTCTCCCTTTGAATCTACATATATATTGATAAATGCAGTAGATTCTGTACATTGCACTATAGCTCCTCCAATTAACGCATACACTGTGATGTCTTGAATCAATCATATGTACACGATTCATTGTACTTATCACACTCCTCTCTCCGTTCTTGATCTGTTGTTGATTAGCTTATTGCAATACACTCTTCGAATTTGCATGTATTGCTTATATTGTTTATACTCGGTTGATTATTTGTGTCTATTTGCTTATATCTATACTTTGTTGATTTGGTGATTATTTTTATATTTTGTGTTCTTGGTCTGTTATCTAGTTGAATGTATTGCTTATATTTGTTTTTGTTGCTGTTCTTTGCTGTATATATTGTTTGTTTACCAAGGGTTGAGTAGCAGTTACATCTCTAGTCCCTTGATTCATGATTTGTGTGTGAATCTGATATATTGCATTAATTTTGATTTCGATAACTGGTGTACTTTATTGCTAAGAAGGAAACATAAACTTAGGCTAAATGACTCTCCCATTGCCCGTACCAACAGCCGGATGTCAACAGAGGCAGGTTGGTGTCAGGCAGATAGCCGGTTGTAAAATCTATATCGAATCTCTTTGATGAATTCTCATTTAAATAAGAAATCTTATAATCGCAAGACAAAGAAATGGGATAACCACATGAAATGTAGGAACATTAATTGGTAGGTGTAATGAACTCGGGGATACATTACCGGTAACGACCCACTCCACCATATGGTATGATATTGTTCGCTTTGGGCCCGAGCCCGCACGATTTTGCTCTTAAGTTTAACCCCAAAAAACCTCATACCAATTGAGTATACAAATCCTACATATATAGCACTTCCCTTTTTCACACCTGTAGCTCGCCCAGTGTGGCAGCTTGCCAGTACCTCTTGCACTCGTCCATGGCACACCCGCCTACAAGGTCACCACAATCACAACACCCTCCCGAAGGGCCCAGCGTCCTCGTTGGCCACACTTCCGGCTGTGTCAGACTCTAATACCATTTGTAACAACCCACTCCACCACATGATATGATATTGTCCGTTTTGGACCCGAGCTAGCATGGTTTTACTCTTGAATTTTATCCCAAAAGGCCTCAATACCAATTGGAGTGTATAAATCCTACATATATAGCACTTTTCTTTTCCACACCCAAGCAATGTGGGATTGTGCACCTGTAACTTACCCAGTGTGGTAGCTTGTCAGTGCCTCTTGCACCCGCTCACGGCACACCTGCCCACAAGGTCGTCACAATCACCCCCCCTTCTTAGGGGACCAACGTCCTGGTTAACCACACTTCCGGCTGGGTCAGGCTTTGATACCATTTGTAATGATCCACTCCACCGCATAGTATAATATTGTCCGCTTTGGGCCAGAACCCGCACGGTTTTGCTCTTGGGTTTCACCCCAAAAGGCCTCATACCATTTGGAGTGTACAAATCCAACATATATAGCACTTCCCCTTTTCACACCCAGGCGATGTGGGATTGTGCACCTGTAGCTCGTCCAATGTAGTAGCCTGCCAGTGCCTCTTGCACTCGCCCATAAGGTCGCCACAATTTTTTTTGCAGGTGTGCACCCGCCCACGATATGGCATGGACACGGGTATAGACAGGACAAGAGAAGAAGACGAAGGAAGGAAGCAAAGGAGTGAAGAAATGAAGGAAAATATTCCATAAATACCATTTCAATTTGATGATTTCAACAAATTGATGTTGCAAAGGCTACAAAATACATCTCTACAGAATGAATGGTTTGTGAGATGATTTCACTTTGTTGTTGGCGTCGGAAAACATGTCGGAGTGATCAGAAGGAGGCAGAAGACTCTCCATGGTGGCTACGGTTTTTTCTCTCTGTCGGCGGTTAGGGCTCAAAGATGGAGGGTTTCGTTTTTATGAAACCTAATCAGCGCTGATGTTATATTTCTTTGGGCTTACATTTAAGCCCTTCAACATTAAGGAGTTTTAAAAATCCCCAGTTGAATTAAAGAAAAAAAAAATCATATTCACCATTCCTCTCAATATTTTTCTTTTACAAATATCCTACTCAATTTTCATACACTTCAAAACTTCAGCAGTGTCCTCGTATCCTATAATTCAAAAGTTTCAAGGATCAAACACCTAGAGATGTACCCTTATCTGGTAAATAGATTACGTGACTAGTCGCGAAAGAGGACTTTGATATGATAATGTTTACATGTTAACCAGATTCAGCATGCTTTCACTATCTTAAAGACAAATTTTGAGTGGATTTAAACTTTGTGAAGTTAGTTTTCATTTTGCCGAAGTTCAAAGCACATCCAGAACAATGTAGATCCAAAATCCATACATATAAAAAACGAAGCCTGTGGCAGACGAATATAGACATGAAAAATGGAACAAAAAGATCCTACAACCACCATTTCAAGTTCTCAACCGCAGTGTTTGATAGGTTGTGAGATGAATGTGTAAAACTGGAAAAGATGGACGAACTACATTAATCAAAACTTCTTCAATTAATTTTATACAATTTTATGATTGAAATCCTGCCAATAAGGCTACATATAAGCTTTAGCTTAGCCGAGCCAAGTATTAATCAAGCTCCAGGCCTGTCCCAACCTAGGACGACATGGCTCAGCATGTTCACTAGCTATTTTTAAGCTCAACTAGGTAAGATGTCCCATGTGTCATGTGTCTCAAAAATTGAAACTAAATCCAAGTGCTCGTCATAATCCCATCTATTTTGTTCAAAACTTGAAAACCGAAAGTAATCAATGTAATCTTTTAATAATTAGTCAAACCAAGTGCATCTCCTGAGATAACCACATTCTTCCATTTGTTTCCTGACTATTTCTTCTGACCGAGTATTAAATGTGTCAACTATCGAAAGAGTTATTTCTCTCCAAAAAGATAAATTTGTTGGTTTAACAACCCTTGAAACTCTAACAAAGATGCAAAATAGCCATTCTAATACATTCACGGGCTTAACCGAGCTGAGCTTGGGGAAAACTTAGTACAAATGAGCTTTACTAATAAAAGTTCGGGCTCAATTGATTAGTTTATAAAAAATAAAAAATAAAAAGGCCAAATGAATCACTACCAGATTGAGCTCAAGCTTTTCATGAACAACAATTGCAATTTTACTTGCCAAACTCCAAATTTAGAGACGATGCAAGGGGTAAATAAATCCCACAGTGAGAGATATGTTGTAGTTTACATGAGAATAAAGAACAAAAGGAACACATTCGCAAAATCTAGTAGTTACATACTGACATCAGTGCATGGTAGATGAGGAAAGTTGTATAAGGTGGTCTGACCATGTGCAGCAACAATCTATGGATGAACTAATAAAATGCTGTAATCTAAAATGAAGTTAAAGTGCTACAAAGACAATAGGAAATCCAAAAGAACAAGGGCATAAGCAGTGAGAAAAGATAATAATGGTTAATGATATAATAGAAAATATGGCCTAGAAAAAGTGGAATGGGAGAGAAAAAAAATAAAAAAATAAATAAAAAATTGTCTCAATAATTAGGATTGAAGCGTTCACACTTCGACTTTAGTTTTGGAAGGTTTCTTCTAAATCTTTAGATTGACTTCCAAGTAGATGCCAATAAAAAAGCACATAATTCAAACATACATACCGCAATAAGCTTTCCTGCATTCTCAGGTCTCTTTCCAACCTTAATTGCAGCAGCAGCAGCTGCTCCAGAAGAAATGCCCACCTGATAAGAAACAATGATTCAAGGAAAGTGAGAGAATAGTATCTACGGCATATGTGTGTGTGTGTGTCATACAAGAGAAATTAAAAACCACATTATACAGGCAAATTCTGAAGCTACAAGTTCCATAAAGAATGATGTGGAGAATTAGCCGCCAAATTTTTGTAATGCAAAAATTGTGTTCTAATGCCACTTTCTGCACTTCTCATGATTAGTGATGCCTTCTTTAAACGGCCATATATCTCTCAATTTATAACCCAAATTAGGTCAAATTTGTGCTCAAATTGAAGAGCTTGAAGTCAGCTTTCTAATGACATTGATTTCATACAAAAATTCCATCTACAAAAAGAGTTATGGCTATTTAAATGAGGCCTGATCATGAAATCTCATAAATTGAAATTGCATCCATGTGGGAACACCAATCCCCTAGCAACTAGAATAAGGATTATTTCACCTTAGCTTCCAGACTTAGGGCTTGAGTAGGAGCCCGATTTGTGTCCTTTTCTGTTCACGATTAGAGTGATGTGATTGATTTAGAAGTGATGTATCGTGTGAGCAGCATCCGGGTGAGATCATGAGCACTGAGGTGCTAATGATATGGGGATGGGACCGTTCTTTCAATTTTGGTTATGTCGAGTAGCATGGGTTGTGAGGGATACTTCAGGACGGGAGTGACTATTCCATTCAGGATGTCCAAGTTTTGGCCTTCGGTTGACGAATGATTGGATTTTGGGGACAAAATCCCTTAAAGGCGGGGAGGTTGTGAGGACCAAGTTTTATTTTTCCTTTTACCGCATTTCTTGTTTTTTGTGCATTGTGTGTTTCTATGTATGGGGATGCGTGCCACGAGGTTCTGGGATTCCTTTTATACATTTCTTGGAGTCACGGACTCTTAGAAAATGCATTTAGAGTCAATTTGTTCATTTCGGGTTCATGGGCCCGAGAGGTGTCCGTGTGGGCCCAGGTTTGGATTTCAGGTTAGGTTATTTTCCCGACCACATTTCTTTTATTTTATCATGTATTAGTCACTTAAATTTTTAGTTTTGTTGCCTTTGTATGTGAGGTACATGTTGTGAGGACATGGAGGTCATTTTTAGCATTATAGTGGTGGGACCCCTTTCCCACTTACTCTTGTACCATATAAGAGTGGAAGACTGTGTTTGGGGAACAATTTTCTCCCCCATTTTTGCCTTCGGCCAAGACCCACCCCCTTTCTTCTTCTTCATTTCTTTTCCTCCATCTCAATTGTTGCAAGCTTTAGACAAGGGAATGACCTAGCTCCCCTTGGATTTTGGGCAAGCTCTAGTTGCAAAGTTTGTAGGTTTCTTCAAGCACTACACTTCCATGGTCTTGGATTTTGATTTGGAGTAGTTTCAATCTTGGGACAAATTAGGGTTTTGCTACATAATTGAGGTAGGGTGTTTAACCAACCTTAGCTTTGGTTTTGTAAGTGTTTTATGTGATTATTATGATTATAGCATGTTTACAAGTGTAGAAAGTGAATGTTCTGCCCTATACTGAATTATTTGGTGATGAATATTGTTCAAATGAATCAATAGCATGAAAATATGTTCTTTTGGCTTTCATTTGCCATTGGTTTCATGTAATTTGGTCTTGAAACGACATTGTTATGAATTTTTTAATTTGGGAACTAGTTGCCGGAAAACTGTTTTCGAAAACAGATTTTTTTTTTTTTTTTTGATAAGTAAGATTTTATTAAAAACGCTCAAAAGGGGAGCGAAGCCCAGAGAAACAAAAGGAAAACAAAAGGGCCAAAGGGCGCCTTAGACCTTCAGAGAGGCCAAGAAAACAATAATTTTCTCCATAGATCTATAATCTCTCCCTAAAACCCAACAAAAAAGAATAGAAACAACAGAGAACTTAAGCATAGAAACAGGCTTCTTTTTTCCGTCAAAATATCTCCTATTTCTCTCAAGCCAAATACACCACCAGATACAAAGCGGCGTAGCCCTCCAAGCGTCCCTAATGCCAGCCCCAACAGAGACGCCTCTCCAAGCCTCAATCAACCCTCTAGAGGAAAAAGGCATGGCCCAATGGACCCCAAATAATCGAAGCATCATATCCCAACAATCTCTGGCCATGCTGCAATGTAAAAGGAGGTGATCAATAGATTCCTCATTACATAAACACATGTAACAGTGATTAACCACCACCTGATTCCTCCTCCTCAGATTATCCTGGGTTAAAATCTTACCCAGAACAGAAGTCCAAGCAAAAAAGGCGACCTTGCGGGGAGCTTTGGACTGCCAAATAGACTTCCAAGGGAATGGATCTCCATGACCAACTGAAAGACATTTGAAAAAGGACCTAACCTCAAAACAGCCATGCGAGTTAGGAATCCAGAACCACCAATCCAATTCCCCAAAAGAAATCACTTGGCTATACAACAGCTCCAGAAAACGAGAAACATCCTCGATCTCCCAATCCTGAAAATGCTTCCTGAACTGAACATCCCAAGACAGTCTCCCGTTATCAAGATGATAACAGTCAACAACCATGGCCTGTCGATGAGAAGCAATCCTGTAGAACCGTGGGAACACTAGAGCAAGAGGGAGTTCCCCACACCAGAGATCCTTCCAAAAACTGATCCTCCTTCCATCTTTAATACGAAAACGAACATGCTTGCAGAAGTCATCCCAACCTCTCTGAATGAAATGCCAAACTCCCACCCCCCTTAGACCACGCATCACCAGAGAGCACCACCAACCACGACTTTCCCCATATTTGCTAGCAATAACTTTCCTCCATAACCAATGCCTCTCGATCCCAAACCTCCATAGCCATTTACTAAGGAGAGCCTTATTAAAAGGCAACAACCTCCGAAACCCTAAGCCTCCAAACCGAATTGGACGGCACACTCTTCTCCTTTCCCTCCCCAAAGAAAATTGCACTGCAATCTTTCAATTCTCTCAGCCACTGAAGAAGGAATCTGAAACAGAGATAAGAAGTATGTAGGAAGGCTAGAAAGCGTGCTCTTAATCAGGGTAACCCGATCCCCCTTGGACAGGTACTGCTTTTTCCAACCCGCCAACCTCCTCTCGACTCTGTCCACAACCGGATCCCAGCTCCTCACGCATCTCGAAGGGGCACCCAAAGGCAATCCTAAATAAGAAATGGGAAAAGAGCCAGTGCAACATCCAAGGATCTGAGCAAACAACTCAATTTCCGGAACATCCCCAACAGGCACAAGAAGACTCTTACCAACATTAACCTTAAGGCCAGACACAACTTGAAACCAAATCAGAACGCATCTCAAAAACCTCAATTGGGACGCTTCCGTATCACAAAACATAATAGTGTCATCTGCAAACATCAAATGAGAAACCTCCAATTGACTAGCAGCATCCCTGCCCACCCGAAAGCCTCTCAAAGAACCCAACTCCACAGCCCTCTTCAGCAATCTGCTAAGAGCCTCCATCACAAAAAGGAACAGGAAAGGGGAAAGCGGATCCCCTTGTCTCAAGCCCCTCGGCACTCCATTCACAAGGATAGAGAAACGAGCGCTAGAGATGCAAAAAAGAATCCATCTTCTCCACCGCCCACCAAAACCCATCCTCTCAAATAGGTAGAGAAGGAAACTCCAGCTCACATGATCGTATGCCTTTTCAATATCTAGCTTGCAAAGAACACCCGGAGCACCGCTGCTCAAGCGGGAATCAACACATTCACTAGTAATAAGAACTGAATCCAAGATCTGCCGACCTCCCACAAATGCATTCTGAGAGTCAGAAATGATACCATCCATCACCTTCTTCAACCTAGAGGCCAAGACTTTCGCAATCAGCTTGTAAAAACAACCCACCAAACTAATAGGGCGGAAGTCTCTAACATCCATAGCCTCTCCCTTCTTCGGAATAAGAGTAATAAAAGTTGCATTCAAACTTTTCTCAAAAGAGCTCTGCGCATGGAAGGCATGAAAAGAGCCCATCACCTCCCCACGGACCACCTCCCAATACTCCAAAAGGAACCTCATAGTAAAACCATCCGGTCCAGGAGCTTTATCCCCATTACAGCTCTTCAGAGTAGAGAGAACTTCCTCTTCTGAAAAAGGCTCTTCCAAAATAGAGCCCTCCTCTCCCGAAATAGAATTAAAATGAATCCCATCAAGCAAGGGACGCTAAACAGCTGACTCAGTGAACTGCGACAAAAAGTACTCAGAGAAACTCTTACTAATCTCCTCCTTTTTACTAATCAACACCCCATCCACCCTAAACCTCCCAATGTGGTTGCCTCTTCTGTGAGCATTGGCAAGTCTATGAAAGAATTTAGTGTTATTGTCTCTTTCTTTAAGCCACAAAGCTCTAGATTTCTGTCTCCACGAAATCTCCTCCATAACAGCAATCTCAGCAAACTCTGCTTGACACTCCACCCTCCTAAGCTTCAAAGGACCCGTCAACAGACCCTGACTCTCCATCTTATCAATGTCAGCAATCTCAGAGAGAACCCGATTCTTTCTCCAGACCAAATTACCAAACACCTCTTTGTTCCAAACTTTGAGATCATTCTTCAAGAAACGCAACTTGCCTACCAAAGAATGACTCGGAGTGCCAACCACTCCATACCCCGCCCACTAGGATCGAACTCGCTCCAAGAAACCTTCAACACGGAGCCACATATTCTCAAATCTAAATGGGGATCTTCTGCTACGTAGCCCGCCACAGTCCACCAACAACGGAACATGATCAGACAAAGGACGAGCCAAGATGGTCTGAACAACATCAGAAAACTTCTCCTCCCAATCACTCGACACCAAGAATCTATCAATACGAGAATCTATCAATAAGAAAACATAATTTTTTTCGGACTCTTCTTCATTAAAACTGTTTCGATTGGCAAGGGGCCCTACGAAATCAAAATCACAGCATGAAAGTATGGCCTTTTAGCTTCCATTTGGCTTTGGTTTCGGATAGAAATGAATTTGGTACGAATTTTTTAAGTTGGGAAATATTTGTTGGAAATTCCGGTTTGTGAGCAGAAATTTTTCTGAACTTTTGCATCAAACTGCCTTAATCGAGAAGGGATTTTGTTAAACTAAATTGATGGTTTTAAAGTTTAGCCCTTAAGCATTCAATTGGTTTTGGATTTATGTAATTGGATTAAGAATTGTATTTATTGTGAATTTTCGAAGTCGGAGGTAAATTGCTGAAAATTATAAGATCATACAATGTGTACTTACTTCTTAATAGAATAAATTTTACTTAGATTATGAAATTGAGTTATAATATGTTATGAATGAATATATGTATTCAATTGCTAAGTAGTGTTGGTGAACTTGTGATATCCATGCTATCATTGCTTCAACTATGTTGTATGAAGACACTTGATTACATATCTTGATTTCAATTGTCAACTGCATGTTAAGTATTTGATTAAAAGCCTACGAGGAAGTGATGTTTTGAAATATGATATTGGTGCTATTATGGATGTAATAATGAAAGTAAATGTTGAAATGGAATATCTTGTTTACTTTTGTTGAACTTATGAAGTTGTCACTCATGTCATTACCACCTATAGCATGCCAAGTGTTTGATGTTATGTTCATGAGAAGCTAAGTTATGTTAAATATGATATTGGAGCATGCGTGGCTATGAACATTTGAATCAAGTATTGACTATTCTATTGAATGAAATTGTGAAGTTATTGTGATATCTATCTCTCACCATACAAAGCATAGAGAGTGTGTGTGTGGTGTGGTGAGTGGTGATTTTCCAAAGTTTGTGGAAAAAAAATGTTCTTTGCAAGGTACGTGGGGAGGTACCCCACATTCGGGATTGGTTGTGAATGAAATAGGAAGGGCATGGCTCAAGGGTTAAAAATCCCAAAACTTGGCCAAGCGAGTGTCGTTACCGACAGGCTAGTAACCCGTAAAGCGAGGGAAGGGATATGGGGAGGTACCCCATATTCGGTTGTGTTAACCCAATCCATGCGTTTTGATTTGCGTTTGGACTACATGTGTGTGTGTTCATGTGTGAGTTCATGATGCATAGGTACACATTGACTTAAAATTAAATGATGATGTTGATCTTGTTGCTTTCGTCTCATTAGAACTATTGTAGAAGTATGTTTGAAATGATGACCATACGTGTGACTTGAAGTATGTACGTTAGATTACAACTTTAAATTTAAAGCATGCTCCCGCAAGACCATTAGTTGATATTTGAAATGTGAGCGTTAGAAGAACCTTACTTTAAAGCATGCTCCCATAGGATGATCTTGTTGAAATTTGTTTTGTGAATATTAGAGAAAGAACATTATTTGAAAGTATGCTTCCATAGGATCATTTCAATGAGATTTGTATGTGAACGTTAGATGCAAACATTGTTTGAAAGCATGCTCCCTTAGGAATGCTCTATGTACATTTGCTTATGTGCTGCGTGACTTGCATGGCCTTAAAAAGGGTAAGTTGTACATCATCTACTCGGCATACTTGCTCACCCCATTTACAACAATTTCAGGAACGGAGACCTATCTTGGAGTTGCTAGTTAGTGTTGATAACGTTGTATGCTTTCTGTGGGCCCACATGGGTCCACCCTTCGACTATTACTTGATTCAGGTTTGACACATTTGAGACAGTTGTACCCTTATTGAGGTTGTATCAGTGTTGACCCCATTGGTCGACTATTTTATATTAGCTTACGCATTTGGGACTTGAGTAAGAGTCCGGGTTATTTTCCTTTTCATCATGAACCGGGTCCTATGGATTCGGGGCATGACATGTTCATACAAGCAAACACAGTGTTCAGACACTGATTAGAAACATTAATCTGAACATATTCACAACATTGCTTTAAGAACCATAACCTGATGTTTGTCATTTGGAAATATTGCGTTGAACTATTTATCAAACCCAAATGTCCAATAACAATAATAATAATAATAATAATGTCATCACAAAGTTGCTCCAACAGCAAGTGTCTACCATTTGTGGACATGAACGAATGGTAGGAAATTCTCAAATTGTAATTTTGATGAAAAACTTATTTTGCATAACATATGTGAAGACATTAGACTCCAGATGATGACATCTATTGTTAGATTGAAGTCTCAGCCTTGTAATAGCTTCCTCTCTGTATGGAATATTATTTAGTTGCAGGCTAGTTTGGTTACTTAATTATCACATTGGTTTCTTGGTTTTAGTTTTCCTAGCTGTACATAGTGGGGTATGCCCCCTCTTTATTTCTGTAATATGTTTTCTCTTTATGAAATAGCTTACTTATCACATAAATAAATAAAAATATGCATTTGTAAAGCTGTCTTACTTTCAGCTCTATTTCAGTAGTTTAAAATAAACCAACTTCTGGTTATTTTAGAATACACATATATTTACACAGGTCTCATCATACTAATATCCATTGCCTATTGCCAAATATCTACAAGTAGAAGTTTTCTTTTATCAGGAAACATAATAAACATGAACACAAAAAGAAAACATCAATAAAAAGAAAAATATTGTGTCAATTTTTTTATTTTATCTCAAGTTTAAAAGAGATTTAAAAACTAAGAAGCACTAACCAGCAAGCCTTCTTGGAGTGCTAATTGCTTTGCAGTTTCAACAGCTTCATCACTGGATATCTGAAAGAAGTAACCACCACGAAAAAGTGAGATGATGTAAAATCTAGTATTGTGAAGTAATTATGACAAAAATAGAAATAGCTGAGCAAATAAACTGATTGGACATTCACAAATAACTAAATATGTAGAATTATATCTTCTGAGAAATAATGTGCCACATGTTTAGTAGCAAATAAACTAATTGGATATTGAAATATATCTAAATAAGTTCTGAGAAATGATGTGCTACTTGTTTAGTCATTTCTTGATATGTGCACAAAGACTCTTCACCTGAAGGGCATTCAGATCAAAAGTGAGACTGAAAAGCAAAGTCATTGGGATAAGATTGTTGACAACAACTAAACGGCGGAGAGAAACCAGCATGCAATGTTTGGTATACGTGAATGTATGGTCCCACTGAGAACACATAATAAATCTTCTCCTGATATAACACATAACTCCTCATATGTGTGTGCGCCTGTGCACACACATATTACGAAGGGCATCACACAGCCAGTGGTCAGTGACAGGCGCTTCCTGTGCAGATCAACTGCAGTATATTAGAACTATAAACACTCACATAATGACAATGATGCTCCTTCAGGTCTACTTCAGGAGCAGCTGTCCGCCAGAATAGTACTCTGCCCTACATTGATTCATGCCCCACATTCAAAAAGGAAAGACTAATAGGCAACACTGCCCATGTTTACAAACATAAGATGTTTCTGCATTTCTAATAAAGCCAATACCCAGTGCTGGTCCAAACAATAACGCAGAACAATTATTGCCAAGATTAATTACATGTGTTATTTGTTGAAAGAATGTGACGCCCTGCCACTGTTAGCATCGTTTTGTCATTATTACTGGAATTGCTTTTATGGACATATTAATAACGTATTTATACCACAATTGCTGCCAAGATGAATGACTGGTGGGACAGCAAAAACAATAGATTTTTTTTATAAGAATTAGATATAGTCCGATACAGAATATTCAAAAGTATAAGACAGATAAATTCAGACCGAAAGGAATGATATATGGGAAAAGAGAAAGTTTAGACCTCTATGACTTCATCAAGCACATCTTGATCTAAATTCCTGGGTACAAAACCTGCTCCAATCCCTTGAATTTTGTGAGGACCTGCACTTTCAAACAGTAACAACCAGAATAAAATACAATAAAAATCATCTTAAAGCTAAACTGAGTGAAAAGAAATTATCTGTTGTCTTACCCGGCTTTCCACCTGAAAGTATGTTGCTTTCTAAGGGTTCCACACCAATAACCTGATATAATATGAAAATATTGAGAAAATGAAAAGAAATATGGGAAAATTACAAGTCCCCAAACATACTAATAACTGCAGTTTCCCATATATCTTACATCTACTTATCAAAGAAGCAAAAAAATCATATTTGGGGGACATTCTTATAGGTCCTGTTTGGATTGGCTTTTGACAAGCAGCTTTCAGCTACTAAAGCCCAAAAGCCGTTTTGGAGAGTGTTGGTATTGGTACGACTGAAGAGCTTCTGAGTCCAAGAAGAGCGTTTAGAGGAAGCCGATGGGCCCACCAGCTTCCTCTAAACACACTTCCTAACAAATGCGGGAAGCCGTTTCCCCAATTAATGAAACTTTCATTATTCCTATATTGTCCTTGATTTTCTAAGTAACAAAAAGAATATGCCAAGCATGTCCTGACCAAAATGTAGCCCTCTTCTCTCCACATTCGTTACTGCACAATTTTCTGTGGAGTTTGGGACGAGATGAAGATTGATACTGAGGGTTGTTCTACACTTTTTTTATAAAATAAAAAAAAAATAATAATAATAAAATTAATTGAAAATTTTGACAATTCTAAGGGCTTTGGTAACTTTTTTCTGGAAATTTTCATGATTGTGGGGATTTTGGATCTCTCTCGATTTCTCTATCATATTTCGCCTCATCACCATACCACCATCCGCCATTTTTTCATTTTCTCTCTCACGCTGGTAGGGAAATCGTAGATGAGGTTCTTCTCTCATGCACAGGTCATTCTTCCATCTACACCATATTTTCTCGCAAGCAGAAAAAAGGAGAATAAACACAACATATATGTATGTTTTCATTTGTAGTCTTTGAAATTATGAGATAGATAAATATCTATACACCCTGGTTTCAAGACATATATATTTATTTTTTATTTTGTATCAGATGTGGTTTATTGAATACATTTTGACAAAGTAATATATTTCTTCCTTTTATGTGTATTCATTTTTTCATTTGTTTGTGGATTCAAGTTGTTTAACGAAATGCCTCACTACCTTTCACCACTCTACCGGACCTTGTTTGGTCACTGTAAAATTAAGGATGTAAAATATTAAAACTCATCCAACTTCCTCAATCTATATGCTCTTATGTTTATTTATCTACTGATTAGAATCATATTTTTTGAATTCTTTGAATCAAGTATGTACTTCAAAATCTATTTTTGTTTATAAACAAGAATGCAATTTGAATACTTAAAACTCATCCAAAAATGTAATTTGTACTTGAAAGAGAAAACTTTTGACTTGGAAAAAAAAAAAAAACAACAAAAGAAGGATTTGTATTATCAGAAAGGGACCTGCTGTTTTTATTTTATTTTATTTATCATTTCATAGTTTCATGTCGCACCAAAAACACAAGGGTACTAGTGACTTGAAAATAGCTAATGCTTTGTGGCAATCGGTGTGTGTATTTTTGTTGGGGTTAGTGTGTTGGAGCCTTGGAAGACACACATGTAGGGTTGTTCTTTTATCACTATTTACCAGTGTCAATTCCATTAATTAGAGAAAAGCTAACCCAATTTTGGACTACTTATTGATTATCAAGCTCCATTTACTATTGCAACTTTGAATGAGCTAATGGTTGATCAGCAGTGGGATAGTTCTAAATTTAACTCTTATACTGATGATATTTTGAGATTTATTAAATCAGTGAGAATTCATGGTGGTTCTGATCAAATCCAGTGGGCTAAGGGGTCATTCTCTTTCAAGTGCTGGGAAACATTTAGAAATGCTAGACCCAATTAGGGATGGCAATTTGCCCCATGTTGGGACTTGCAGGTTCAAAATTCTGTCTCTGGTTTGGCTGCCCTCTTCACTAGTCAGTTTCAAGCAAGAAGTGTGAGGAATAAATTTTCCAAATGCTCTTTTCTGCTACACACTATCATTTATGGATGGAGAGGAATTTCAGGTTTCATGGTGGGATTCACAGAGAAGCTACTGACTTAGCTAAGCTTTATCCTTACAGCTTAGCTTAGGATTATTGTGGTTAAATCCACCCTGTTATCCTTTGCTTTCTTTTTTTCCTTTTTAGTTTTTTGATTTGTTTGGTTTAACAAGGGTATGCCCTTGTTTGTTTCCTTTGTACATTAATTCTTAAAAATAAAAAATACAAAAATCTCATTCAATAATTTTTTTTAATGAATAGAATATCAATGTGGTTTCATAAGAAAATCATTTGGACTGGTTTGAGTATAAAATTTATGAGAAAATTTGATGGTACTGCTTTATACTTAAAGTTCTATTCTTTTGATCATTTTTTTTTTGCCTAATCGTCTTTTATAAAGCTGATTTGATAATATTGAAGATTTGGGTTGTACTTGTGGATGGATTTCAACTTTGAAGTTCAAATAATTTCTGCACAGATCTCTTGTGAAGAAACTACCTTATGTTGCCAAAGAGCCCCCAAAACAACACTTTTAAGGGTAACTTAGTTATTTCGGCAATAGAAGATCTTCAGAATATGTTTTGCCAAACAGACCAAAAAAAAGCTTATGGCATTAAAAGCTCTTCTAAATACAGCTCCCAAACACTGACGTATAAACCAAATGAAAGTGATAACTTCTACTTCTCTTTTTCTTCTGGGTAAAAGCAGAAGCAAAAGCTATGCCAAACAAGGCCATAATATTTGGAGCCAGCTAGTCTGTCAAATTTCATACCTATGTAAAGCCATTTCTATAACAAAAAGTTGTTCTTGATGAATTAACAAAAGCTCTAAAATTAAAACCACTCACCTTAATGCTAGGATTTTTCTTTTTAAGGAACCGGCCGACACCAGAAATGGTTCCACCAGTTCCAATCCCTGCGATGAAAATGTCCAGCTTGCCTCTTGTATCTTCCCAGATCTCCGGACCAGTAGTCTCAAAGTGTATCTACACAAAATATGCAAGCATAAGTCCTCTAATATATATATATATATATATATATATATATATATATATGTTCCCTGTCCTTTAAGGGATACTAACACTTCGAGTCTAGAAGAGAAAGGGAAGGAAAGGATGGTACTTACCCAGAAGAAGAAAAGAAAGGAAAGGAAGCATATAACCCATTTCTTTGTTTAGGAGTTTTAGAAGGAAAGAGATTGACACTGTTTCCCCTCGTTTGGGAGTTATACAGATGGAAAGAAATAAAAAGCTTATTTTATTGTTAAGTAAAAAGGATGCAATAAGAAATCGCTTGTTATTAAGAAGAGTGGACAAAAAGGTAATCACTAGCCCATCTTCCTTTTCCCACTTCCTACCACTTTTGGGAGGAAGACAAAACTGGTGCTGAAGCAGTTTTGCATCCCTCCACTTCTTTTCTTTCCCTTCCTCTTACAATTCCCACGTGACATCATCAGTGTCCTTTCCCTCCATTTCCTGCTTTATGGTTTCCTTTCCCTCCATTTCCTGTTATTTCCTTCCATTCAAACAAGTTGTAAATGAAGAATGGAACAAGACAACGCTACATGGAGTACACAGCAGCATTCTACCTCACATTACCACTCTATTGTCACAAAAGATATCTTGGCCAGAAGGTTATTTTGATCAGATGATCTATCCATTAATAGGTGTATCATTTCACAAACCAAAGCATCATTCAGGAATTCTTGGAATAAGCATCCATCTAGGCACCTCAATGGCTCACTGTACATGTTAAACAGTAATAATATCGGATATCTTAGTCTAACTTGTTTCACTCTAGCAGCAAACATACTTTTCTTGATGACAAGACACAGCAAATCAATTCTTCCAACTAAGAAGAAAAAGAAAAGAGAAAAAAAAAAAAAAAAAAGAAAAAAAAAAAGATGTAATTGTTGTCATACAAAGCGTATTAAATGGGAAAAATCTACTAAAGATCGTATCCTATTGTGCACGTGTTATGTATTATGTTACAATCTGTTTAATACCCGTGCTCAAATTCAGGGACTCTGAAGCAAGGCACTCCTCTAATCCTGCCAAGAACTCCAAATCAGCATTACATGTCTACAATTAAAATCTTTGAACCACCCCATCAGACATAGACTAAGAGATCTTAGCTTTAGCTGTATTCATGCACCTTTTTTTCCAGGAGCAATATGGCTTGTTGACACAACTAACATGGCCTTCTTTTGGAAGACATTAAAACAGGACGAAAATTCACAAGGTTGCAACAGAGCAATAATTTATTTATTTAAGAATTCAATTTTAGAGTAAATGCAAGAGGAACAACGTAATTAAAATAGAAACGGGACAAAAACCTTGGGATTTGCAGGATTGTCAAATTGTTGAAGCATGTAAGCATTCGGTGTGCTATCTAAAATTTCTTCTGCTTTCTGAACTGCTCCTTTCATACCCTTTGCTGAATCAGTTAAAACAAGCTCAGCTCCAAATGCTTTCAAAAGAACTCTCCTCTCCAGACTCATTGAAGCTGGCATCGTCAAGATGAGTCTATATCCTTTTGAAGCAGCTATAAATGCGAGTCCAATGCCTGTGTTTCCACTTGTAGGTTCCACCAGAATACTCTAAAAAGTAAGACAGAAGGAAAAAGCTACATTAGAATAATGAGTGGGATAAGCGTTAAGCTAGATGGATTAAATGGACATTAGCTTTAACAATGGTATCAGCCTTGGACGTCAATATAAGTCCCATTTAAACCTATTTTGGAACACAGAGAAGGAGACCAAGAGATTTCCTCCTATTGCTGCTCTAAGAATCTTCTTTCTTCTCAAGTCACCAAGTAATCCACCCAAGCAAGACCTTCTTGCCCTTCCACTATTTTGTATAGCAGGCATCTTCTAATAAACGAAACTTGTTAACCTATCATACAACATTAGGAATTATTCTAAGAGTCCCCCTCTTGATACGAAATTTCAATTCTTAACTTGATTGGATCGCTAACCGATTAGACCAAGGTAATACACGAAACACCATAAGCATCAGAGGCAGCGGAACTATACAAGTAAGCATAGGTTATTATTCGGAATATATACAAGCCAAAATGTAGAAGATAACAACAGTGACATAGTATGCGTGTTACATATATCAGCAATGCTTCCATATAATTGGGCCCATGCTTAGCAACAAGGTATTCAGTTAATGAACCTGAACCACAAAAGAAGATCTGAAGGTATATCACAACTGTTGTAATACCCCTGATTTTAAAAAGATAGTCTCGGTATTTTTTTTAGTTATTTTAATTGCATTTTTAATTGTTTATTTGATTTCTTGGCTAATTGTTTACTTGTTTGATTTGATTTGATTGTTTGTGTTAATTGAATTCTTTGTTTAAATTAAATTGTATGTAATGGTCTGTATTTGTTTAGAAATTCAATTATTTTATTTTTATTTTTCTCTTATTTTACTTTTGTATATATATATATACATATATATATATTTTAAGGAATTGGATATGGATAGTAGTAATGGACCAACCAATTGGGTCCCATGGATTACTTGGATAAGGGGTTTAATGGGTACGGATAATTACCCATGGATAGTTGTATATGTATATATAATAAATAAATAAATAAATAAATAAATAAATATATATATATATATATATATATATATAAGGAAAGTCCTTTAGTAATAATCCGATGTACATTTATATATTATATATAAAAAAAAATATACATAGATTATACGTAACATATATTTTAGTTATCTTTTTAGTATTTAAATTTTATTTTATTTCATTTTCTTTTAGTTTGACTTGGATTGGGAAAAGGAGTAGGGTTATTATTTAGCCTATAAATATATAATTATAGGGTTAGAAAAGGGGGCTAGAAATATATCACGTAATATATTTTAGAGAGAGAAAGAAGGAAGAAGAAGGAAAAGAAAGAGGAAGAAGGAGGCTAGGGTTTTTTGATCAAATCCCTAAAGGCAAGTTTTAATTCTTCTCTTCTCCTTTGATTCATACCCTATGCATGCTAGATTAATTCTAGATTCTTTAAATTAATTGGATCTAATTACATGGATTAATTTGAAAATTTCAGTTCGTGTGTCTTAATAATGGGTTTGTGATGAATTTTCATATTTTGATAAATTGATGCATAAATTGTGATTATGATGTTCTAGGTGTGTTTATATATTGTGTAATTGTTATTGGGACAATTCTAGAATATAGACTGGTTCATAGGATCATTAACAATAGTGATAAAAAAAATGGACAAAACGTGTCAAAGGCAAGAAGAAGCAGGTGCCACCGAATTTGGGCACTGTTGGTGGCGCTGTACTGGGTGCACTGTTGGTGGCTAGTTCTTTAGTTTTTTTTTTTAAAACATAAAACTTTTTATCCTAGAATCAGTTTGTGCTGTGAGGAAAAAAATTAGAGATTTGTTCTTTTTAAGTTGGCACGCCAAACGAGGAGGTCAATGTTAATTGTTTTACTTTACGGAATATATATATATAACATAAAGTTCCTAGAATAAGTTTGTGCTGTGAGGGGAATTAGAGATTTGTCCTTTATAAGTGGGCACGCCGAACGAGAAAGGAGAAAAAGAACATAAATGTTTTTTTTTTTAATTTTTTTTTTTATATGGATTGAATGGAATATTTAAGTAAATGTTTTTTTTAAAATTATTCTTTATGTGTTTTCTTTTTATTTTGTTTTGATTAGATGATTTTTGCACTAAATATTTTTAAATGTTAATCGGATTAAATGCTGAGATATTAAACTAATATTGTGGTTTTTGGTTGATGGATCAATACTAAATATTTATTTAATGAAAATAGATTCATTAAGAATTGGATTGCATGATTTAATGTAAATAGATTAATTAACTATTTATTTAATGCATACATGATTGATATCATGGTTGCAACATTATGGGATGGGGGCATTTTAGGAATGGATTAACGGAATAGTTAAGTCCAACCTATGTATATTTATAAGGGAACGGAATTAACTATATAGTTAAGTCCTACTTATTCCTGTCAGGTCAACGGAACAGTTGGATGACATATTATTAAAATAATATTTGGATAGTTTATTTTGATGGTTGGATAAGACGGATTTTATATATATAATTATACGCCATGATATGAGCTTGAGTCTCAGGATCAGTAGTTAGGGTGCGTATATTGCCAGGGATGTGTAGCTAGATATAGTGTAGTTGTATACCCTGGTAGATCTAGGTACTCATGCCCACTATATGTGCGTTTTGCATGTTGCCTACTATTCAAGTTGAGACAACTCTATAGTCTAGTAAGGTTCCTTTAGTGTGTGTATATCTATATATGGACTATTTAGTTATTGTTGAATTAATTAGGATGTGTACGTGTATCGGGTCTCTGGTTGGGATGTAGTGGATTAGAACTTGTTTGTGGGCCTGACCCACCTTTATTTTTCAGGTGTTCGTCAGTTCCAGTCTTAGATATTGTTCGTGCTGAGCAAAGACAGCCATTCACTCTTCCGACTTTACGTAGGACTCTTCTTCATGTTTCAGTTATTGGATTTATCTCAATTCAGTTATTTCAGTTAGGATATTATTAGGGGTCCACAATATGAATTCCCGAGTTGTAGTTTCAATAATTACTGGTATCAGAGGATTGGAGGATTTTATTATGAGATTTCAATTATTATTTATTTGAGGATTTTTAAATAAGGATTTATTATTTAGTTTCCTTCAGCTTATTATTTATTTATTATTCTTTTTCTATTCAGATGCTTGTTTAAATATTAATTGTTTAATATCCCTTGTATTATATGCTTGGAGTTGATCACCCGTGGCTCTAGAATCGAGGGGTATTACAGTTGGTATCAGAGCACTCCAGGTTCAAGCGTCTCTAGGGTTATTTCATATTAAGACTTCCGCGTAGCGTATTCTCTTGTTTAGAGCTTAAGTTTAAGATTCGTAGTATTCCTTTACGGTTCGTTTAAAATCATACTGATGTCTGTCTTTCGATGTTAACAGAATGGTTAACGCTAAAACCAAACGGAACAATCAGAGAAACATGAAGCGAAGGGAAGCAGTACGTAGGCAGCAAGATCTCTTACAACGTCAGCAAATGGAGGAAGAGCAGCAATTGCCTGGGTTTCAGGAAAATGGTGGTCAGTTGCATGTGGAACAGGTGGAAGTTCAGTGGACTCAGGATCAGGGCAAAATACCCTCCTCATCTCAATGACCTCATTGCTCGGGCTACAGAAGTAGGTGTAACTGCTGTACTTCGGAATTAGCCACATGTACAGCAGGCACCTATACCAGCACCAGTGGTTCAGACTGATCCTTGGGAAAAGGCTAGGAGTTTTTTCACAAAGGGGAGCCCACCTGAGTTTTCAGGCTCCACCGATGCGAAAGCAGCTCACCGATGGAAGAAGGATATCGAGCGACATCTTCGCATGGTTAAGTGCACAAAGATTCAGAAACAGATGCTTGCTACTTTCAAGCTTATCAGGGATGCACTCCAGTGGTGGGAGTCAGTTACTTCCGCGGAGGAGAGGACTTCATTGATTTATGATCAGTTCAGTGCTCACTTCGATTAGAAGCACTTTCCATAAGCAGTCCGGACAGCTATGAAGACAAAGTTCCTTAATTTACAACAGGGGAACATGACAGTGGCAAAATATGAGCAGCAGTTCACGCGCTTATCTCTTTTTGCTTCAGAGGAGGTGGATACAGAGGAGAAGAAACGTAATAGTTTCGTAAAAGGACTTATGTGGTCTATTAAGCGATCTATTACAGGTAGTCCAGCCTACACTACTTATGCTCAGGTGGTAGACGCCACTCTACAGCAGTATCAGTTGACTGTGGATTTCAGACAAGCTAGGGGTGAGAAACGGGGTGACAGAGACTCTGCTAATCAGTCAGCTGAGAAAGGGAATGGCAATGGACACCGACACAATGATAAGGGCAGATTCAAGGGACAACAGTCTTGGAAGAAGCACAAGGGTGGTTCAGATGCTCACAGAGATGGGGCACATATTCAAAGGCAGCAGAATGGGGGACCACAGGCGGGACGGGATCAGCCACAGGCTTACCAGCAGAGGGGGCCGTTTGGTACTTTCAGGGGTATTTGCTATACTTGTGGAAAGCTTGGACACACTTCTAGGCAGTGTCCTAGAGCAGGACAAGGTCAGCATGTGCAACAGGGATAGAAGGCACCATTACCTTTAACCGCTCCACAGATTCCGCGCATCCAGGGACAGACCTTCCCTGCTTTACCAACACCGCCGCAGCCACAGGGACAGGCACCGCAGCAGTTACATTATGGCATGGTGTATAACCCTAGGCTACAGGATATTCAGGCGCCTCAGGCTGTTGAGGGTATGTTTCCTATTTATAGTACACATAGTCGTGTTTTATTTGATACGGGTGCTACACATTCATTCGCGTCTAAATCATTTGTTGCATTATCTGGGATGACGACGCGAGTATGCGATAGACCTTATGGTATTTCTACATTTATAGGCGATACTGCCATCTTATATGAGAGTGATGGGCCTGTGACACTAGATATTTGTAAACTTAGATTTCTAATCAATCTATTGGTCCTGGACATGCACACTTATGACGTGATA